CTGTCTTTGAATGTGTACTATTTTATAACCCATTATTATTTAGTATTGTTTTATTCGCGTTCTTGTGATCTAATAAAAAACAACGCGGAAATCAGTTACTGCGTCGTTATTTCTACGCTGCTAGTCTTACGTACGTTTTAAGAATGACGTAAATATGTACTCTATTACAATGCCATAAAGCATACACATCAACATCTTTTGTTATATATTTTTTTAATTCATCGATTCAATATATTCTTGTTCCAAATTATTTACTTATGTAATCTATACTAATTCTTCTGTTTAAGATGAAATTTAGATATTGGCGTCGTTACATAGTATAAAATAAATTCGCTGTCGCTGTCTGATTCTATAGGAGGGTGTGTATGTATGCATGTATTATAGTATATATATAATATGAGTATACCCGGGCGAAGCCGGGGCGAGTAGCTAGTTATTAATAACGCAACTCGTTATACCTAACGCCTAGCCATGTTACATTATATTTATTATCGCATTATATATCTACTGAGTTTTTCAAAATTTAATTCTGAGAGACTTTAGAAGTGAGGGAGAATTTCAAACAAACAGTACCTAAGCAATAATGAGTAAATGCTACTACTGTCTACTTTGTGTGCCACAGTGACGTAATTCACAACTACCATCTTTTCACATTTTACTAATAATTTGTTGTTGTGACAATGTACATGTTTATACTGCCCGTCACATTTGTGTATCTACCATTAGTACGTATCTAGTTTTTGATGTGAATATCTATACATAATATTTTATTTTTCAGTCTATAATCCTAAATTTCTAATGTTCATCAATTTTGACAAACATATATAATACCAATGTTATTACCCAATTTCAACAGCGTAGTTGGAAAACGTTTGGCTTTTAGTTTCATATGTCGTATAGTCAGACAGTGACCTCGTGATCCCATTAGGTACGTACGCTTTCGAGGCCCTACATCTCGCACGTGCCAATGCGTATCACGGATTTACAGGTCAACATTATGTATAAAGTAATAGCTGTAGACATATAAATTAAAAAATGTACCACACAACGTCATTGCATTTTATATATTGTAATATATAAATAACTATATATTCAGTTATTATATTTAAACCTACCTCACGCTCGTAAAAATAATATATAACATATTATGTTGGTCTTATCTATAATTACGATATACTTTTTCTAATAGACAAAAAAATCTGAAAGTTATACGTAGACTCACTTAACGTATAAAAATACATTGGAATGATATTCTTTAAAGTCGGTTGATAAGATACCATTTAAACTGCTTGGATTAAATTCCAAACTGAAGATCGTATGTTAATTGGGTTGGACATTAACGAATCGTCAAAAAGGACGTTCTCGTAATGAGATACTCAATATTTTAGCGTGATTGAGTTTATTTTAATTCATTTTTTAAATAGATTCTTTCATTTAAATTACCTTTAAAAAAGTGAAAAGAAAGCCTGTCTGGGATATGGGTCTGTCTGTTTACCCAGCAATGTACTTATTACGTCTCGCTCCCATGAGAATTTGTATGAAACCAAAATTTTCGTACAATTTACTAATATAATGTCAAGTTTTGCAAAAAAATTGTACGTATAAATATTTAAATAACTTTAAGACAAAAATTGATAAGTGTATCTGTTTTACGTATTTAATCATTGAAATCTGGTACATATATAAGTAAGTACATTTTATAAGATCTATATTATGTAGGATATTTTTATCATGATAATTCATTTGGATAATGTACTAATACATAAATAGCAAAAACATTTTACACCCCGATTATTTGGCCACTGACACTGTAATGTCATCATGACCTTATTTTTATTATTCAAAGAGCTATCCTTTAAAGTACTTTGTAATTAAATTATTCATCGGTCAATTTAAATTTATTTGTATATGATGATGTATACAAATTTTCATTATTACCTATCTACATATTACAATATAAAAGTTCATTATAATGATGATAGTAGGTATATATACCCGTGTATATATACAGCGTCATTATAATACAACACATCTGTAATAAATATATAATTTAGGCAGTATTATTAAAATAAATATTTGTTTAATAAATTTAGCGTTCCAGTTTTTGTTACCTTATGTAGGTATAGCTTACCTTATTGTCTCAAGTCTCGACTCTACTGGCGTGTTCTAATTTTCTTTGTTTCACATGGAGGAAACATCTGATCTAGATAAACTTGACGTGGCTTTTATTTCCGTTTATGTACACATACCGATGTCTTACAAGATAACGATAATTTTATATACATAAAATGCATATCGAGATCCTAATACTTATGTTTATTTTCCATACCAGAGCATGTTCATTTGAATTCAATGATTCATAATATATATCTATGGAGTCTGGGATTTTCATTAATTTTATAATATACTTCTTCTGACGAAAGGTATACATCCCCGTAATAGTTATATGTTTTCCATTGTATATACTTACATTCTGTTTTTATTACAATCTTTTATAATACGGTATTAGGAAATTAGCGTTTTAGTCATTCATAATAAACAAGGTCATCATACACATGTCATTTCCAATTTAATGAATTATGATACATGCGATAAAAACTGGTGTATATCTAACGTATATATGCCCTCAGATATAATATGTTTATACTAATATTGTGTCGCTGCGCAGTTTCATGTCATTTACTCAGGACGTAGACCTGACACTGTCAGAGTCAATGACCGTGCTCGACATACAAGTGTCACCATCTTATTTGGACGCAAGAAGTCACGCAGGCCCACACGAGTCAGACCATCGTCGCCCCGTGGTTCACCACCACAACTTTAACTGATAGGTAGTAAGGTCAAATCTGACCAATACCAAAATCCTTTATATAAATTTACATATCTTATAATTTTGTTACCGGAGAGTCGGTAACAAAATTAATCCGAGAATTAAGCGGTAGGCTAGTCATCTGCGACGCTAGATTACATTATACCTAGTGAAATGGAAATAACGTCTCTGACTACCACATTTGGTACACGCTGTAAGATAGATATAGTATATTTATAAGTCACACAAATTATGGGAAGTTATAATAACAACGTGCATGCATAGGGCAAAGGATGAAAGGTGTGTGCTATATAACGGAACACGGTACGGTCTATGGTAGCTAGTAAGTAAGCTGCTTAACTCGAGCTCGAAGCCGGTTATTGGCACATCCGCCTGCATTATGACTAGCCGTATATTGTGACCTGTAGGCTGAATATTGACGAAGATCAAATCGAAACTGTTTCGATTAAATGACATAATATTATTTTGTTTTTCTTGCTTGCTTTACTATACCATTATTAAAGATAGAAGTCGGATACTTTAATAATATTTCATTCCCATTTATTATTCCGGCATTTCATTTTGATTTCTGTATTATTAAGAATAACAAAGGTAAAGTTAGTTATCTACCGAAGATCCGTCATTGTTAGCCTGTAACTGTAGAATAGTTACGTGCGTTACCTACTCTTAATGAAAAACATCTTGAAGACCTGTTCTGAAGAATAGAGTTGTATTTATTTCTCTATAAATCCATCCACAGTAAAGATGGGTGACATAATGTGTGTGTGTATGTGTGTATGTGTGTGTATCATACACAATTACATAAAAAGTAATCGATTTCAAAACCACTGAATGTCTCTTGACCTGAATCAAAATAATATTGAAAATATTGTAAATGGTATTGTTTATGTATTCATTAAGAAATAAAATAATTGTATTCAGAAATTTTAAGAACCTATCAGCCTGTATCACAAGATTCAATGTTACTAATATTATAAACACGAAAGTTTGTGAGTACCTATAGATGAATAGATGAACTACATATTATATAATGTTTCTTCTCATTAATATATTTGTAATTTGTTCTCCAAGTTATTCTTCATGGCATCCTGTGGATCAATTTATACTATATGTTCTTACTACATCACCATTTGAAATAAGATTTTTTTAACATTTGACTATTTTCTTGATGTGTTGTGTGCTCCTAAATATAAACAAAACTCCTAAACTTGCACCAGGCAAGCACACATTTTCTACCAACTTGAATTGAACCCGGCAACCATCGGTAGTGAAAGCAGTGAGTTAAAATTTCAGGTTTCAATCCGGTTATTATCTACTACATTTGAAAAATCATAATTGTTAATACGTAATACCAATTATTACATTGGATTTAAAAAAAACGTTTTTTATGCGTGATCGACATCTAATCATCTAACCAAATGCATAGTATTTTGCAATAAATTTTATTAGTATCTTCATATTATACTTTGTGAACCTTTAATAGTCAGTATATTTTAATCTACAACAGTCAGTGAATTCGTAATTCAGCGGTTACTATGAATATACATAGAAATTGATTAGTTTGCTATTTTCTATGAAGCATTTGAAAATTGGAGATGGATGCTGTTGCAAGGTTCGCAATTGTAACTGTGAAATAATACATACGCCATTAAAAAAAGTATAAATACGCCTCAGATTAAATGGATCTTCTACTGGATACTGGTTAAGCTATCTAATTAATTAATCAGATGAATGATAATTTCACATCTTGCTCTTACGTGATTATTGATTACTTTATTATAAATCTTTAATTAACTAAATCCAGCAGACGTAATAATTATTTATTAAAATATTTTTGAAGATGTATTAATAAAATTATTAAATAATTCCAAGTACTACACTATTCGGTATATTGTAAATAATACACCAATTACTTCTACCTATTAAACTATATATTAGTAATAGTGTATAAGGTACTGTATTGTACATAATAATAAAATTAAGATTATAATTGTTTATTTAATATGCTTACATTAAGTACAAAAAATTAGGCTCACTGTTGTACATTATTATAATTATTAATCATTTTGTTTGTCTCAATACAATAATAAATAATCTGTTACAGTTACAAGTTACTAATTATAAAAAAATACTAAATGAGACAAAGCGATCTACATATCAATGATGGCCGAGTACTAATTCTCTATGATGTTCGGTTATAGCCTTTATCTGTAAAATATAACAATAATAATATTCAACGCTAAACATGAATATTATTTCTTTTCAGTCCATTCTAAATGTTTCCTAAAGTTCATATTAAATTAAAACTGGCTATTTTAAAGTTATTTTGGTTAAGCGTTTATAAGACACGTATCGAGCACAATACATAGCAATGTAATTACATTAATTCATCGCTAGCTAATTCAATACAAATATCTGCCTCACAGTTTATGGCAAAAGTTTTAAACTAGTCTAATTCCATACGCACATAATTTATACTGAAATTTTGCAAATGTCTATTAAAAAAAATATTAACTTAATTTAACTTATTGTATACGCACACGAGTCATTAAGAAAATACTCCATTAACGCAGACACGGTAACACATCGCGGCCAATAAATATTTTTTCTAACGTTCAGATCAAATTCACACGTCAAATTCATACACATCATTTGCAAGTATAAAAATGCTTTTTTTTTAATTAGACTGGTGATTTGTCCTGTAACGGTATCTCTTCTGGCGTCGAGTTGTTTGCGTCACTAGTAGGACGTTCATTTGGTGTTCTTGAATTTGAATTAGAGCTGAAGCGTTTTTTGATAGAATTCCAATTCTTTTTAACTGTAATACCAGCAATTACAACTACCATACCAGCTACTATCAAACCAATCACACTTTTGTTTACTCCGCCATTATTATTTTCTGCAGTTGTTGCACTAATATTAGGATCATTGGGCTCCTGTTTCGAAGGCGTCTCTTGAGGAGCGGTATCTACTATAGAATTTTGTGGTGATGCCGCTATTGGTCCTTTAACAACAGAGCTTCGCATGGAATTTGAGGACCCATTTTTAATTATAATTTCATCATTATCTGAAGTACCTACAATTTCAGAAGTTATACGCTCATCATCTGAGATTTCATTCACATCAGAATCTGGATTCTCTTGATCATGGTTATCGCTATATATCGCTCCGGGTATTACTGCCAGGTCATTGTCATCTAATGTATTAGAACAGTCGTATGATTCCTTTTCACAGGATTCGATACATAGACTTGCAACCAAATTATTTAAAGACTTGCAGGTAATTTTCGTTTGTAAATCATTAAGCGTAGATGGCAGTACTAAGTTTTGAAGTGATGTAAATTTCGTCAGTGTTTCTGGCTCCAAAGACTGTAATTCAGATAATAATACATTAAAATTTAAAATTGGTTACAACCTTCTGTATACACAATATTTTAAACTGATATATCTTGTTAATAATGTTTTTTTCCCATAATTTAAAATATAATATTTAAAATTATATAGGTATTGACATAAATTTATGTTTTCGAGTCTACATAGTCAAATTAATGGCATTTTAAAATATTACCGTGCTAATTATTATATTTAAGAAATTTGCCCTTTAGCCTCCGAGTCAGGGGTTAATTTCTTCCTCCCAGTCGAAAACTTGGGCGCTGTTCCTCAACGCACTGTTCACTAGACTTCATAATATAACTATCGTATTAACTATCGTAACCATCTTAGAGGTTTTCGATAGGGAGGAAATTAGTCAATTGAACCTGTTGCTGTCTCACTTTCAATTTTTTAAATTAAAATAAATGGACCCGATTTATTTTAATTTAAAAAATTGAAAGTAATGTTCATCGTTTTCATTTACATTTATTATTGTATTGTGTCCTCGAATTTGTCCATGCATTTTTGTGCTTCTGGGTATCTTTATTAAATTTAATCTATAATTAGTAATTATATAATATATGTATAGTTAAGAAGTGCAGTCTTCATTTTAGCATGCATGTCCATTGTGAGATAAGAATTATTTAAAGACTGCCCAAATTGTGCCCGAATAGAACTATATTTGGTAGCCGTCGCTGGGGCTATACTACACCCATTAAGTGGGTATAATTCAAGTAAAAAAAAAACTTAAACGTACCGTTCTCATATCATTGCCACCTAATGTGAGATCTGTCAATTTTGTCAATGCAAAACCATTCTTCAAGTCAGTAGGATACTCAATTAGGCGATTGTTACTGAGGTCCAGAACGGCTAACTCTTGCAACTCGCTTATCGACTGGAAAAACAAAAAAAACTTATGTTAATGTCTTTAGAAAATATAAAAATTTAACTATTCTAGTATGTATTTAATTCGTTTTATGTTGTTAAAATAGTTATACATAACAATTTCCCACATGAGAAGGAGTGTATATTTTTCCCACATGTTATCTATAAAGTCGTCTCTTGATTGCCTCTTTCTCATCTATACGAGCCGCCAGTAGCTTGAAGGACGCCAGCAATAGGTGAAACTGGCTTATATACCTAATCAGTATAAACATACACTAGTATGAATGGGTATTATTAAAAATTACCCATATCAATTCAGCTATTTCTGATTTACAAATGAGAGATATCTCTTCTTCTAGAACTTTGAAATATTCTTTCTTAACCAATAAATCTAACAGCCGAATTTCTATTACATTAGTTAACATTGTAATTTAGTAATTAATCAATGAATAAGTTTCTCTATAAATATAATTAAGAGAGTTGTGAGCTAATATTTACTACCCCAACATAGATCGAAAATCGTGAGTTTCAACCTAGCTGATAACTTTGTGTGTTAATTTATATTTACAACTAAGTCTAAAACAAAAATTATCCGAGAGAAGAACGATAGGGTCACCTTCTATATCGAAATATGGGCAAAATAAGTGTTGCGTTCATCACAATTGACAAATTAACAATGGCTCTGACAACCTATTCTGGGATAACAGTCGTGATGATTAATATAAATAAATTTAACTTACACCTGGTGCTAAGTTCATAATCAAATTATTACTAGCATTTAGAAAGTTCACGTTGTTTAGCAATGATACCTCCTTTGGTATTTCAGTCAACTTATTGTTTTGTATTTTCAATTTAGTTGTTTTTGGGTCAATAGCGTTAGGAAGTTCGGTGAGGTCTAACGATGAACAATCTGTGACAAACTCACTGCCCTCAAAATTGCACAAACATATGTCAGGACAAAGTGTTTCATCATTTGGTGTTATTTCGCCTTCACTTAACAATGTATTTGATTGCACTTCTTCAATAGGCGGACTTAGTTCAGTCGTTGAAGTGATGGGATCTGCAGGCTCCGCAATTGCCCCGTTTCCGCTTCCTTGAATGATATCGCCATCTTCTTCGGGCTGGTCTTCTGGTGGGAACTGATTGTTATTTTCTTCAGGTATAAGCAACTCGTCTTCGCTCTGAGCCACTACTGCAGTAGTAGACCTGAAATTATTACCGCACGTGATTGTCATTATATATTATTTTTATCAAAATTGATGACGTAGCTTACTTATAAGTAAAAGATAAACTGATAACATCCACAAGGGCATAAAAGTATTCGGTAAGTCAATTTACTAAGTTGATATATTTTATACAGACTATTCATATAAATGCGTGAGTCTGTTTGTTTGTTATCTTTTCTGACTAAACGGCTGAAAGGCCCAGAACTTAGGAATTTTGACTTAAAGATAGATTGTATATTGAAAACGGACTACGGGAAATATTTTTTATATTAAAAAGAAGATGCAAGTCGCGGTTAATAGCTAGTATATAAAAGTATATGAAAGAAAAATATTTATAAAAAGAAATATTTGTTTATTCTTATATATAATAACCACCGCGTCATATACTGATAATACCTCCCTGATATCGGTGTAATACCTATTGCTTTCAGCAGATTACATTTTTTCTAATGTTACATATAATTTATTTCCACGAACGAGATAGATATAATATATTTATATTATATCTCATTCGTGGAAATAAATTAGACAGACAGACAATTTTTTATTTGTATATTTATATTATTCTATAAATATCTGTGGTAGTATATAGTCTTGTTCTCACTTACATCATTACTGCAAGTTACATCGTAAGGTTCACATACTAGGCACGTATATATAATCGATATTATCACAGATTTCAAAGAATTATGAGAGTATAGCATAACCTATTGTAGTGTTTATGATAGGCATATTTAAACTAAGATATTTTGAACACTTACGCAACAGCTGCCACCAACAATAGGCAAAGATGTTTCACCTTCATGGTCACACAAATGCAAACACTATTGTAAGACGTGCCAAACCAACTGAACTCAGGAGTTGTTACCTGTGCCGCAAGTACCAACGATGCGTAGAGCACATAACTCACTGACACTTATAACTATTATCACTCATTGATAAGATTACCAGGCCACACAGCTTATCGCGAATCAAGTTCGATAACGACGCTCTGCATAAACGAGAAAATAATGTTTGGCGCTCTATATTCTATAACACCTTAAGTACATACGAGTATTTCAAGCAGTAAACGCGTAACATGGGTACCTACCTGTTTATTTAGCTACAATTTATTTACACAATTATATACAAAAAGATTCGTTTGATACGCAACAGTATTCCCGATCGCCATTATCTACGCCAGCTTACTAATTCTGAAACGCGTAAAATCTTGTAGGCATGTGAAAGACTACTGCAGCGCGTTCTGTACTTGTGTTGTATCTCTGGCAAATGCAAGGTTTGATACATAACACATTTTCTCTGCATAACAAAGTATAATAGAAAAACTGCCATGTATTTCTTTAGAAATCTGCTGTATATTTAGCCCGGATATTGTGTTGAGTCATAGTTGTTTACATAACCTATCCAGGAATTAATCGTATTTTTGTCTTTATCTTGGTTCACTATAATCGACATTGGCAGATATAGTATGTGTTATATAGTGACTGATTTGCGCTATCGGCATTCTCAATAGTGGACACATGAAGCCATCCTTGCTTACAAAATTAATCGACTATAATAAATATAATACTAATAATAATATATATTTAAAAATATTATTTTTCTGTGCTAGTTGGTACTTGCATTTTATTTCTGTTACGTTTCATTAATAGTACATTTTTACTACTTACTTTGCGATTCGATTAAAGGTCACGCTATGGATGAGCAGTCTATTATTAAACAGTTAAACAAACACGTTCCGGCTATACTCGTAGAATATCATCGCCAATTCCTTTGTTTATGTTAGAAAGTTCTTAACATTTTGAAAAGTACACGTCTTTTTTAATATTGACATAGATTTTATTTATAGGTCGGCAGGCTTGTATTCTGTAATTTAACGTATTATGGTTTACACCATAATAATTAAGAAGATCTTGAATAAAATAAAATGAGATGTATTTTATTTTATTCAAGGTCTTCTTAATTATGGTTATGGTAATATTATGGTCGTTTGAAGGCTCTTAAATATTTTCTATATTTATATAATATATTATCATATCCATTTGTTAGTATAAAATTCGAATTGCGATAAATACTGCAATATTTCCTGAAGTACAAAATGGTAAATGGGTACTTTAAGTTTGTCTGAGACAAGCAAATATTAAAAAACAGTAATTTATATGTGTCTACATGCTCGAGACGTTATCTTGCTCTTGTCAATCTATTACCAAAAAATTGTATTTGACCGGAAGGCATAACGTAACGCTGGACTTCTGTATGACGTTTACTGTGGTAGTTCACCGCCGTAGTCATAAGTAGTAAAATAATTTAAACTACACATATATATAATATTTCGCGCATAAATTAATAAGAAAAAATTACGTCCAACTTTATTCATAAATTCAAACATCTTAACTTAGTAACACATTTATAATATTAGTTACTTGTTATATTCCTAATTTAAACATTGCCGGACATTTACCAACACATTATCTGTCAAATCCTATGTTATTTTCTATTTATAATTCTTCAATGATTACAATAGTTTTTATAGCACAAAAGTTCGCAAGATTGATATGATATCTCCACCAACTTCCTTGAACGACAGCTGATTAAATATTAATATAACTTCCCAAATATATATCAAACTTTGTGAAATATTTAGATGATTTATCGTGATGTGTCATAATTATTAGAATGTTTTACTGTCTTTTTGCTTGGAACGGAAACCATAATATTATCAAATTATGATTGTAATTATAATGAAAACTTGCAAACTGTGGGTCAGGCTTAAAAACAGAATGTTCCACGTATAACAAATAACTAAATTATAATTTTCATGATATATATCAAATCGACTACATAACTTAGTTTGTGTACATGGTTTTCAATTATCTTTTTACGATTGCACTACTGATTGTTATGAAATTTGACGTAAAAATTGCAGACACGGACATAGGCTATCTTTATTCTCAAAGGACGCAGGCGAAGTCGCGAGTTCTGAAACGATAATTATTACAGTTTTATCGATTCAGAAACTTCGTTTTCATAATATTTCAAAAATAAATATTTAGTTAATAAGACTATTAAGATAATAAAAATTTATAACGCTTAACTCAACTGAACTTACAAATGAACAGGTATCTATTGTATCACAAATTGTCAACAGTACTGCAATGGCGGTGACCTGGCCGACTATCTACAAGCAAATCGGCAGCTCACCGAAAGCACCATCCGTCTATTTCTACGACAGCTGGCGGAGGCGATGCGAGCCATCCACGCCAAAGGCATAGTCCATCGAGACTTGAAGCCACAGAACATCCTCCTCACACACAACGTCGCGCCGCCTCGCCTGCCGCATCCCTCCGAAATTATTCTAAAAATTGGTACGTATTTTAAAAATTACACAATACTCAATTATTGATATTTATGTAATAATTAAGAGCTTAGAGGAAATATCCTTTTTAAATTACATGCCGTTAAATCCAAAACAATTCATCAGACCATTCCATGACAATAACAACTTTCTACTTAAAAGTCTATGAATATATTTAACTGTATCGTTCATGTATTGACTTATTAAAAAATCAATAATTTATTATACAATAAACTCAATTGAATAGCTATAATAAATTAACAAAATTTATTCAAGTAGGTACTTACGTATAAATATTCATACCATACATGCGTTTCTTTGTAATTTATTATGTTTCATGTGAGTTTCTTTCCGTGCAGCTGACTTCGGCTTTGCAAGGTTTCTCGAAGAAGGAAACATGGCCGTCACACTTTGTGGCTCACCAATGTACATGGTAATTGATTGCTTATGGATTATTAGCTTTATATGTTTTTAACAAGGAAATTTGTTAACCGACCTCTATAGAGTTCTTCTAATGTTATTTTTTTTTTGTTTTGATACCTCAGAACTCTCTCTATTATAAATCGATTAAACAATATATTTTTATAGCAGAGATACGATTTTGTTAAAAAATTAATTATTCTTATATTATTACTAGTATTAACATATAGTATTATACTATACTTTCTGTTTATTCACAAAGAAATTGCATCATTATTTTTCAGTAAATAGCTTTTTAAATTAAATACAAGTAAAATATAGAATATTATCTTATTCAAGTGTACTATGCCAGAATGTGCCCAATGAACTGCCTATCTTCCGGCTTTACCATCAGATAATAATGATGAAACTAGAAGTTTAATAACTGGAACACCGTAACGAAGTTTGAAGTCTGTTTTTCTGTAGTACCAAATTAATTATGGTATATATTTTAATATTACAGGCACCAGAGGTTATAATGTCGTTAAAGTACGATGCTAAAGCCGACCTTTGGAGCCTTGGAACAATTGTATACCAGTGCCTAACTGGTAAAGCTCCTTTCCAAGCTACAACACCACATGAACTTAAAGCCTTCTACGAGAACAGTCATGGCCTTCAGCCCAAGTGAGTTATGAAATAAAATTATTCTACATTGTCTATACTCTATATTATACCTGTGAATAAATTGCAATTTTAATCTTTTGATGTATATTAGCAGAATAGAAATTATATTGGACCCTAGTCCAATATAATTTCTATATTGGATGATGACCCTAGTCAATGAAGATTATTTATAAATTACTATGATATTTGTAACACTACTCCAGCCATTTAAAACTACCATTTGTAAGAGTTTTACGAAACTCACTTCAAAGTTTAATATTTTCTGATCGTCTATTTCTTAGTCTTCAACAATTTGGATGCCATTTAAAGGGCTAGTGATTAGTCTCAACGACGTCATCGTATATAGATCCATCACTCTATGATGGGATGGATCTATATACGATGACGTCGTTACAATTTTCTCAAGGAAAATATACAGGCTGAAAATAAAATTCCGATTTAGACCTACATACATATCTAAAAAACATAATGTTATTCATACCTGGATGAATGTCACCTTTTTGTTCTTGAGACAAGTACGTAGAACACGTTACATATTCAATGTTAATTTCTTCTCATAACTCATTCTATGTAGTATGTGGGTAGAGTTAACAGAAAATTGCGTATATAATAATAAAATTTCCATTAAAATTGTTATATTGGAGTGTACAAAATGAATGATTAATTTCAGAATGCCACTAGGCACAAGCGAAGAGTTATGCAACCTTCTCATCGGTCTTCTACGACGAAATCCACGTGAGCGCATGACCTTCGAAGTATTCTTCAACCATCCGTTCCTCCAACGTCCACGCACTACGTCCATTACAAGTTTGTATTTTAATTTTACACTTACTACCTACTCATGTACTAGTTGAAATTGTTGATAGGACATGGAGAGTTTATATAAATACAGTAGCATAGCGTGAGTGATAGAGGTAGAGGCAGCCATAGGCAGAGTTTAATTAATAAAGATGATTAAGATAGAGGGGTGCCGATTGGGCCTAGGCGGGGAAAGACACTACGCCGCTGTACATATATATAGAAAAAATGAAAGTAAATATGTTAAAGTTGTTGCAAAAAATATACTAATACAATACAACATGATTCATTTATTGAAACCGGACGCATTGTTAAGTATTATTACCACTTACAAAATAACATCCTAATACATTGAACATTCATAAACCTGTATGACTAATCATCGGTATAGTCTGACCTTTAATGATGACATTACTATATAAACAGTTTTCCTGTAGATTTCCTTAGACATATCCTTTTCCTCATTCATTTGAAAGTAATTCATACCATTTAACAAAAAGAAATGAAATTTGCAATGTAATGTTGTAATCATGATAATGCTTTAAAATTGTTTATTGTACCTAGTCTAATTATCTAATAATATAAAATCAACAAGACTTGTATTATATGTACTTTTCCTAGAAAACGCTCTAACGATTTGGTTAAAAAATTCTACTTTGATAACAGTTTCCTTTTCAAATTTATATATATATATATATTATCTTCTCTGGAAAACGTGATTCTACAAATCACTTCGAACAAAGTTTTGAACATATGGTTTTCTATATGTATCTAGCAACTTTATTAACCTAACTTACATACCGATAATTAAGAAAGTTAATCTTAGTTTACTAAAATTGCTAAAACTTTAGAAGTTAACTAAGATTCGTTTAATGTCGTTTGTACCATCTCGATAGTTAAATATCTTGGTACCTAAACTGTTTAATAAAAAAAATTAAGTACTAAAAAGAACTCTTGGAACGTCATTACATGTGTATAATGTCTTTTATAAGCAGTGATTGATTAGACTCCACGGATATTTTCAATCTAATCAAATTTCTAAATTGATAAATTTTAATCCTTTCTATAAGCGCCTCTGTAGGCGTCATATTAAACATTTTTTGATAAAAAGAACGTGTAATAAACTAAATAAACGACTGGAAATTAGCCACGCAATGTATATAAACTCCATCCATGTTGTAGTTTATAGATGAAATCACTATAGCGAGAATTTCCCGTAACGTTTCCAGGTATAATGTAACTCATTATAAGACCATTACAAAACGTCTTGTAACTTACACATGAACAAACACTGCTTATTTATTCACTTTCGCTGATGACCAGAAGCATTAAGTCCGTTAAATTTTGAATACTTAGTTTCACCACAAGGTGTAAAATTGGTATATCACGGTATCTGAATATTGTTCAGGTTTGGACATCGATACGCCTGACATATTGGACAGCGATCTAGAGAGCGGGGACAATACTAACAGTTACCTAGTGGATTCGTGGAAACATCAGGGTACTTATTTACCGACTCTTACTAACACAACCAGTCATAGACACATCGGTTTGTGCATGGAATGAGGGTGACAACATATCGATAAACACAGATTGTACCAACTTTTTAAAGGGAGAATGACAAACCCATAAGTGTATATGTTAAGTGATTTTAACAACTAAAATTAATTCATATTACATCGACTTTAATATTTTCTCGCATTATTTTTTACACCACCATAGTAAAATCTAATCTTTTGTGAAACATTCTAAATGAAATAAATTCGGGACAAACACACGACTTGTATACATTCTGTTGCTTAAACGCATAGCTTACATGCAAACAATGTATACTGTATGTACTTTACACGATGCATCCTTCAAATATTTCCCTGATGAAATTCACTAGCTCTCGCCACGTGTGCCTAATCGCTTCTCGTTCGTCTGTACTTATTTGTTAATTTATAATGTACAGAGAGCTCGCACCCTTATAATAATTTATCGTGGCTACAGCTTGTACAAGTTCGAACAATGCTGCTGCGGGCAGTTCCGTGGGGCGAGCCACTGTGCGCGGCATGAGTGCAGTCCCCGCGGCAGCGCCAGCCCCGGCCTCCGCCCCGGTGTCGCACGCGCTACCCATTTTGCAGCAGAGAAAGCCACAGCCTACTTCCTCTGGTGAGAAACTATTGCTTACAATGTATCTCTGTAACTGACTAATTACTCAGACACGTTTAATTCTGTTCTGCATACACGCGATACGTCCAACGATTAGTATATATATTTTGATTTTATGAAACAAAACAGGTTCTTTGAGGTGCTTTTGTCATTGAGGTGCCTGCATATGCAAATAGACACTAATGTATACCTATGTAATGATTTAGTATTAAGCGGCCTGTTGCAGGGTTTTTTATATCGAGTTATATTTTTGTTGTAGTACTAATCAAATTTGTTCCCCCAGTCAGCACTCATTTGTGTGTTCATTTACTGTTTATTATTTGTTATATACTGCATCCGTAAATTGAACTCCTTGGAAAACCTACTTTGCAAATTACACAATATGCTTTCAGTGTGCAGTTATTTTTTTAATACATTGTCTGAATAAATACAATACTCAAAAACAATACAGGAAAAATAGTACCATGTTATACATTTTGTTGATTTTCCTGATATTTCTGAGAGATTTAATAATATACAAAGAAAAATTATAATATTGCAATACTATGTAGGTAATATCGTATTATCTTCTTGAAAAGTTCAGATACCTTAAGAATTTACATGAAGGGGTTACATAATGAGCTGCTTATTGTGTGTAAAACCTTTTGTTTTTGTGATCGTTTAAAGTAATAGAATCTGCTATTGATATTTGTTTCAACTTAACATACTACACCACGTACATACTTGCTTACGTATATTACGTGACAAATACTTATTTTTAGAACTAATAGTAGTATTCAGTGTACATTACTTAACATTTTTTTAAATACCTACTAATGTTAATTGTTATAATGTTTACGCTACAATATTTTAACATAAATATCAAATTCATCCAAATTAGCGGTGTTTTCTTAATTTCAAATTGTTTTCACTGCACTTCTTTCATGGTTTATCGTATCATCATTATACTGGTTGTTTACGACTGCTTCGGGAAATCTCTTAATGCTTACGATATGCAATTAACCTCAATATATAATAATATAAAGCATGACGCTTTTAACAAAGCCTGACGTCTTTATATTGAAATCAAAATTTGAAGATAATATTAGATTTACACGATAGGTGTTGTAACTATTTGTATCGTCCATGACTAATTTATGTCGTAATTTGTCTTCTTATTTCCCTGTTATATTTTCTGCTAGACGTGTAACCTGTGACGTCTACGCTTAGCTGAACTGATTAGGTCGCAACCGGGTTTTATTTTTATGTTGATGATGCAATGGCGCAGCAGTTTACAATGATGAGGCACGAGTGGAAGATAAGTCGGTCAGGTGACTGACCCTGCTGATCATCGTAGCTACTTCTGGGATTACGACGACAGAGAATTAAAAAACTATTGTATTTAGAATAGCCCAAAATTGTTTTATTATTAAATTTCATTATACGTTTATTGTAGTTGGAAAAAATTAAATAAATTTTCCAACTTACAGTAAATGTATTTCGTAACGTTAATAAGGCAAATAAATGATATTAAAACTTTGTCGTAATTTGTACGTGAGTTCAAAATTACATCGGCCATTCGATTCCGACCTGCCCGAAACGCAAACTCTGAGCGGCCCGGACTGTAACGATTTCCTGCTCTAATATGTATCGTGTATGTGCCGCAGCGGAGTCGTCGGACACGATGTGGGCGGGCGAGGAGGACTTCGTGGTGGTGGAGGCGGCGGAGGGCGGCTCGGCGGAGTGCTCGGCCGCGTCGTCGGGCTCCGAGGCGGCCCCGCGGCCGCGCTCGCTGCCGCTGTCGCCGCCGCCCGCGCCCGCCGCGCTCTCCCCCGCGCACGGCCCGCACGCCCCGCACGGCCCGCACGCCCCGCACGCCCCGCACACCCCCGCGCACGCCCAGCCGCAGCCGCACCACCCCGCCGCGCTGCCGCAGCCGCAATCCTCCACACACTTCCGGGTCAGTTTATATTTTAAATAGATAAAACGCTAATTTTTATATTTATTTATTTATTCATTCCAAACGATTCTAGTTGTGTAGGATAACCTAATAGGAACTTTAAAGTAAATTTTCGTCTACAACATAATAGCAACTTAAGCAGTAAATCTCGTTATGTCATGCGATTAGTCCTTATAAGTGTTTATGGTCATCATTATAATAGTTGTCTACAGAATAGTAACGCTTATTCGACAAAAATGCCCTCAATCTAGTCTTAAACAATGTGGCATTGTAAGCAGTTTCGGAAGTAATAATAATAATTATTTATTTATTTCCCTGAATTGTTTCATATGTTCACATTAACATTGATTACTACACTAGCCTGGGTCTCTCCTGTAAGAACGGGAATAGGAATTTAATGTACAAGATATTTAGGTCTAAAAATACGGACAATTTTTTAAACCAAAATATCTAATAATATCCAACAAAGTAAACTAATAGAATAGTGAGTGGAGTGAATTTATAATATTTAAGACAACAACAAAAAATTATTAACTAAAGCCTGTAATATATAAAATTTGTATTACAAAATTTAATACTCATAATAAAATAATCTGTTATAATTATACACATGTGCTATAATATTCTGCACTAGTTACCCGCCCAGGCTTTGCACGGGAGTATACATATATTATACTTATAATCCTCTTGATTCACTCTATCTATTGTTATAAACTTTATTAAAATCCGTTAAGTAACAGTTATGTAAAAATTATTAATTGATACAAATTGGAACTCTAAACGCCCTAAAATGTCCTCTAACACTTAATAAATACATGTTATTAGGGACAACTATTATAATTACTATTAATAATAATTAAGTTTATTGTGTAAATTACAGAACCCCTTTGACCTGACATCTAATAATAATATTCCGCGATCACAGCCTATCGATGTGCTCCGATCGAATAGTCGAAATGCAACCAACATCGGCTCGCTGTCACCACCCACTGTGAGTAACCAGCACTTGACCGTTGTTTATAAATAAGAAATATATAAATGTAACTTCACGACTATTATCCTATATGGCGTAGTCAAACGTATTGTCAACTTGACATAGTAAACGCAACACTTGATATTCTCACGTTTCGCTGATTATATTGGAATCCAACGTAGCAAGGGGCGAACCTATATGGTGGTATATTCATACATGTATATTGAGACATATAGGTATGGTGAATATACCACCACACAATATACCACCACACTTGTTAAATTCATTTGACAATATTTGTGTGTCTCTCACTCTATATTTTAGTTTCCAAAAGAAACACTTGATTTTCAATTAGTTGATCTTGTATACTGAATAACTAATAGATATACATAGTACTTATACATAGAAACACACTTTATAACAATATTGTTTATGTATAGATGAAATATATTCAAAATAATATAAAAGATTATCAAGAGCCGTAATTAGTTTAAAATGTACAATTCGATGATATGCTTTTTTTAAACTTATTTTTAACTATTATCTTACTAATATGATATAAACTTACTATTATATTTATATTAACAATAACTATTATTATTAACGTAGAAGTTTGTAAGTGTGGTAGAATGGGTGGATGTTTAAACTATTTCACACAAAAACTACTAAATGGATTTTAATGAAATTTTACAATAATACGGCTTAGACATCAGAATTATTATATATAAATATACAAATTTTAATTCTTAATAATATTATAAACGCGAAAGTTGTGAGGATAGATAGATGTTTGTTACTCATCACGCAAAAACTACCGAACGAATTTTAATGAAATTTTACTGTAGCTTATACATCAGAATAACATAGGCTATTAATATAACGCGGGTGAAACCGCGGACACGGCTAGTAGACTGAATTAGACGGCGGTCTAAGCTAGTATTGTAATCGGACGCGTGCAGGTGCCGTTCACGATGGGCACCACCCCGCGGTCGACGCGGCGCCGCAGCAGCAACTCGGGCAGCTCGCCGCCGCCCTCGCTGTGGCAGGTCTCGCCCACCAACGCCAGCCCGCTGCGCAGATCCGGTATGCACACGCACATTATAATAATACCCCTAGACAATGCACATGACGCCATCGGCTATTTCATTTATTTTTTTACGGGATTATACAAATCTATAATTAATGTTAAAGGTTGTTTTCTATAAAAAATAAATAGAAATTGACATGAATGTATGCATTAAAGGAAATCAAACATATATTTTGCTATAATCATTATCATGTGTACGACTATATTTTTACCGTCTAAAAATCATTCTGCACTGAATTACTGAATAGTTATTTTATAACAAAAATTTCATACTACCTACTATTTTTAATATAATAATAATAATAAACAGTTGTCGCAATCTTTTGTATCGTGATATAATATTAATATTCATTAAATAATACTGTTTTGGATCAAGTTTGAGTTGATTTTGCAATATATAAGAAAGAAACTATAATAAATTGTGCTCGTATTAAATGTATTGATTTCTGTGTAAGTGTAGAACATATAAATAATATGTTAGGTTCGTCCCCGCCAGTGTCGCTGGCGTTGAAGGCGAGCAGCGAGGCGCCGGGCGGCGGCAGCTCCCCCAAGCGAAGTGCGGCCCTGCCCGACGCACTCGTGCGCGGCCTGCGGCTGCACCAGCCCGACCCGCCCCTCTACATACCCAACCTGCAGGAGGAGACCATACTCGCGGTACGTACGCCGACACCGCAACGAACGACAACCTGTTACTAATCCGAAGCGCTAACCGCGTGGAATACAGTCTATTTTACTTGCTGCTAATCCAGATATGCATTGATCAATTGGTTTATGGTATAATCAATTAAGTATTCGTATAGTTTATGCATTACAAGCAAATATACAAATTATGAAATCTTTCTTCTTTATATATTACTACTATTAATATTCTACTATACGGGACTAATTATTTTTATTTTTGCAACCATTTCAGGAGGAACACAGTAAAGTGTTCTCTCAACTCAATTTCGTCCTGATGTTAGCAGAGCTGCTCTCAGATCTCGCCGTATCTTGCGGATCACCCATTGCAGCTCTCATGGATGTCTCTGACGGTAAACATGATTAAAATAATATATAAAAGTATTTAATCAATATTCCTTCACAAACATTTAAAAATCGTTGTAATTTAGACATAATGAGCATTAATATAGCTAATGACACAAAAAATATTTTTATTAATATAAGAAAAACGAGAAATATTTAGTACAAAATAATAGATAATAAAACTTACACACTATACGCGCAAATAATTGACAATGCAATTAACGTATGTGCAAATATGTAAGTGCACGTGATTGTACTAATGACAGTGTCCTATTTACAGAGCGCTGTAACGAAAGCGTTCGCCTGGGTCTCCTGGTGCAAGCGATGCAAGCACTCGCAGCCGGACTACAACTTGCGGCACAGCACTACCGCTCGCGAACGCTGCAGTCCACGCCACAAGTACGCCACGGTAAGTGAACCATGCCAACCATGCCTCTACCCTCTGCGACGAAAGTGCCAAACTCTTTGTCTCAGTAACATGTATTTCTTTCTAGTCGTTCAGTTTTGAGTAGACCCGCTCCGATACTAGGAGTATTGAATTTTTGTCTTTGATTCAATATGACAGCTTCCATTCTTGAATAATTTTTTAATATATTAATTACTTCAAACTACATAATTTGATTACATTATTGCTGTATTAAATGGAATTGTGTAATATCAAGGTTTATATATTTTTTTTTTAAACAAGACATGGATTGACTGTACTTATAGGAATTAAATTTGACACAAGATTTTCACAAGGAATATAGCTAATCTAAAATATTAGTGTAATTATTTCCATTTGACTTTGTTCTATTCACCGAGTTGATAAGTAACACCAACAGGTAAAGAATGTGTATTAAACTATATTTTATTTCCTTCCCAAGTTGTGTCACTGATGAACGGGAAGTACAAGTGGATAGTCAACGAATCCAGGAGACTACATGACTCTGGGATCATCCCCGCTGTATGCGATAAAATTCTCTACGAGTATGCAATTGAGCAGGTAAGAATTTCAGTATATTATTGATATATATTCTACAGGATCAATGTTATACTAAAGTAATAAACTACTGACGTTGTTATCTAGCAAGTATGGTATGTAACAGAATTTTATACTATACATTATACATTTCAAAACTAACATTTTCTTTATACAAATATTTCTTTGCCAGTTAACAGTTTTTCACTGCATTAGAAAAATAAGTAGCGATGTAGAACACCCATGATGTGTAGCGTAAATTGTCTATGAAGGTCGATTCACGCAAGTTCTAAATTTGCGCAAGTATTCAATATTTTCATTTTAATTGGTGACAGTGTCAGAAGGCGGCACTGGAGGAGTTGTTCGGCGACGTGAAGGAGTGCGAGCGGCGCTACATGTCGGCGCAGGTCCTGCTGCACTCGCTCGTTCAGCGGCACATGCACCCGCACCACCGCACCACCCTCACAAACTGTTAGTATCCCTCTCGTTTCCAATAAAACTATTCTAATGCATAATACCATAAACTTCACGCCATCACAATAATATATATCTTATATATAAAACTACTGTACTACTGTGACACGAGAATCTTATATATAAAATTCTCGTGTCACAGTTTTCGTTCCCATACTCCTCCGAAACGGCTTGACCGATTCTCATGAAATTTTGTGAGCGTATTGAGTAGGTCTGAGAATCGGCCAACATCTATTTTTCATCCCCCTAAATGTTAGGGGTAGTCCAACCCTAAATATTTTTTTTTTATTTTAAGGCAAAACGTTTGCCGGGACAGCTAGTATATATATAAATCCATACTCGTGTATGTAAACGATGAGGAGTGCAAATCGCTTACAATAAAGTAGTGTCATCAAATATCCCAAGTTTTGTTCGGAGACTGGTTATTCATAGTTTCTTTTTATTTTTTATATTATGTCTATTCTATGATTGTTCTAGATCGAGATGCAGTGCAGAAACGACTCAACTGCCTAAAGGGTCCACGTAAAATAATGGATGTAAAACTCGAAACTGGGATCTCATAATCTAATAAGTTAAAAGTCATAGTTATAAGCACACATCAAACAAGATGAGAAGTGATTTTATTTTGTTCTCAAAAACTGACTCACAGTGAGGGATAACCTAATAAATGATAAAAAAAAGTGTATAAAATGACGGATAAGTGATTGATATATAAAAATCATTGAATGATTATTAACAGAGATTGCAATAGTGGATTATATTTTTTTATGTGGAGCACTAGACTTCATATAACCTGTAGCATATATGTATATGATCGTGTAGAACATTCTAGTGTTGAAAGAATGTTATTAACCTCTATAAATTGAAAACAAATTTAGTATAGTTATTCTCTTGCATCATTTTTAAATAAATGGTTGTATCTTCTAGTAAGGTTTGTAACAGTAGTACAAGTTTTTCATGAGGCGTTATATAAACTAATTACAGTAATATTTCACCCATTTTTAGCCATGTGAGACTTAATCATAAAAAATGAAAAAAAATTAGAGTAGTGAAAGTAGTATTGTTTCCAATTAAGTCTTATAAGTAAATTAACATTTTATTATTACCGACTATAAGTGTATTATGTAAATGCAATCTATGATATATCTCGATATAGATACAATGCTATAGAGATCTCATTATTGACCAATAACATTATGGCATTTTTAGGTTAAGTTACAAATTATAAGTATTTCTTTTGAATCTAGTATGAATTTTTGTGTATTTTTTTCAAGTCATAATTATAAATTTCGTATACCTATTGCCAATTGTGATCATATTATTATGTTTTTTCCTCAAACATGTTCAATGCTTTACTGAAAATAAAATAAAGACTGTTGTATTATAAATTTATTCCGTTTTTTTACACCATTTTTTACCAGCGCAAAACTCTCGTAATACATACAATAATGTGTTTCCAAACAATATCAAGTGATTAGGTTAGACTTCAGATTTTTAAATTATTCATTTTAACTACTCTAAGAAATACAAATGATTAGGTACTTAAAAAAAATATTAGAATTGAACAAACACACCGGTTCCTTGCTTTAAAAATTTATATGGTTTCATTCTGTTACGACCCCGAAATGGGAATAACATTACTTTATCTGGTGGAAATTCTGAAGATCCTGTCGTTTCTAATAAAATGTCAAGGTATGTCAATAGTTTAGTCATTTGTAATGATAAAGTAGTCTGCTTATTGTCTTCAGCAATCCATTGTGTATTTATCACTCTTTCAATATCCCTAATGTCATCATTTATACCTGAATGATGAGTACCATTCCAATAAAGTGTGAGAGAAAAAATTGGAGCTTTTTTCGGGTAGTCACTTCTAAGAGCTACCAATGCTACTAATTTAGCAGATTGCCTTGTAATAATGGCACGATACAACATATCATTATTATTGACAACTCCTTCAGATATTAGAAAAGCTGTAGATGGGGACTGACTGTATTCTGGCCATCCAACTGATTGCCATTGTGTCAAAGATCCGGATAATCGTAGGGGCATATTCCCTTTTACAGACAAGATTTTTCCCGATTCTAAATCCTGCAATTCCTTCATCAATTCTACTCTTGATTTTAATCGTTTCTTCAACGTCAAAATGAAGTTTTCAACTGTAGTTACACTTAGACTCTGACATGGCTGAACAACTTTGTTAGATTTATTTTTATCTAAAACAGCAGCCATAAAATCTAAGCCGCACATTCTCTGAGCCCAGATGTATGGTCTACCAACTTCAGAAATAAAATAATTGAAATCTTCTTTTATTCCTGCACTATTCAACAAGTATGTGGTAGCTGGATGAGGAGAATCATTCCCTGTATCAGCTGGGTAAAGCTCATTTAGTATACAGTGACCACTTAGAACATCAGCAGCTGACACTCCAGTGACAGGTTTTGGTAGTGTAACAGTAAATTTCACAACTACAAACTTTAAATGTAGAAGATAGGAAAACACTAAATTTAATGCTGTGCCATCTGCAACTTTCACTGACAGCTGAATACTGAGTGGATGTTTCCTAAGCACTGCCTTCTTTTTAGCTTCCGCCTTTTCTTCTTTCGATATCTTAGAAGATCTGTGATGTCGTTTCTTTTTATCTCTGTGCTCGTCGTCATTATTTTCCTGGTCTGAATCAGAATCATTTGATATAACCAACTCAGAATCTACAATACTAAGTTGTTCCAACCTTCGTGCGTCATCTTCATCTCCAGATATACCTTAAACCATTAGAATAATATTATAAGTAATATATGATAAAAATATGAAAACAATTCTTAACTATTTAGCAATTACATTGAGTTCACAAATATATCATCAGAGAGACAACCTTAATGATATTGTAGTATCACACACTGTCTTCTAAAGGTTGTAGGTTCGATTTCAATATACATACATACCTAAACTAAACAGTTAGATGGCATTGTCTGTGTTACAGACATAAGGACATGAATATTTATTGAAATTATAATTATTCATTTACGAAATATTGGTACAGTCAGTAGATAAGTTGTGACATAATTTAATTGCCTGCAAATAAATGACGTCGCAACTTAAATATTATTAAATAAGAAAGTATTTATTTTTGTAAGAAATATTCTTTAATACTGTAAAAATTATTGAACAATAGACAATTCTTAAGTTTGTGTTTAAATAATTGAAACCAAATATCAGACTGTGACATTATTATTAGATTATAATTTTATTGAATACCTACCAACTGTGACAGTTTTGGCACCCAGTGCATCAGAATATGCGCTTCCATTTGCATAAAGCAGAAATAAAGGCAGTGGAAGGAGAGATGCAGCTCTGGCTTCATCTCGTTTTTCATCTAATCTGAGAGCTAAGCATTCCTGAAGTGGTTTAGTGGACTTAAGCACATCTTTAAGATGTGGTGCCAGAGCTTCAAGTCGAGAACGAGTAGCAGCAATGGCAGCTGCCACTCTCTCTTTAGATGCTACAAGTTCATTACATGCACCAGCCAATTCACGACGCTGACGTAACTCCCACTCTAATCTTGCTAGCTGTAGTTGATGCTCATCAGTTTTAGTTACTTCCTGTAATAAAAATTATTATTATCACTTTATTAACACAACAAATTCTATTCAAAATCATTTAGACAATTCTGTGTAATTCAGACACAAATATATAAACATAACTACAAACTTTCACATTTATGTTTAGTAGGTTTAAGTAGATTATCTTACTTGTCGAGATATTTCAGTAGGTGCATTTTCATAAAAATCTTCTATGGGAACCAACTCAATCTCTTCATCCTTTGATTTAAACTGAAGGCACTTTGTGACTTCTTTATTAAGATGATCCGCTTCATATAATAAATTCTGTAGAAGTAGATGTGTAGAGTCTACCCTCTGCTTCTCCTTGTGAAGGGCATCACGACCTGCTCTTGTACGTACTTTCTCAAGCCTATTGAGCTTCTTCAAAGCTACTAAATGTAGTGATGCTTCTATTCGTTTTGCATTAATTTTATCTTTAGCCTAAAATATAGATGGTAAATTATTAATTTTCTGTAAAGCATACAATTATATTTTTATTAATAATGAAATTTTCCTAAATATTATGGATGGCAATCATTATGTATCTGTTTAACACACTGTTTTATCTTCTGATGATTGCATGTTGGATGGATGTAGTAGGAACATTTGTGTTCATATTTAAGTATCAAAATGTGTTTTATGTATTATATATTGTTATAATAAAAATTTGCACATGGTGTAGATCTAATACGTGCCAGGATGTACATCCTGGCACGTATTAGATCTACATACTTCCCTAGTACACCTTTCTTCTTTAGGGCCCACCACAAAACTAGACGGGGAATTCGGTCGTTTGCCTTTTCGAGATCGACAAATACCATGTGCAAATTTTTATTTACACTCCGGTATTTTTCGCACAGCTGGCGTAGTGCAAAAACGGCATCCGTGGTGCCTCGACCAGGCATAAAACCGAATTGATTTTGTTACGTCCGATCGGCGGTAGGTGCCTCCGACAAATTCAGTGTGGCGGTAGGCTTACACTAGGGTTCGGCTCTAAGCCCTTACCTCTTCCTCATTGTAATGGATGCTCTGATATCGGACATTCAGGACGAGGTGCTTGTTGCTTGTTGGTGAGTATGGAATCGAGGTCAGGGTAGACTAGATAGATGGCAAGAAAACTGGAGAGTGTTGGCTTGAAGATCAGCAGAACTAAAACTGAATACCTATTCTGCGATTTCGGCGGTTCTGTCTAAACGGTGTAATGCTTCCGGTCTGCTCCGATTTTCGGTACCTCGGTTCAGTTATTCAAAACAATGCCGACATAGACCGCGATGTAAGGCACAGAATTAGTGCGGGATGGATGAAATGGCGACAGGTCTCGGGAACGATATACGACCCCCGAATGCCCTTGAAACTAAAGGGTAAAGTTTATAAATCAATCATAAGACCTGTCATTTTGTATTACCAGGAATGACAGAATAAGGAATGTGTATATACATACGAGGAAGTTTGAAAGTTGCGCCGGTTATAGAAAAGTTGCGAGGTAACAGATTGACCTGGTATGGGCATGTTATGCGGAGGAATGAGGACCATGTCTTATGGAAAGTGTATAATATGAATGTGAATGGATGTAAAGGGAGGGGACGCCCTAAGAAAAGATTGAGGATTGTGTAAAAGATGATATGAATAAAAGAAGAGTATGTTTAGATATGACGACCGATAGAGAGCAGTGGAAGAGAATGACATACTGCGCCAACGCCAAATAATGGGATAAAGGCAAGGCAATGATGATGATAATGATGTATAAATATAGATATATACAGAAGAATGTATTTCTGTCATTGTCTAGTTAATTTACCTGAAATTGTAGATGGAGTAGAAGGGTCACTATTTATTTTTTATTTAGAGGTTTGGGGTACTGTCAGATGATCGTTAGCACTGCAATCTACATAGGCCATCTAGTTTGCTACCTAGACACATCAGAGTCAAGAATTGAAGGATATTCTTAGGAGCACTGGTTTTTATCTCCTCAGAATAGAGTGTATACTTTCCAAAGGAAGGCGGGCTACACCATATAGGATGAGTAGTGGCATTTCCTCTTCAGATCGGCAAAATCTAAAGAATTTTGTTGACCCCAGGCCTCAGTTTGCCATGCATTATTTAATCTGCAGTGACCAGTGAAACAGTCAGTCATAGGGTCACTGAGTATAAGACTAATTGGTTGTGAGATGTCCACAGTAATTAAGTTATTTAATTTATTACCTCTTCGGTATTCTTCGCTTTTAGGGCCACTATGTCAGAAAACAGGTCACGGATATCTTGACATATCTTTTTAAACAAAACAGCATCCTTGTCAGCTGGTCGAATTTGTGCTTCTGTTTCTTCAAATTCCACCACACGCTTTGTAACACAAATTGCAAATAAGATGTTAAAACTAATATTCGTTCATAAAACAGGGGTCATGGTGATAAACAATTAATTAATATATATATAAATATAAAAATGCAAACATCATTTTTTGTTTACTGTTTACGCTGTACTATTATATTAAACTACATACTTTAATTATATATATATTTGTACATAATTAATAAACTATTGTATATACATTCATACAAAATTATTCTTAAATTAAGAAAAAAAATAAAAACGTAAAATGTTACACATTACTTTGTTTACTTTATTCTAAATAAATCCATTCAGCTATTTAGCCATGAAAAGAAAAACAAACATAGACCAACTGACACCAACATTTAATGTTAGTTTGGGTTTTTTGCATATAACTTTCATTATAAAAACATCCTGCATGCGAGATGAATGCTTGTTAAAAACTAAGGTATGAAAAAGATTTAAGGCTGTATAATATATAACCTAAACATAAAATTATATCTTAAACCTGTTAGTAATAGTAGATGTAACAGGCTGTTATATCTACGAAGCAATTTATAATATAGAGGTTAAGTTAATAGTTCCAGTGAAAATACCGGAGGGAGATTAATATTACACTTGCTTACCTTATACACATCTACTGGCGTTTGTCTAATTGGTTCACTTGAATTACTGTTATTTAATTTACGGCGTTTTTTAGAACTTTCGTCTTTACCCATTATATATAATATAAATATTAAAAGATCAAGGTTTTAAAAGATAATTTAATCAATTCGCTAAAATGCTTAAAATGAAATTAATACAATCACAGTCACAGATACAAATCTAGTAGTAGTGGTATATTTTATCCACAAGTGGATAGGCAAAGGTACGAGACCATACAGCCTAGATACAAATCTATTGTCAATCTACTCTGCAATACCTTCACTGCCTACGTGCGCGTACACCCGATAAGGATGGATATAGAGTACATCTTACGCATGGTGTTGCCGGATGATATGAACTTAATTAATTTACCCACAAATATATAATATTATTATAATTTATTATATTTTTTTGTATGTACTTTTTTACATTTTTAATTACATAAATAAACAAAAATTAAAGCTTATTGATGCTTTAATTTTTGTTTATTTATGTAATTATATATGTATTTTATACGGGTATATCAGTATGTTTATATATTTGCATTTATATATACATATATTATTTTACTGTACTTGTCTATATGTATATATATCATCCACCCTGGAGATATGAGAAGTATTTTCATAGTACGTCATCTATATATAGGTATAGGTTTTCCAAAAGTCAAGGGCTTCATTCGTCAAATAAAGAGAGACTATAAAACATAATATCTTTATTGTTTTAACAGTTTGACTAAAAAAAACACTTGTGAATTCCTATTGACCTTTAAACAATATTAATTTGTTGTAAAAATTGCGAATGTTTTCGCCTTTATTACATACCGATTTAGTCGCATAATGAATACGTACATTTAGATATTTTTTACATATAGCTTTAATCAAAAGCGGATAATGGCTGTCTAAAATTGACCGATCTGCAAATTCATGATCTTCGGAGAATAAATTTAGGCCAAGGCTTTTTTTTAAACATTCCTGTATGAGGTAATGTAAGGGGTCTTTCAGTTTATGTACTTTATTTTTTCTATAAATTTCTTCAGCTATTTTACATAATTTAACAACAGCTTCAGAAGGATAATGCAACCCACCTTTGTCTTTTTTATACTGTAAAGAATGAACTAATTTTTCATTACTAATCAATGCATTTAGGCACTGTTCGCACTTAATTTGATTTTGTAGTGCTTTGACGACGAAACCTGCAATGTATACAATTACATGTCCTGCGAATTCGGTAAGTCTTGTTGGGTTTGCCAGATAATCATGGTCTTGTAATAAAACTACCTCAGATTCTAATGACGGTAGAAGATCTGTATCATTTTCTACTAATCGATTACGATCTGTCGTATTATTAATTGCGATCTCCGGCTTACTGTACGTTAAAATATTTATATCGCTCAAAGGCAAACAATTACCTGAAGTCAGGTGTTTTAGCTCGCCATGAACTAGCATGCGTTTATAAGCAGCTTTAAATTGCCTAGCGGTTGGATTATTATTAAAATCACCTTTTGCCCTAATAGCACTAAAAAAAATTTCTAAGTGGTCTTGACTTAGTTTATAAGTTGTTAAGAATTCCAATTTATTTAAGACTACAAATTCCTCATAAAGAAATAAAACACTTTTAATACATAGTAAAAAACCTAAAAATCCTGTTTTCCTCTCCGTATCTAAGATATTTCTGTTGTTAATTTTTAGTAATTTTATATAGTCAAACATTTCTTCTAGGAATTGTTTAATAGTTTCATAATTACTAATTTTGAGAGGTTTTTTAAAACCATAACTGTTCAAATTACGCGTGTTCAAAATGTCGAATAGTGTGTTGAATTTCCTAATAAAATCTACAGTTGCCTCACAATTATCAAATTGTTGAAGTCCGATACTTTCGTGGCTAAATTGTAGTGCATCGGCCACTGATTCACTGAAGAGTTGCGCTGCTAATTTGACTTTCATTATCTGTTTCCTATAAAGAATATGGGCACCTCTTAATTTATTTCCTAAATGAAAACCCTCGTCTTATTGAAGTTCATGCAATAGTTTTAAGTAACGCCAAGAAACAGTTTCACCTTCCGCATTTGTAAGACATTCTTTGTCACCTAGTGTATTTCGTACTAATTTTAACATATGAGATGGATCCGGGAATATTACCATCTTTTTATTTTTGTGTATAAATATGGGATTAATCACATCTCCTGTTAATTGACATCCCAATAACTTAGCCATAGAATAATTTGCAGGACATCCGTCAAAAGTAACTGATGCAACATCCACACCACATTCAGTTATTAAATTGATACATGTTTTAAGTAAAGATGCTTTTTGTTCGGCAGTTACCCCATCTATCAAAAAGTAGCCGACGGGAAGTTTCCAACTGCCGTTTAGGCAGGTCAACATAAAAACTAAAGCTTCTTTTGCGACAGGTAGAGAATCGTTATTAAGTTGGTTACCGCAGTTGACAAACCCAACAAAATTTTTGCCGTCCCATTCAGCTGACTTTCGAATGGCCATCTCGTCAAAACACAATGCACATATAAATTTCTTTGATGAAATTTTAACTAAAAGTCTAAGTGCAGTAAAAGATTCTGAAGAAAATCCAGATTCGCCTTCTACTGATTGATACCAACGTGCAAGTGTGCGTGTAAGCGGAAGGCAAGTATCAAAAGAACTCCTCACAATATTGTATGCACACGGACTTATGAAATGCAATGTTAATGCAAAATTTTCAGGCTTCAGGTGAAAATTTACTTTTCTTCACTTTTAAAATGTTTCCATCTGGATGGACAGTAGTTAATAAGTCCGCAGTATCTTGATTAATCAACCGTTTCGGCGCTCGGCGTTTTGTTTCAAGAGGCGACTATTTTTTGATCTCAGTATAGCCAGCTTCTTTTTTCGCGATTCGGCTAACACTGTTTGGCACTCTAATTTCCTTATAAGTTTCTTTTTTCTCGGTGTCACGGTATCGACCTGAAATGGTTAATATTGAAATTATTGTTAATTATAATTAAAATAACAGAAAATACACGTATAATATACAAATACTTATAAATCCAGCTACTTACAAGATTTCTGTCAATTTCCATCGCAGCAGACGATGTGGTTGGAATTTCTATAACATCATGACTCTGAAATAAAATGATAATATTTATTAATTATAATTAACATTCACTATAAATAACAAAAATATATTACACTTTAAAACACCAGAACCATATTTAGATTCTGGACATTTCAGGCTGTCTTAACTTCTAATAGGACTTTGAAAAACAAGTACAAGTCCTTTTTGCTTTGGGCCATCCCAAAGCAAAAAGGACTTGTACTTGTTTTTTAAAGTGGTAAAAATTAAGGAACTATGTAGACAATTTCAGAACACTTTTTTCAACATAACCATGAACTGTTATAGTACAAAATCATGGCTAAGATTCTCAATTTTTAGCAAGGCTACTACTATATTTTGTCCCCATTTTTCACTGATGATATGTACACAATAACACGTTTTTAAATATTAGCAAGTATCATAATATTTTACCTTCTTAGCAGTAATATGTAGCGTCGGAACCGAGTACGCTTTCAAATAAACGTTGCGAGAAGTTTTCCTAAAACAATTTCGTTCAAAGTGTTTGGAGCATATTCTTGCATATTTACTTGGAATCCAGTTATCTCGTCTTGTTGCACGTATCCATATTTGCCGGATCGTAGAATCTTTTGGAAATCTAAAATAATTAACTCTATTAAATGCACATACTCAGATCATCAGAAGAAAAATAAAAAAAGACATTTATCCTTAGCGTATTTTATGATAAATAAAATAAATACGTAACATTTGGGTAATTTCCCCATTATTAACTGGTAACCCTAAAAATCGTATAACCCTATAAAAATTAAAAGTAATGAAAGACTTAGGCAGCCACTAAAAGGCAGCCACTAAAATGTTTAGCATCTGAATTTGGTCGTATAATAGTACCATCGCAGTAAATACAAAATATATTTTAAACACTTTATTTCACTAATTCAGACACGATTCCTCACGTATTAATAAGCCATTAAGATAACCTTATTGATATTTTTGTAAATCAGAACATATTATTCCATAAAAAGTCGTACTTACGTATGAAAGGTTATGTTTTCACATTTTCGCTCACTACGGCTTTTACAGCCCAAGATATAACATATCACCATGTTTCTCGATAAATATTATATAAATCACATATATCGACACACTTTCTATAATGTTTTTGGCTCAAAATAACTCAATAATCAAGAAAAATCGCAAGGCACAAACTTTTGTTGGTCACAACTTCGGTTGTGCCCAACGAAACTCAGACAAGGACAGCAAAAAAATATGTTGTCCTTTTTATTCCTGTATATTTTCGTATGCTGTGATCTCGGTCTATCACGGTATTATTATTCGCTGTCATATCCATAGTGATTCTTTATCCAAGTTCACTGCAAATCGGAAAGACTAAAAGTAAAGTCCACAGAGTAAGAATGGCAAACTACAATCGATTATTTAGCCGTATCGATTTATGCATAAAAAATAAAAATACTTATTTGGAAATAAATTTTAATAAATGCTTTTGTTTTCTTTATATAATTGCTATGGACCAACCTGACGGCTAATCTGAGATAAGTGGTAACCGTCGCCGTGGCTGATGTTTTGCCGTTCCAGAAGACTAGGGTGCATGTTTCTTATTTTGGATGCTATAGTAGTTTTTTAAGGGCACTAGTAGAGAATGTTAAGATGAGTATGCGGTCAGTTAGCCCAACGTGGCAAATTCACCATAAACATGGTTTTCAGGGGGAACCGTGTGGAGGTCAACGTGCCATGTTACATTGCTAGCAATGGTGTTCTTCATCCACTTTAATAAAAATCCCTTCCACCCGATACTATATTAGTTCATTTCCGGTAATTTCACCACTATGAGCTAAATGACCATCATTCGCATCATATCATCTTTATCTCTCTATCTAACAGTTTACGTTAACGTGGCTCAGTAGACAATGATAAGATGACATGAAGTTAGGTTAGTTAGCCCACCGAGGGACGTTATGTTGGACAACCTCCTCGTACGTTCCAGCCATTGGGAGGTCCCTCATCCTCCTGGATACGTCCGCGGGGAACGGTGGCCGAGTAATGGTTCGGTTCTGGTACGCTCTGGGTCCCGCCCAAGGGTACCAGAACCGAACCTAATAGTATGGTAGTATACCTTCGGGTTGTGGATGTTGTTGGATGATGGTATATCTTCGGGTTACTGCTACCATGTTAGCCGATAGTCCAGCGAAGGGCGGCTCAGGCTGGGACAATAGGCCTAAGTGGGACCCGTCCCGGCCATTAAACGTCGCATTGGTGGCCCGCTTCTGCTATGACTTTACTTTTGTAGAGACACGTGAGGAGCGGGCGTGACTGTGTGGGCGGCAGTCTCAGGGGTTCAAGTCTGCCGTCCACACAACAGGAGCCAAGATGAGGGGGGAGTACCCGTTCGTCCAACCAATGAGACGGGTGGGTCTCCATGAGGGATTTTCCCCACGTTAAAAAAAAAGTCAGTCCACCGTGACATATTCTCCATGAACTTATTATGGTGATTTCCAGAGAGAACCGTGTGAAAGTCAAGTGATATGATACATGGTAGCAAACAGGTTCATTTGTTCGTGTTACAAACAATCTGCTTTCCTCCTAACCAAGATAGTTTCCTGACTGTAGTGTAGTAGATATTCACGCAGTTTCTACTGGAACCTGTTGTATTTAATTCCTGGCGAATGCACGGGCTTACTGTGCTGACTACATCGTAATCTTTCACTGCAGCCCAGCCAAAGTATAGGTACCATTGCGCAGAAGGATGAAATAAAATTCAACGTATACATAAAAAAAATTAGGCAGTTAATTTGCAGCATGGCATTTGCAGTAAGTAATAAAAAATAAATAATTACAAGTTGATTTTTATTTATTTTTTAATAAATATGAATGAATAGAACCATTGCAATTTTGTTACAAGTAAATAGATAAAAACATTATCAGTAGTCGTGCTAATGGCCTTTGATAACAGTACTTACTTAGCCACCTACTATTTCACATTCAACATATCTTGATAAATAATATGATTTATTAATGCTAAATACTAATTAGATATCTACAGTGATGAAACATCACTAAGTATATTCCTCAAAGCCGTAGGGGGTGAAAATGCTTCACTTTTTGGATCTCTGTAAGGTAAGTACGCATTTATCTGAATTGTTTAGTTATGCACCGGAGACTGTGATAATAAAAATATATCATAATAAGTAGCTACATGAAGGCGATTTGATAGATACGTAAATTATTCTGTTTGCTGTTAAAAAATATGCCTTCTTTCTCATACATCTCCTACTCGCTACAATAAAAGGTCTTCCGTGGGTTTAGTGCTCTCTACAGTACTAGTTCTATTTTTCGCCCGGTGAAGCTGTAAATGCTGTAAAGCTATGGGCAAGAACATTAAAATATTTCGAAAAACAAGCTCTGTTATAAACAATAGCATTTTATTATATTTTCAGAGACAATTACGTTTAAAATTACAATCACTACGTTTGTATTTTTATTTGGATTATATGCAGTTCCTCTATTTTATATATAATAAATAACTAGCTATACCCGCGGTATCACCCGAATGAAATTTATAGCCTTTTTGATATTCTGATGTATAAGCTATATTACGGAAAAGTCTTCAAAATCTGTGCAGTAGTTTTTGCGTGTAAGAATAATAAACATCTATGTATCCATAGTCACAGACTTTAGCGTTTATAATATTAGTAAGATATCTATATTTTTTTTATTGTAACTAAATTTACCATCATATTCTCTATGGTTAATTAATGGTAAATTATTCACGATGAGCTGGCTGATCTGATTTCATAATCATGGCATCCTCCACTGACGCCCCGCCACCGTAAACCATTGGCGCAGGCAGCTTAGCGCGCACCGTTCCACTATAATCCACAGAGGTGACAAGCCCAGCAACCTCTGTTTCCACATTCAACAATCTTGCGACAAATTTTTAAATAACATATAAATACACATTTCATTTTAATAATTGAAGATTTTCTCAATATCCTATAATTTTTTTTCAGATGTAGAAATCAACGCAAATCATTTTATTTCAGATGGTGATAGTCGACATCATCTGATTGTGGATTACAATACCTAGGATTGTACTTATATATTTTTTTCTATTCCAGACATTTCTCAGACTGCCCAATGTAATATAATGCTCAATTTACCACAAATAGATGTGTAAAAAGGAAATGTAAGTTTGGTGTAATAAAGTTCAATTAGCACAATGATGACAACTAAGATGGGACGGCTGCATAAGTGCGGTCCACCCGGACAAAGGAACTCATTGTTATTTATTTTTAGATTGTTACTGATATTATCGTTGATATACATACTATATATACTATATGTTGATTATGAACCAAAACAACCATAAGACTTATGTATTGTAAAATTTTATATTTTCATAAAAATAGTATTCTATTTTATTAGTATTCCATTTTTATGTATTTTTTTCTCTATCTACATGGAAACTGCCCCACAGTTTCCTTGTAGATAGAGAAAAAAAATACTACTACTATACTTTTATAACAGCAAAAAGCTTTTTCAGTTGAGTCTGTTAAAGGTGATTTATGCTTTCTGCAACAAAATTGAAAAATGTTAATCATTATTTTATTAATTATAATTATGCTTTGGGAACCTGAAGTTTTTATCTAGTCTGAGGAACAGGTGTACCTCATATATATTTTTTTAAATAAAAGAACTATGAAAATTATGGCTCTATTGTAATTATGGATATATGTAGTCGCAATGGTAAAAGGGATTACAGTAGCTACATGAAATACTGATAAATACTATGGAAACACTAAAATTAAGTAAGTTATGTAATAAATAAAGTCATTGTAATTTACACAATATTTTTTAAACAGATAAAATAACAATTAACAACATTAATTATGTAATAAATAAAATACATTATTTCTATGATTCTAAAATATATGTTATAAATTGTATCTACAAGTAAAGGGTAAGTAGAGGGACTAAACGATTCCACCGCCATTAATATGATCAATCTCTTCTTGTGATAGAGGCTGTCTTCTGTAACGGGCTGGGAGATCAATGTCCAGTATAGGGCCAGTGCTCATTGCTGCAGTAGGTTGTGATTGAGATCTCTGAAACAAATAATCAAAGATGAGTTTTCTATTCTTATCAATTAAAATCAGAATATACAAATACAGTAAAAATATTAACTAAAGTTTGTGAGGATAAATGTTTATTACTAGTTTATTATTTTCAAGTAATTGCCGTTGTTTGTTATATACCTAGTGGTACTTAAAATACTTTGTTGACTCGCAATACCGAAAACAGGAAATTCTTAAAAAAATTTTTTTTTTGTTAAATACCAGTTTCAATAAAAAAATTACTTGAAGATTTCCTACATCACATTCACTCAAATACTTTTCTGGTGAATTTATTATGAAAAACAAAAAGTTCTATTATCAAGAATAATCATACATTTTATTGATGTTACATCACACAATAAAAGATGCGGTCTCTAATAATTTGTAACATTGACTTATTGCTGACATATATATATTTAACAATTTTTTAATGTTAAATGAATAATTTGTTAACATACAGATCTCTAGTATATACATATATATATATATATAGTTGCTTACGGGTGCAGAGGCTGATGGTGCAGTTGCATGAACCGTAGATCCACCTGCTGATTGACTAACGCCTCCCTTGCGAAATTTAATTACAGGTACACGTGAAAGCACTGTAGTGATTCGAACCATATTGCCTTAAGAATGGTGGTGATAGCGTTGACTATGCTATGGTATAAAAAATTATAAAAATGATTTTTTATTTTGGTTCTAATACAAATTTACAAATGCCAAATAAGTGTCAAACTGTCAAATTATTGGATATGACATAGGGATGGATGATAATCGATTACGCAAGAATCGATTCTATAATAACTTGTCTTAGATTTACTGTCCAAAAAAATACAGGAACAATGACAGAATAAGGGTTCATAAAAATGTTAATATTAATTTTTAAACTGATGATTTTTTATATTGATTGTGTATAGTAGTTTTGTAATGCACGAGTGAAAAGGCAAATAAACAAGATTATACAGTTATAAATCTCAAAACTTAGCGGAGTAGGTAAAAAAATCTACGTTGTTCTTTTTTATTTAATTGTACAGAGCGTCCCAGAACTCGACGTCAAGCCAAAACAGAGTGACAGGATAACCGTCATAAGACAAATAAAAAAAAAATATCCAATGCAGTTTGAAAATTATGTGCATTAACCTATTACATACGTAGATACCTATCTAATAAAAGTATGCATTTGAAAATAAATGGCATTTTCCTTTTCAAATACAAATCCTTTCAAAATAAAGAAAAACAGTATTCCTTTTGCTATGGCCACAACCCGATATTTATCCTAGAATTATCTTGGATTTGATAAGTTTCTATCTGGCAACCCTACTTGACTTTGAGTTCTGGGGGAACATAAGCACAGAAAATAAAGGAAAATGGTATGCAGAATTACAGCCAGACTTACCAGTGACACCTTGGTACAGCAAATTCAAATATTACAATAGAAAATTTATCACTATCATCAATCGTCTACGTTTCGGCCATTGTTTAGTTCCATCCCATCTCAACAGAATTAAAATCACAAATGACAACAGATGCAACCACTGTTTCAAGATAAATGCTGACATAAACCATATTATATTTGAATGCCAAGTTTTCAACATACAACGGTTGATTCTTGTCAGTGACATTAGTGACATCGCAAAGGAACACTCACAAAGTATTCCCCGCCGCGTTCAAGATTTGCTATCTCACTTTGCATATTTTATTCCAATATATAACTACATTGTACATACTGTGGAAAAAATTTAATATTAATGAATTATTACTAAAATTGTATTGTCTAAGCTTATATAATAGTTTATTTCTTATGTTTTGTATTAAATTCATTATAAAAATGTGTTCGACTGAAGGACTTGTATCCATGGTCATGAATAAAGCATTATTAAAAAAAAAAAAATTGAGTTCTGGGAGACCTGTATACCTACGTTGCGTCATAATTTTGGTTAGGAAAAAGGCGGGAAACATAGAATTTGGTGGTCGTGTTTTTTTGATAAGATTTAAATAAAAATTTAATAGTGATCAGTTAAGTTAGATATTGTAGATATTTTCACTCTTTTATATATATTTTATTTGTTTATTAGTGTAATTATAGTAGCTGTAACATAGGTAAGTCATAATTATTTAATTTATATATGGACCCTCCTGAGGATCCTGGGGGCACAGGCCCTCAGGTGGGCCTCCACGTAACTATTAGCAATAATGAAAATGATTCCATGGATACTGATTGCTCTTTTACCCTAGTGGAGAATTTGAAAGTTAAACGAAAACGTATATCTGCTACTCATGTGTGTAAACACTGTAACAAAAAGCGAAGAAGAAATCGCGGTTCTAAAGGAAACTCTAAAAATCAAGAGAACACTTGTCAATGCGCTGTTGTAAATGAAGGTGATCAACCTTCTTCTAATACATGTACAAATATAGAGGATAATGAGAATAAGGTCGAGCAACCTCCTGTGACATGTGCAAATAATGAGGATAAAATGGATAATGCTGGTTCAAGTCAGTTACGACCATCAGTAGCTAGGCTTTATTATCAATTAGGTGATGCGGCACCTTATGTAGTCCATATCCAAAAGGAGCAGTCTTCGCCGGATGACAGAATTACTGTACACCCAATTGCCTTTGGTCGCCTCTTAAAAAATTGTGCTTATAAAAATGTTATTAATGGTAGTTTGAAAAAAATTGGTAGGAATAGACTAGCTTTGTCATTCTCTAATTTTATTGATGCCAATTCCTTCATTGACTGTGACCGTTTAAAACAACAGAACTATAAAGCATTTGTTCCCTCTTTTAATCTTACTAGAATAGGAATTATTAAGGGTGTTCCCTCAAACTGGTCCCCTGAAGAGGTAATAAGTAACATTTCTGTCCCACTTGGCTGTGGAGAAATACTTAAAGTTAGAAGGATTAGACGTAAGAATATTATTAATGGTGAATCCATATTTGTTGACACAGAAACTGTTATTATAACTTTTGATGGTCAAATACTTCCTAAACGTGTATTTATGTGTTACAACTCATTACCTGTAGATATTTACATATACCCAACAATACAATGTTATAACTGTTGTCGATATGGTCATGTTAAGGATCAATGCCGTTCTACACCACGGTGCTATAAATGTAGTAAAGGACATTCAGGTGAAAACTGTACGCAGCAAGAAGACTTCTGCTGCTGTCTATGTCTTGGTGATCATCAAGCTAACAGTAAAAACTGCCCGGAACTATGGAGACAAAAAGCAATAAAAGAAACTATGGCTAAAAGCTGTATATCTTATGCAGAAGCCAGCAAATTGCATGGTCCTGTAACAAAATCATATGCTGACACAGTTAAAACTAATTCTTCTATCATAACTGCGGAACATTTAAATAATACTAAACCCCAAAATACTCTATCTTCTAATATAATCAATAGATCATATAAAAAAACCATTGTACAAAAACCCCGTCAATCTCCAAAATTATCACATGGTTATGATGTAAACATGCATAAGCAATTAATAAAAGATTATAATCCTCCTACTCCTGCAGATGGCTGCGGTTATAAATCTGTAGCTGATCAGAATTTACCAAATCAATTTACAGAATTAATCATGGCTTTAATTAAATTGCTGACTGAGTCTAATTCTATTGTACCGTCCAACGCTGCTTCTCTATTTAGTGCTCTTCTTCAAATCTTCAACAACAATGGCTCCATTGGCCAAAGTTCTCCAGTGGAACTGTCGTAGTATTATTAATAAAAAAAGTGAATTATTTCATATTTTAAATAAAAATAAACCTTTTATTTGTGCCCTTCAGGAGACATGGCTGAAACCCATATCTACTTTTAAGATACCGGGTTATGCTTGTCTCAGAGAAGATAGGACAGATGGGTATGGTGGTGTCGCTATACTCGTCCGACATTTAGTTCCTTATTCACATATACCTATTGATCATAGCAGTAATTTTTCCATATTAGCTGTCCAAGTTAACAACATTTGTTATGTATCTTTATATATACCTCATCCATCAACTTCTATTTTTAATGAACTTAATAATATTCTTTCTGCCCTTCCCAAACCTTTATTAATACTAGGAGATTTAAATTCACAACATCAGTCCTGGGGTAGTACAACAAACAATTCATATGGCCACCAAGTTTTAGAAATATTAGATACCCTTAACCTGTGTGTATTAAATACTGGCCAACCTACACGTCGTACTCCACCTAATGAAGGAAATAGTGTTCCTGATCTTTCCATCTGTTCACCTACTCTTGCAACATCCCTTACTTGGTGCCCCTTGTCACTGTCATTTGGGAGTGATCATTTCCCTCTTATTATTTCTTTTCCTTTTATTGATAAACCACTACCAAAATATGAACCAAGGATGAAATATAAGCTAAATAATGCTGATTGGGATACTTTCAATAACGTCATTGCATCTAAAATCTCATCACTGCCTATTATTACTCAAGGCACTGAAACCATTTGCTCTAATGCATTCACTGAAGTATTAATACAGGCTGCTAATGAAGTTTTTCCTAAAAAATCTTCTTCTAAGAATACAATACCTTCACCACCATGGTGGGACAGTGAATGTACTGAAGCTATTAGGAAAAGAAAAAATGCTGAAAAACAATACAATTTACACTCTACATTGGAAAACTTTGATATCTTCTGTAATATATCCAGAACTACCCGTAAATTGTTAAGAGATAAGAAATTAACAGGTTGGAAGAAATTCTGTTCATCTATTTCTCCCAATGTGAATGCATCTATAGTCTGGAATAATATAAGAAGATTTAGAAGTGCATTCCACGATTCTAAATCAAATGTACTTCCTCCTCATATGGTTGAATGTTTCCTAGACAAGTTAGCCCCTCCCTCAGTTCCTGAAAAAGTTTTGTTGGATAAAGTTGTAATTACCTCTGATATAGACAATTTCTCTAAATTAAATGCTCCATTTTCGTTACCAGAGCTTAAGGGAGTACTTACAAAAGTTAAAGATTCTGCACCTGGAGAAGATGGAATACCATATTCTTTTTTTTCACACTTAGATAGTACATCTCTCTCCTATTTCTTAGATATCATTAACTCAATTATGATATCTGGTCATATTCCTGCTTTATGGAAGACTCAAAATATAATCCCCATTCTAAAACCTGACAAAACTCCATCTGACATTGCTTCCTACCGTCCTTTAGCGCTATCTTCAGTTCTGCTTAAACTGTCAGAACATCTGATCAAAAACCGTCTGGAATGGTATATTGAAAGTAACCACTATTTATCAGATAGTCAATATGGCTTTAGAAGAGGGAAATGTACTCTTGATAGTTTAAGTTTGTTTATAACGGATATTCGTTTAGCCTTTTCCAGAAATGACTCTGTACTTGCAACCTTTTTAGACATAGAATCTGCTTATGATAATGTTTCTTTGCCAATACTTAAGCAGAAACTTGATATATTACATATTCCAGTTAGACTGTCAACTTTTATAATTAATATTCTTACTGAAAGAACTATTATTATAAATTCTGATGACACTGGAATCTCATCTAGAGTAGTATGGAAAGGACTCCCACAAGGTTCAGTTCTTAGCCCCTTATTATACAACCTATACACTTATGATTTAGAAAAGGCTGTTTTAAGTAATATGAATAATAATGTTTTTATTTTACAATATGCAGACGATCTGCTTTTTTATGCCATAGACAAATCTGTTCAAAAATGCTGTTTGAATTTGACATCTGCATTAAAATATCTAAAGCTTTGGTTTGATCAGAATGCATTGCAGTTGTCACTTAACAAAAGCAATGCAGTTTTGTTCTCCAGAATGCGTATGCCTCCTCCTATTTCTATATATTATAATAATTGTCTTTTACCTGTAAAAAGTCAAAGCAAATTTTTAGGAGTAATACTAGATTCAAAACTAAGTGGACTTCCCCATTGCGAATACATTACTTTAAGATGTGAACGATTATTAAATATTCTTCGATGTTTGTCTGGAACTTGGTGGGGCGCTCATCCGTGTTCACTCAAACTGTTATATAACGCCATTATTAGAAGTATATTGGATTACGGCACATTTCTACTAGAGCCGGGTAGCTCAGCTGGTCTTAAAAAACTGGATGGCATACAATCAAAGGCTTTACGAATTGTAACTAGGGCTATGCGATCAAGCCCTATAAATGTATTGCAAGTGGAATGCTCAGATCCGCCATTGTATTTAAGACGTCAATATCTTTCTGATAAATTTTTATTTCGCAGTGCACAATGTACTACTCATCCCCTATTTAGTAAATTAAAATTATTATCTAATTATATTAATAATTCTGAATACTGGCGCCATAAATCTATTCCTTGTATTATAAAGAGCTTCCAGAAATTTTCATCTCTTACATCTCCTACTCATCGTTCACAATATTTTCCCATCTTCTGTACGAATTATGAATCATTAATTCTTGAACCAAGTATAATTTTTGACCTTAATATTCATAAAAATCACGACTCAAATATAGAATTTAACTCAACTGTAGACAAGAAATGGCGGAATTGGCACCGAATTTTTTGTGATGCATCTAAACATCATCCAACTGGATGTGTTGGGATCGGAGTTTACCATTCAAAATATAAAATAGTCCAAAAAATAAAACTTCCTCCAGAAACATCTGTATTTACTGGTGAATGTTTTGGTATTTACAAAGCTCTCGAATATATATTAATTATGAAACTTCAGCAAACAATAGTGTGTACTGATTCCAGAAGTGCACTGTTAGCTCTTCAAAAATTTCCATTTAAATCAAATATTAATTATCCTATTATCATAGAAATCAGAAAATTGCTGCAGTTATGTAACTCGAGGGGTTCTCTGTCTCGCTTACGTGGATTCCAGGACATACTGGCATACATGGGAATGAGATAGCAGATCGCTTAGCGAACGAGGCAATTGGATGCGGTGATATTGTTCCATATAAAAATTATTGTCATGATCTGGCTGCTCTCCCAGGATTATATCTACATAATGCTTGGAGTGAATTTTGGCCTAATAGCTGCCAGAATAAGGCACGACATTATTTTAACATTCAACCAACTATTCAGTTTAAACCTTGGTTCTTCAAAATTAATTTGAACAAAAGCGAGACTACGTCAATAATTAGAATGAGATTGGGGCATGTATGCTCTCCTGCACATCTAGCTAAGCTAAAAATTGTAGATAATGATATATGTAGCTGTGGTACAGAAGTGGGTGACTTGAACCATATCATTTTCAGTTGTCCTCTGTATGATCATTCCTACCTTTTTAATGATCTCCTATCTCACCGAATTCCTTTACCTACATCAATTCCAATTTTATTATATCTTAATGATATTGATGTGTATAAAAGTATTTCGATTTTTCTAAGTAGTAATAATATAAAATTGTAAATATAAAACTGACTGCCTCTATATAAATATATCATATGTAAATAGTTGTCTGTTAATATATTAAGGTCTTATTAAGTATAATGACATATTGTATATAATTAATATGTATAGTGTAGTACCTTAGTCTAATCCTTATAATTAATCCTATTGTCAACTTACCTGATCCTTTAAACCTATCGTCCAAAATTTCCTTTACCTGAACTACTGTTTCCCAAATTTTGTATATTGGCAAATGCACAGACGTGCCAAGCCATAAAAAAAAAAAAAAAAATTTGGTTTGAACATTTAACATGTTTCTTTTGATTATAATTGGGGTACCGAAGTAAATACGTACTTCTTATTAAATAAAATTTTATTTAGTTATAGCACAAATTTTACATCAGTGGTTATCTTTTCTATACAGATAATCTTATTATCTAGTATTTTAAAATGTGGTATAATTACATATACTTAATAAATTTTCAATAACAATTTTATAGGTACTTAATTAACTGATAATAAATATTTTATAAAAGAGTTTGTATTTAAAAATTTCCTTATGTTAATTTACTGTAACAATGAACACCTACATTCTATTCTCCCGTTATTCTATAATTATTAATTATCAATTATTTTATATATTTAAAACGAAATGCAATAATAGGTAACGGATACGATGTTCAGACGTCTAATTGTGTTAAAGGAAATAATCAGATCGCGGATGTAGATAGTAAAAACGATGATTATAACAAACACAATTTGTTTGATAAATTAAAATTAATGTTTGCCTTTGTCATATATTTTTAGATACTTATGTATAATAATATTTTAGCAATGTCTAGTTTAAACGGGCGCCCGGAAGTTCTTGCCGGCGTACTTCGCAGCGGCGCCAAGTTCTTCTTCAATACGAAGAATTTGGTTGTACTTTGCGAGACGCTCAGAGCGGCATGGCGCACCTGTCTTGATCTGACCGGTGGATAGACCTACTACTAGGTCCGCAATGAAGGTGTCCTCAGTTTCACCAGACCTTTAATAAATAAATGCTCAAGTATTAATATCGTGGTAAACTATCTTTTATACCTACCTCTGGTACCTCAGGTTCATCTATTTAGATCGCTCAGTAGCTTATTTTGTAAGTTGTGCTTTAGTTGAAGCAAGCTTAAGGGAAATTACAGGTTGCGGAGGCTTGGCTTTGGGAATGGCAACTCATTAGGAAGCACGAGCGTAACATGATCAAGAAATTTGAAGTTGTATATATAGTGTTTTAGGTACATAGATGACTGTTAAAATACTGTTGGGGGGCTGTTATCTTATTGTTCCAGTTATATTAAAAATAACATACCATTACTTATTTCATAACAGAACAAATAAGATCAGTATCTAGTAGTTTGGTTAATGACATATTATGACTATGCAGTGTAGTAAGTTTTTACTTTCGGAATTACTGAGCGATAGTATTAATACCTTGATGGTATTAATACTATCCTTCAGTAATTTCGAAACAACATCTCCTTACCAAGTTCGCACAGGAACAAATAGACATTATTAAGTTTTATTTAAACACATTCAGGATGTCATATTTGGAATTAGATGTAACTGCGTTTGTGCGAATGGTCTGTATAAAAATTGACCTTTAGCAACGAGCACATGACACGTGTGGCCCATCGGTCATGGTAACCGCACGCCGTATACCACCATACTGGTATAAAAAAAACACCACTAATCAATGAAAATATTGGCACTTCTGTACTTTAAACGGTTCTATTTATATAATTAATCTTTTACCACGCAGTGTACAGAACCGTGTACTAACCTAACATACTGACACTTGTCTATATTGTAATACAGACTTTGATATATCTAATTAAGAAGTAAAATGTTAATATTAAATGTTTTAAGTATAAATACATTTACACTGTGTTAGAGTAATGGTAATAAATTTTATCAATACTATTCTAACCATATATTTAATACATAATTTATGATTCAATACTTTATATTTAAACTAGCAGACCCGGCCACGCGTTGCTGTGGATAAGGTTCTTGAATAAAATAATATTGCGACTATAAATTGAGATTTAAGTTATCCTATCTTTCAAGTTGGATCAAATTGCACACAATGCGCAAATCAAATTTTTAATTGGCTCAGTAGTTTAGGAGTTATGTGTAAATGTGTATGTGTAAAATTATGTGTCACATTGTGTGTCCAATATGGATTGGACACACAATGTGACACATAATTTTTATATATAAAGATTTATACACAAACCTGTGGGAAACCATGGTGCCCCATCCATTCTTCTTAGCCAGTAAATGAGCTTGAATTGATTCAGTGACACTGCCAATCTGGTTTACTTTCAACAACAAACAATTACATGCCTTCTTCTCCACCGCTGTGGCAATTCGTTTAGGATTTGTCACCTGTTATAAAGTATGTTTCTAATTGTAATAATATTCAGTACCCATTACACATTCACGAATGTTTACACAACTAAATATATTATATAAATAAATATATTATTGTATATCTGTTTATTCAACTTAGAAATAACATTCCTTAGGTTTAAAAAGTTTTATCTGAAAGGCCAATGGAAGGATAATAAAAAGTCTGCAGATTTATGAGAAATACTAAATGAACAGTTACAATTTGTGTGAATTGGTTTGTTCTGGACAATTCACTCAAAAATTTGCCCCTATGAAGGTGAATTAATTGTTTGTAAATATTCATCAATAGCTCATATACCATTTTAATAATTAATTGATAAGCTTATAGGTGACATCTTTAGACATTATATTTACTGTTAACACCAAAAGATAGCATCATTAAATATAGAGAATTAGTAATTATTAAAGTCATACAGACTCCAATTCTCGTTAAACATTTAAATACTAACTGTAAGATCATCTCCAACAATCTGTATGGGCGTACGGGATGTGAGACTGCTCCATGCTGCCCAATCGTCTTGGTCGAAAGGATCCTCAATAGATACCAATGGGAAGTCCTTAATGAACTCCAAATAAAGATCACCCAGTTTATCTGCTGACAAGTAGTCAGTTGGATTTGATTTGGGATTCTTGAAGTCTAGATCGTAGGTACCCTCTTTGTAAAACTCTGACGCGGCCACATCCATTCCAATTTCAATCTATGAAGAGAAATAGAGTAAGAAACAATAATTTCAATCAATATATATTCCAGACCTTAGACAATCTAACTCCAAAATTATTTATAATTTTACATGTATATTACCTTGCCAGTATAACCAGCCTGTTGGATAGCATCTTGAATTAGGTATAGAGCATCCTTGTTATTCAAAATGTTAGGTGCAAAGCCACCTTCATCACCAACAGCTGTTGAATCTAAGCCAAATTTCTCCTTGATAATCTTCTTAAGGTAGTGATATATCTCAGATCCCATGCGCATCGCCTCGCTAAAGCTGGTGGCTCCTAAGGACAGTAAATAAAAATGTGTTTAGAAAAAGATTTCCTCCATAATACTATATACCGAAATGAAAATAAATTATAGAGAAAGCTGCTTTCTGTAGCAGTTATTTTGCTGTTTATCACCTACAATTAGGCCTGTGATCAAATTATAATTATTATATCACTACCTATCGAATATAGAGCAAAATTGTGTGTATACACATGAGTTTATATATACATAAGTAACATATGAGAAATAAAACATTAAGTACTATATGGTATATAATAAAAAAAAAAAAACAACCTGTAGGCAAAATCATGAACTCCTGCATGGCTAATTTGTTTCCAGCATGTGATCCACCATTGATGACATTAAAAGCAGGTACTGGCAGTACAATATTATTATTGCCTGCTAAATCAGCCAAGTGTTTATAAAGAGGCACACCCTTACTGGCAGCACCAGCCTTGGCAACAGCCAGGGAAACGCCAAGAATGGCATTAGCACCGAGCTTTGACTTGTTCTCTGTGCCATCTAAGTTTATCATAAATTGGTCAATCTGTGGAAACAAAACAAGAATCAGAAAATGAAATACAAAAAAAATTCAATAATCCATTACAATTAAATTTCTGTAATGATTTTATAGAAAACAGCATAGTACCTCTTTTTGCTGTGTTACATCAATATTCTTTTTGATAAGCTCAGGTGCAATAATTTCATTGATGTTTTTAATAGCCGTAAGGACACCCTTCCCATGATATTGATTTTTAACATTGTCTCTAAGTTCCAAGGCTTCATGCACCCCAGTGGATGCTCCAGAGGGTACGGCAGCACGGAAGAGACCTAATTCTGTTACCTAAAATTTTAATAAATGTATTACAATCCCCACAATATATTGATATTGTTATATAATATATTCTTATTCAAACATTTTAGAAATGTTGACAAAGTCATGTGACCTCTAAAACTCTATGTTAAAACAACAACCTATAATAATTTTAAAGATGTATAAAAGAAAACTGTTTTATTTACAAAGTGATACAATAATTATCTATTTATTTTAGATACAACCAGCTAGCAACCCAAAAAAAAAATCTGTGCTCTAAGAATGGTGACACTCAGTTTGATCAACACTGATAGTTAAATTCATAGTTCTAGTACAATTAGAATGATATGAATATATCAGTCTCTATTTGTACTAGAACTGTAAATGGAATGTGCAAAGGGGTACCCAGGAAAATTCAGACATGCTCATCCAGTCCATGCACTTCCATTAACATTGCATATATACATTAACCAAGAGTGTGTATATACAATGGGCACTAAACAACATATAATACATTTTTTTGTAAATACATAGAAGTATATAATATAAATAGAAAATATACAGAGTAACAATAATAGTTGTAACTATGAATGTTTGTATTATTCCTCAAATTGAACCCTTAGGAAGAAGTGCAGTGTGGTAAACCACTTAGACCATAGATAGTGATGATAGCATCAAATACATACATGATATTTATCAATGCTTTGGGAGAATTTGATAAATTTACAAGCTATGATGTTACTTTGAAATTGTTTGTTCATAAACTTACCAAATCAACTTCAACAGTGGGATTACCACGGGAATCGAAGATTTGACGGGCCTGTACTGACTTGATTGGCATTTTTAATATTAGGTGAATACTTTTAACTGCTGGAATAACATTTATCAGAATTATTAATATGTGTATATATGTCATAACAAGAATGTTGTTTAAGTAATAACTAGCTTATATACTGAAACACTTATTCTTGTATTCAATATATAGTAAATACATTTTATTCCAATAGAACTTACTAAAAAGACAAACAAAGTGGTCACTAACCCAATCATAGGCAGTCTAATTTTGGCAATCAGTTTGAATATTTAAATTAATCTATTGGATATTTTCCTTTATGTCTATAAATTAATCATACATAACTTCAAATGTTGGTGTAACTGATAAATCATAATCTTAAGTTGTAACAAATGATATAAAAATTATATTAAATATAATAGAATACAAACTTAAATATAAAAAAAAAAGATTTAGTAATTATAAAGATATTTGAAGAATAATAAACACATTATTTTAAAATATCTATTATTTAAAACAGTTTATTAATATTGTAAATATATTATGTATTTGGATTACTTATGTGATTATTTAAATTTGTATTGAATATGTTGTTTTTCCATACATTACTAAGTGAAGAGAAACAAATATAGAGTTTTTATATAAATATGTTAATTCATTATGCTTGCAACTAAAATACACTAGTAATGTCCTGTGACACTGACACATTAAATTCAAGTAAAAGTATCCTTTATGTCAATTGATAATATGCTATCTACCTACCAAATTTAATTTGATCCCACCGTTATTTATATTGTTAACAAGATCTCAAAATGAATAATTTTATGGTAACTGAAGGTATTTTGTATTACCACTCTCGAATTTTTAATTTTAAAATCAATTGATTAGGTTGCACTCGCCATGGTCACGAGCTTATTTACCAGACATCGGTTAACAATAAATGTATATTAAACACGAAAGTTTAAAAATAATTCTATCAAATATCTAAATAGTAGATTATATTGAACATCCATCCTCATTTTCGGTTTAATATATTATTAGGACGTAGGATAGTAGTTCATAGCTATAAAACCGACATACATTTGAAGATTTTTAAGACATCAATTACATTAAATATTAATGTTCTATGTAAGCAACCGGTGCGTGATATCTATAAGATCTACCGTAATATACATATTTTAGTTTTATAAGAATCTGTTTTGAATATTTTCAATGGATACATTTTATTCGATGGACAGGGCTACTTATACGACTTTTAAAGAAATAAGAATTTCGGTGTATTGAAAGTAATAGTACAAAAGGCGATATAATAAAATTCTAATGGTAAGTGATTAAGACATTCTTGTTACAACTAATGTATAGAACATAAAATATATACAATTAAAAATATCGTATTAGTAAATGTACTTACTGAACTAAATAATTCAAGAATTCTAAGAAACTTGCTTGTGATCGAATCAGCTGTACAGAAAACTAATGTAATAGGAAGGAAAGAGAACACTACATGTATATGTGAACAGATTTTGACCTTCACAAGGTGAAATTAAGGTGACACCTCGAAGTAGGGATGCCAGTAATTCCAAAACATAGACGTCGATATCGATACCTTAATATCGATATCTAAAATTCCGTTTATGAATTTTTATTCATAACCCTAAAAAGGACATCATTTCTTATAATCAGTAATAACTATTTTTCTACGCCGAACCGAATCGGACAAATTTAAAAATTCGTTTTATATTTGGCAAATGCACTAATATGCTGAGCCAAAAGAAAAATAAAACAACAACAACAATTATTCATTGTCAATTTTTTTATAATACATCATTCATAACATCAAGTTTAGAGTATTGTGTTCCTTGATCAAGTATATTTACATTTATATATGTGATTTTAAAAACAATAACAATTAGTAAATTAATTTGTTTAATTATGAGTACTAAAGATAAAGAAAAAAGTAATAATGAAGTTACAAAACCAATAGTAATAAAAAATGCTACTGATTTACAACGGCTAAAGTTGGAGAAATTAATGAAAAATCCAGTGAGTCCTAATGTTTCTACATAACCACCTAACGTTTAACTGTATTTCTTACGAATCATAATTAAATGGTAAATTAGATTGACGTTGACTTGGCAGATGAGTAATGTATAATTTTTCTTCATCAGGATAAACCTGTACTGATACCGGATCCACCAAAGGCAAAATCTTTGCCTTCAGCGCCAGATTTCGTCCGTAATGTTATGGGATCAAGTGCTGGAGCTGGCTCTGGAGAATTTCATGTTTATCGACATTTAAGAAGAAAAGAGTATGCCAGACAAAAATTTATACAAGAAAAAAGTGAAAAGGTATTATATTCTGTATACTTAATACTAACAACCCTATTAGGCAGAGTATATTACTGATATAATAATTGATAATATTTCTAGCTAAAATGTATAGATTAATAATATCTTTCTACAACCTGCGGTGGATGATTCTCATGAAATTTACCATAGCTTGTATAGCCTGTAATACAAATATTTTATTTTATTATTTCAGGAAAAACTTGATGAAGAATATCATAATAAAATTGAGGCAAATAAAAAAATTGCAGAGGATAAAACTGCAAGGAAAAGAGCTAAAAGACTAAAGAAGAAGAATAAAGCAAAAATAAAAGGAAAAATAAGTAAATTAGACAACAATAAACAATCTATGTCATCTCAATCAGACAGCAGTAGTGAAGATAATGATGACAAAATACAAGAATTCAGGGAAAAAAATATTCACAAGACTGAAGAACAGAAAGGAAATACATAAAAGTATAGCATAAGTAAAAGAAATTCTAATAAATTATGTTACATTTTGGAAAAGCTTTTATTTAAATACTCACCCAACCAACTGCATGTTTTCTTATGAAGTCATAATTAAGCATACTGTGTTACTGTTCAGTGGTTTACTATCCCAACTTAGACCGCCTTATGGTCTAAGTTGGGAGTGATGAGTTCTGATGTCATTGTGTCAATTTATGTTTCTAGTTAACTCGGTACTAAAAACACTGATCCTGAGATATAGCTTAAGGTTCTCTACCCAAACATGTTGGATTCCAATATATCCTTTGGCACATGTAAAGATGCAAAATGCATTTACCATGACATGGACAATTTGATAATGTTTGATATTGCCTCTGACTAACCCAACTTGTATCTTTGTAAAGGTATTATTAATTAAACACAATTTTATAGTTATGAAATTATAATTAGTTTATTTTTAGAAACACAAATAATACATATACTTTACGAGTTAATATACTAGCTTCTACTGGACAGAGGCCATGACACTGTCTTCATTCTTTTTTAATATAACAAATCCCTCCATGACCGGGGACAATGGGATGTACTCATCAGTAGCAAGTTCCGCACGTTCTCCAAATGACAGGAGCACTGGAGTAGTATGGGTGTGAGAACCAGCAATGGTTTTTGGTGTACCAGCTTTGCCAATTACATCCACAGCCTGTAAAATAGTAAATTTCCTGTATCTGAAGGAATATTGTTCACATAAAATAAATTTAGACTACTGAGCTTACAATTGTTATTTAAATACATATTTTTAATAATTACACATGTATACACATACAATATACACTGATGCAGGTATATTCATGAATACAAATGTTTGTATTGTTAAGAGATCGAATATGCGATCATCAGGAGGTAAGTAGATAAGAATTGCCACAACAATAAATAGATAAAGTAACTATATGGTTACATACCTGACCAACACGGACACTGACGTTCAAAGGCTGAAGGTTCTCATCAAGGGTGACGAGCCACCGAGGTTGCATAGCAGTTGCCAATACATACAATAAGTAGTGAGATTTTCCAAGAATTACTGCAATAAATAGAAAAGTTTGTTAATTTTTTTAAGTAACTCAAGCAGATAGTTTACCTGAAGAACAATTTGCAGTTCTTCAAATATACCATCAAGTGTTATTTGCGTCAGTCTTATGTATGGTGTACCACTTAGTATAAAAGTGACACAAACACCATACATAAGACTGACGACCTGGCTATACATATAGTTTGTGTCACAATTGAGTATATGCACTGGTATGTTAGGCACACTTATATTATGAAATGCCATGTTTAAAACTGCTGCTACTAATTATTTACTTAAATGTGGATGTTGGTAACATGTAATAGTCCGAGATCCCGCTGCAGAATCAGTGTACCCATCGAGTGTTTGCTGAAAACCAAATTTTTACACATATTTATCATTAGGAGAATTTATATCTACCAGGTTGCCTATCAAAATGTGGCCGCTAGTATTTTTAATTAAATTATTAATAATTCATAATCCGTAAGAAATTTCATTGACTTGTTTTTTCAGTAAAATGTCGTTCACTTTACGGCAATATCTATAAAGACTGTGAAAAATCATGGTTGCCGTTGCGCACCTGGCCGCACCTCTTCGCAGCCAGGTGTACACAGGTATGATTTTATTACATTTATACACCCACAACGTACATTCATAATTTATATATCAAATTAAAGCAAATTTTTTTCTGTTTATTATCATATACGGTTGCCTAATTAAATCTGGCCGCAAATAAGGGTTGCTGGCTATTAAATATAGTAAATATTAAAAGTAGAGTGAAAGTGAGCTAGCGCGTAACACCACTAGTCAAACGAGGATAGCGATTGCCAGCTGTCGGACAGTTTAAAGCCATTGCGCATGCGTCAGATGCTAGTGTTCTCAATGGATCAGTTGCGACTTTTATTCTAAGTTAAAAACCACGCTGTTTTGGAGTACGTAATACACAACATAATATATTGCTGTTTAATTTGTGCATTGAAAAATTATCAATCTCATCAGTGCGAAATAAAATTTATAAAGATGAAGGCGTGTTTTCTGTGCGACAAAAAATGCAATGTACTAGACTTTGATAATGCTTCATTTAAAAAGTGTTCTCTAATGTTATTGTTTCGTCGTAAGAAAAATTTAATTTTATATTTTGAAAAGAAAGACGTTTCTTTTGGAGTATTTATTATTTTGAGGCGTACCTACTATTGTTTGAATCGGAGGTTGAGAACACTAGCATCTGACGCATGCGCAATGGCTTTAAACTGTCCGACAGCTGGCAATCGCTATCCTCGTTTGACTAGTGGTGTTACGCGCTAGCTCTCTTTCACTCTACTTTTAATATTTACTATATTAATAGCCAGCAACCCTTATTTGCGGCCAGATTTAATTAGGCAACCGTATATGATAATAAACAGAAAAAAATTTGCTTTAATTTGATATATAAATTATGAATGTACGTTGTGGGTGTATAAATGTAATAAAATCATACCTGTGTACACCTGGCTGCGAAGAGGTGCGGCCAGGTGCGCAACGGCAACCATGATTTTTCACAGTCTTTATAGATGTTGCCGTAAAGTGAACGACATTTTACTGAAAAAACAAGTCAATGAAATTTCTTACGGATTATGAATTATTAATAATTTAATTAAAAATACTAGCGGCCACATTTTGATAGGCAACCTGGTAGATATAAATTCTCCTAATGATAAATATGTGTAAAAATTTGGTTTTCAGCAAACACTCGATGGGTACACTGATTCTGCAGCGGGATCTCGTACTATAAGGATTTAGAATAAATGTCGAAACTAGGCAATGTAAGGGTAAAAAATGCAACATCAACATAAATAAATAAAACATCTCTTGAAATCAAATGACACTGGCTGTGTTTGTATATAAACTTACAATAAAAAAACAACCTATATATACCAACATATATATAGACTAGACAGCTATGTCGAATTTCATCTAAAGTAACCTTTACGCGTTCGTTGTTTGTATGCATAGTGTAGAGCACACTCACTGTTCTTGCAGTCGAGGAAAGCGGTGAGTACGACAAGCAGGCCGGCGAGAGCAGGCTGATTAAGGAGGCGGCGGTCGGCGTGTGCAGGACACAGTGTGACGGTGCCCTTGCCGGCGTGGCAGAGCCCCTGCGCCAACCGCACCATAAACAGGTGAACTGGCGATTTGCCGTGGTACAGCGCCAGTGCTCGCAGCATCGTCGCCAACCTACGTACATACATACAAAGTTTTTAGTACTCAAGAATGGTATTATTGCCGATTCATCGGTATTACAAAACTGAAGGCGAAGCTCTTAGGAGCGGTATTACAGAAGGCATGCATAGATATTCCGATTTATCACGGACACCATGAAATATTACAATAATCAATAAAAAGAAAATACAGAGGCCAACTATTGTATTTGTTAGTTTTCCCTTCAATGGAAGTTTCTTCTTCTTCATTGAAAAGTTGAGGAATAATATTGGAATTTAGACGATGAACTGGAGGTGGAAATAATTTTTATTTTTCAATCTAAAATAACTTTTAGAAATTACATTACCACTTAGCTATAGAATGGAAATTTTTGCAATCATGGAATTCGGTCCAGAAATGGTGACCTGACCCCCTGTACAGTTTGATTAATATAAATTATTGTTAACCAACCTTGCGTTATTAGTTCCAGCCCCCACAAGTCCCATGGCAAAGATAGCATTGTATGCGACGTCGTTATCAGAATCGTGGGAGTATTTGTTGAGTACGTCAATCACGGCCAGTTGTGGGTTGGAGATCGAGCAAAGTGCGATCGCTAGCGGCACCGCACGACGGACTGCAGGTTCACCGTACCGACCCTGGACAAAAGAAAACAATAATCTGAACATGATTTTTTACAGGAATATATTATATTATTTGTTTTCGCTCGTCTGCTATGTTTTTGTCGTCTGATATGTATATATGAATATACTAAGGAAATTATGTGCATGTTAAGTGTCAACCATTCACCACAACATTGACAGTTGACAATGCTTCGCACTAACCTATCTGAGAACAGAGTAGCAGTAGTGGACTAGAAATTCTATTATATATCTTATATAATAAAATTTTAAAATTTATTGACCAACTAGCCTTGGTCACTAACATCGAATAACGTTGAATATGGTTGTATCCTTTTTATTCATTAGCTTTGTTTGTTTTCAGTTTATTTATTCGAGTTACACTTAAAAAGCAACAACAAGGAATAAAAAAAAACACGTTTCATATCCCTTATTTTGAATGGATACATACGAGCTGTCCGAATATGCGTGTGCACATTTCGGCGCCGGTCTCCTCGGCGAGCGCGATGACGGCTACGCCCAGTGTAGCCACCGCCTGCACCGACGACAGCTCCTTATTTGCTTCCTTTTCCTTTTCCTTCTCTTTGCTCTTGCTATCTTTTGACTTGCCTGATATCATTGAAAATTCATTCAAGTAATTTTAAAAGTTTTTATTTAATGAAATAATTTACCACTATTAATATACTCTTGAGGTATAAACAACTTTAAAAAACTAAATTTATTATTAAGAAGGTAGGAACTATATTAATTAATTAATAATAAAAGCTAGCAATTTTGGATAGGGTTATCCTTTTCTGTATTTCAAACACAATATCCGAGTTTACGCTAGTATATATCACAAATGAACTATACGACAATCATGGTTTAAGTGGAAAAAAAAAATGTTATGAATGAAATACATATTTAAGATAAGATAATTGTTGGTGCTAAATATATACATAAAATAGGAAACCAATTAATAAACACTTGTAATAATCACGAATTAACTGAAATATATTTTTTACAATAATTATTTTATCTATAATATCACTTCTAAATGTAGTGAATACAATTATATATTATTGTTCTTCATTTAACATAATTAAAAAAAACTGTAGCCAGGGCCAATTAATTTATAAAAGATCAGTATCAGAATTCATAATAATATATATTTATACATACTTTTGTTTTTGTCATCCTTTGAACTACTGGAGCTGCTACCTTCCTTAGCATCTTTTTTGTCTTGTTTTTTAAAAGCTGTGTCTTCAGCTGATGACTGTTCATTCTGAAATTGTTTAAACTTAGTACCATCTTTGCAAATGTATATACATCATTATTATATTTGAAAATTTTGGCAATTAGTCCTATTCAACTTTTTTCAATTGATAAAATTATCTTTTTTTCAAGTATGTAGGCTTAAACAATATACTGACTGAGATGGTAACAACCCATCTGTTTTTTCATCCCAGAGACAAATTTGTTATTAGCTATGTTGCCAACTTTTTGTAATTCTTAAATAGTGTTGAGGCACTATAAGAAATTTATAAAGTATAGGTATTGATAAATATAGGGTTGTTGTATCAAAATAGTTTTATTTAATTGACATATTTTTCACTAAAATAAAAACTTACCGGCTCTTTTATAAAATAAATGAGCTTCGTATGATATATTTCGTTAAACATACATCTATTTAAACTTCTTAGGAAACTCAACTAATAATTTAAATTTGACCTCTATGATTGTCAATTTACTTTCTGAGATTCAAAAACAGACTAAACAGAGAGGGAATACCACAAATTGTAATTGACATGATAACAAAGTGCAGTTTTAAGTCTGGGTTTAAATTAGTCTAAAATTAAGACCAGCCTGTATATTATAAAATATAGTTTATGGTGGAAACTTATGATAAATGGGGTATATGTACATCAGGTGGAGTTTTTTGTAAAGTTAATCAAAAAATAATTTATAACGGCACCTCTGTCTCATAATGCTTGGAGCAGATATGCAACATCTGTTGGACGACTAGCACGTCGCCGGTGCCAGCATATGCACACATGGAGAGCGTAGTTTGGCATAGCGACTGCTGCGGCTCTGGCAACACCTCGAGTGCCGCCATTGTCGCCTCTGTACGTTCCTTGCAGCCTGCGATAAAACCATAAAAAACTATACATACGAAGAGAGTATACTTATCTTTCTTACAAGGTATAATCAGCCATAGTGATCCTTTTATGCAATAATTACAACCAACTAGTATGAGGAAGATTAGTATTTTATTTAAAGTGCCTTGTACAATGAGTTTTCTATACGAAGAGTACTATTATTCAGTGTTTCCGTGTCTATGGTACCTGCTAAGTTCTAGGCTCAAAACGACAATTACATCCACGGATTTAATTATTATTATATATTATTACCTAAGAAACATAATCCAAGTCCCAAATGCAAGAACCGGGCATAAGTAGATGAGTGTAAGTCCTTATTGTCATCAATAAGACGCTGGATGATGGCACATGTGACCTGCAAACATAATGGTATTAGGCTTGGAAATTTAAGAAACAAAATATTACTATTTTAGTATTTCTATTACTATTGTCGTAATTCAACCAAACTATAATAAATTATTGTCATGCCATTTGGTGAGACATTTTAGTGGAAATAGTGATAACGTACATCCCCGTTGCAGGAGCCGACAGCAATGAGTCCACAGGAGATGGCGGCCAGTGCGCAGATCTCAGGCGGGGCGGCGGCATCCGCCAACACGGGCAGCAAGTGCGACAGCACCTCTTCGCGTTGAGTGCCCGCGTATGCGATGCCCAGCCCTGCACACAAATATACACAAATATACTTACACTGTGGTTAACTAATAACTTCCACAGCAACCTAATAAATAAATAAACAGTGATACACAACCTGCATAAAAAGTTATTCAAATACTTCAAATATTCATTACATTATGTTTTATCTTGGTGAATATGGAAGTAGCCATGAGGTTGTTCTCCTTTTTTATTTCAACAATAAAAAAGGAGAACAACCAACAATTGAACCGCGGCTTTAACCACTTGAAATATTGCCTACTACTACTTACTAGCTTACAATAATAAATAAACTGTTACATATATTTTATATTAACATAGAATAAAATCTTTCGTCATTAGAACATTTAGATGTTTAAACAAGTATGTTCTACTATAAGCTGTAAGCTTGCTAGGATATATAGATGCATGTTACAATTAGCACTACAATTAAAAGCACTATGAAATCAAAACTCCTAATTGGTGGTAGCCATTTAAAATAAAGAAGAAGAAGCACTAAAACTTTTTATTAATTACCCAAAACACTGCCAATTCTGAGATTGGAGCTAGAATGTAGCACGTAGTCGGATAGCAGCGCGAGGGCAGGGTCGCATTCGTTGCGCACGCCGCAATTGACAAGCCCGAGGGCGAGCAACGCGCCCGCCTTGATGTGCTCGTCCGCCGTGTACAGGTACTTGTCGATGGGAGTCAGCCCGCCGTCCACGTCCCACAAATGGATCATGCCGAGCGATGCCGCCGCCGACAACATGCCTGAACAATGTTTCAGCATTTTAAACTACGACCTGTGGTCTAGCAGTTTAGCATACCGCTTTACGTACCATACAAACATTTGTATTCATATGATTATTTGTTGGTATTGATTTTAGTTGGTTTTTTACAAAAAAAAAGTGTAAGTATTTATATCAGTCGTCTAGTACCTATAACAAAGGCTCTGGTTACCTTGATGGTATTATTATTATTTTAAAATTAATTATACAGACTTTGGTACTTCTATTAATAGGAAAGGTAAAAATATATATCTTATTCTTTTCATGTATTTTAATTTAAATGATATCCACATAGGACAATTTAGCATCTTATAGTCAGATGTTACTTTGCAGAAGTCAATTTCATTAATTAATCAATTTACATTATTTTGTTTAATTATGCACTTAATTATCAATTATGCACTGAAAATTTTGTAATCTTACACATGCCTATGGTAGCAGAATTCAAAATAACTATAAATCCAGTAAGTAATGTTTTAAAATATTTATTAACCCTTCCCAATATCTACATCTAACCCGTGGCAGAATAATAAGTAACAGAATAAAATTTGAGAACTGCCATATTATAGCCTAAAATATAAATCACATACTAAAAATCCTTACCATGATCTTTGTTTTTATACATCCATTTATTGCCATCCTCGGTGGTGACTAACTTGTCTCGTCCGAATCCAGCATTAACAAATGCATTAACGAACGTCGCGGAAAGGTTTTGCCGTGCGGAATCTACTGGGTGGTCAGTTAATAAAGATGGGCGTAGAGCCGATCCAGCGGACTCCAACCAAGTTTTGTAAACTTCTTCAGGGGTTTTGGGTTCCATTATATCAAGCTATAATAAAAAATATAGAAGTGAAGTGAAGTACCATAAAGGGAAAAAGGTGATGAAGATTTTCCTGATCATTAAAAATGTTAATGAAACTGGCCGTAAAATTTAAAAACTTGACTATGAACATACCTATAATATTATATTACTTATTAAAGAATAATGTTTTTTTAATGCAACACTGTTTTTAATTTGAATTCAGGAAATTAAACATTCAATAAGATAAAAACATTTATGAATAGATGAAAAGATATTTAAAAAAACTCACCTCTCTAGCTAAACTCAAGTAATGATCATTGATGTGTGCATTTAGAAGAATCGTGCGCAGATCTTCATCCTCTAAATCAAGAGGTATGTACTGTCTGGCAAGCATGTAGCACAGCTGCTTCTTAATTAATCTAAAATAATATTATAATATATTAATAAGTTCTTAACTTTACCTTTATTTATACTTTAGTTTGTATATTGACAATTAATCTAGATGTATATCTTTATGTCTGTGGTATAATTGGGAATTATCTACTTGTCTACCTAAGCATTCTTCCTTAAAAAATTTACAATTGATAATCAAATATAGTTTGATATATAATATCAGTGTAAACATGTACCCCACGCTTTTTGTGACTATGACTGAAGGCATTAACTTGGGTATAGTAATTAATTTTCAGTGGTGGTGGTCCAAAATTAGATTAGAATTTTATTAATCTACTTACGGATCAGTGCATGCATTAAAGACCTCTTCACATTTGGTCTTATCATGCAATTGCATAGCCACAAGCAGTGCCCGTGGATACTCTCCAAACCGTAAGTATGTGTCCAGTACACCTTGGAGGATTTGTGTTGACTCTGGTTCCACAACATAACTGGCACAGCTAAAATCATGTAAATCATATTTACATTTTGTCTTGTAGATATTTATTTAAGAATAGGAGGTAGACTGTAAAAACTATCAGTATGAATACTTCAGTCATATCTTTTTCAGCCACCAATATAAAAAGGCATGAGACTTTTAATTTGATATCCATAAAAAATAAAATAAAAGTAATAAAATATGAGAATATAAATGACTTCATTGCATTTATTGTTTCAAGGTACAATTTAAATAGCATTTATTTATGTTTATGAGAATTTCTGCAGATATATTTGTGTAAAATTGAAGGAGGGAGGAATAAATGAAGCAAGGGGAATACATGATACACTAGACTGTCCAAAATCTACCTCCATATAAACTATTTTACACTTTAAAAAGGATATGGGTTATTATGTATAGGTTTCCAAGTCTTTAATATTGCCATATTATATGAATAGAAATAGAAATAGAAATAATCTTTATTCAAATAAACTCATTACAAGCACTTTTGAATAGTCATATTTTGATTCTACCACTCATTCGGAATGCAGATTCATCACAAGAAGAATGAGCAAGAAACTTGTGTGTTGCTCTTTTTAATAGATGTTTTTTTTATATAAATAATTACAGTATAACAAGTAAGAGGCATGCAATAATCAACATAGAAGTCGCTACGCACTCATTAATAATGTATTCAGATAATATTGTCAGTGCTATAGATTTAAAGTTTTTCTATAAAAACATTATTATCGTTAACGAATTCTTCAATTTTATAGTAAGCTTTTTTGCAAAGGAACTGTTTTATTTGACATTTAAATCTTTTTTCTGGCAGATTTATAACAGACTCTGGTATTTTATTGTAAAACCTTACGCAATTGCCATAAAACAAATTACTAACTTTAGCCAAACGACATTTAGGTAAAATCAGTTTGTTATTGTTACGTAAGCTTTTATTAGTGCAATCACTAACTCTTTTGAAACTGTCTATATTCCTTCTAGCATAGATATTTTCATAAATGTATTGAGAAGCATAATAATATAATAAAATATAATAGAATAATAATATAAAGACATAAAAAAATACTAGATTAAATCAACATACCCAATTAAATAAAGACAGACACGGGGATAATTGCTTTGATCCATATGCTGTGTGATAAGGTCTAGGCGATCAATTTCCATCAAGAGATCACAGGCCTGTATTTCAGCAGAATGTTGCATATCAAAAGCTATCACATCTCTTACCAATGGTAGCAATGTGTCCATATTTTCCACATTCCACTCTTCAGCTATCTCACCCTCTAATTGTCTAACAATAACATAACATAAGTATTGATATATTATTTTACATAAAAATGATTATTCATATAAGTTGATAAACCAAAGTAATAAATTAAGTTCAGTATTTAGAAAATCTAAATTCTAATATTATCAGATACTATGTTGAGGATTCTTAAAGAAACAATCAATAATAATCCTGAGTCAAGCCTCAGGATTATTATTGATTTAAGTAATATAGTAAAAAAAATTAACATGTATTATACATGATGTTCCTTTATGACTAACTTTGGTTATTTGGCTATATTTTTTTTAGATTATCAACCTATTTTATATATTAAAAAAAACTGTTCTATATGATTCAATGGTTTTAATTATTAATTTTTATGTGAAAGGACTTACCTAACATATTCATGTCCCCAATCACCCACATTGGACATAGTTCCAAGGAGACAATACTTAAGACATTCTCTTTTCTCAGCAGCATCCTTTTAGTAAAAGAATTTCAAGTTTAGTACCATATTAAAAAAAGTAAACAACTTACTACAATAATTTGTTTACGTTGTCACTATGACTCTTTACAACATTCCTGAGGACAGGACATGATGCCAACAGAGATTATATCTGATTTGCAAATAAGCTACTGCACAGCAGTGATAAGCAACTTTTGGGCAGAAATCTAAAAGTTAATAAGGGGAATTCTTTGAATTAATTGATTGTTGATAATTTAAAACATCTTACTAATTTGAGAAAGAATAGATATCAGTGCAAGCATCTCCAATAGTTAATCAATATTCATAGAATGCAAAAATATACATATTGTTAAAACAAATATAGAAATTTAATTGTAAAACATTTACAAAACAACAAAGCAATTCCTCCAACTCTATGTTATGTACTTCAGACCTAGACAAAGAATAACAGCAACCTTAATAAATATATAAATTGGATACCTAGCTGTTAATAATAATCTTTTTTTATTAAAGTAGGTGAATCTGACAACTTAATGAAAATAATTGAATCTAAGATTTAACAAAAAAAGATAATCATAATTTACTTACTGGTGATCCACTGACACCCATAGCAAGAACTGAGACAACATCAGCACAGAATTTTTTGGTTTTTGCATCTTCAATTTTCTCATATACTAGCTTAAGTGCTGGATAGTGTTCCCTCAAAAATTTTAAGGGTTTAGGCACTGATGTCATAGAGGTTGTAGATGTTCTAATAAGATTACTCAACATTTGTAGAGCAGGGAAGTATAATTCCACATCATTCCCCTAGAAAAAAAAATGGTACTTAACTGTTGTTTGCAAAAATTGCAATATACTTATTCCAAAACACTTCTTACCAAAAGTTTCTCAACGAGCATGTTCAGCTCCTCCTGAAGACGTTTATCTTCTTCTGACTGTTAAGGGTTTGAAAATAATTAGTATTTATTTTAATACGACATTATTACACATTCGTACTACAATACTTGCCAAATCATCGGTGGGGGCGGCAACGGGTTCTGCCTTTTCTTTTTTGGGTTCTTCATTTTTATTTTTGACTGTCATTTTATTGCCTTTTAAAGTATAATATTTGATAAAGATAAAATTGAAAGAATAATATACTTATCAAAGCAATTGTTACAATGAGGAGTGAATTTTGACAAGTCACTACGGCGTCTGAATGGCCATATAAAAAAAAATAAACTACTAAACTATACCAGCATAAAATCGAATCATAAAACCTGAATGTGAGTAAGTGACCAAATGAGATCAGAATAGAAACTAATATTTGTTTTAATGAAAATTATTATTATTTATCTCGCTTACACTATGTCATGTTATTCAGAAAGAATGTACAATAACTAGTATAGTGGGTACTTCGTTTCATTCTTCCTGTCTTAAAGAATCGTCATTAAATTATATTAACATATGTATAGCAGTTCAAACTGAGAACAATGTAGGTGGACAGAAAGAAGTAATCAGAAACAATATTGAAACTTAGTTTACGCAAACTCTGCGAAGGTGGCGCTACCATGTCATAATATGCATAAACCTGTAGTTTAGTTTAACAAAATGTTATTTAAAATACTTCTTACATTATGGGTAGGTAAATATAATAAACTAGCGTCCCGTATCCGGCTTGGTACGGGTGGACATTTAAAAATAAAATTACATTTGATATTTTATATTTTCTTCAATACTGTAGAACATACTTTTTGTTGAATGAACATAGAGGTTCATATACATAATTGTATTTGAGTAATAAATTCTGTCATTGTTAAAAAAATATATTGATAGATTAAAAGTTACGTTTAACATCATGTTCGTATTTTAGTAAAAATATCCATTAAAATCTAGATCATTTCACTCTGAATATCTCCCAATTCAACACTTTTGTCCTATCACCAAGTTTCCTCATCGCACGCGACAAAAGATATTTTATAGCCTTTTTTTACCTTGAGTTACGTTACTAAAGTTTTAGTAAGGATCCCTAATCTTTTCTAGCAATAAATATAGGCTATGTTACCTACTTAGGGTGAATGTTATCTATCTATCTATCTATCTAAATCATCCACCAGTGTATTAAGTTTTGTTATGCTGTGTAATTGTAATTGAGAAATATTGAGTAAAATAATAAACCTTTGTATTAGTAGGTCATACTATATGAAGTACTCTAGCTATGTATATTTAGCAGCTTCAATCGTGAAATAGAATAAAACTATCAGATTGTTCAATCTTTGAATATGCTATATATACCTATATATACAAAATTAAATTTATTTTTATTCGTTTAGGCATTGAAACATGTTTAACCGAATTCAATGACTAGCCATGTGGACGTAGGTAATTTATTTAGTAATAAACGTCTTTATAATGTTGGAATATCTAAGATATGTCAAAATAGAAATTACCCTCTTCTTTTGTTCAAAATTTAAAACGTAATATGTTAAATAATATGTAGATCAGAAATCGCACATAGGTTGTCGGTTTAAATCCCGTGCCCGAAGTGTATGAGATGAGCGAATATCTCTCTTATAACGTATCCCCTCCTACAAAAGTATACTATTTAGTTTAAAATAATGTTTTTTATCATAGTTTAACAGATTTTTGGAGGGTAAACTGTAAAAAATAAAATAATTACATACTTAATACATTTCTTTACATTAGGTCGCAGCCATCAAAATTCAAGCCAACAGTTATGAATACATTGTAAATTATTCATCTGATTATCATAATTTTATGTATCAACCGGCAAAAAAACACAATCCACTGTATTTTTAACATTAAACAGGACTGGAAATGTAACAAAACAACGATCTGAAGATGGAAATGTATTATAGATTATTGTATCAGTAGTCAATTGGTGCTCTTTTAAGAACGTTACTTTCAAGGCAGAGTAAATAATTTCATATAAATAGTTATTTTACATAGGTCAGTTAATTATATTATATCACTAGATTTAAAAAGATAATATTTCGCGAAATATATAATTAGGAATAAGTATTCTTTCTGTAATTTATTGAATTTACTTCCGTTTTACTTCCATATTAATTTTGTCATGATTAAAGTCGTGGTATAATACCTATAACTATCTTAAACTTTATAATAAATTACAAAAATAAACACAATATTAACCATATTTTAGATAATATGTATTGTATTAAAAAAGCTTTGAAGTGCGAGCAATTATTAACACTCATAAAGAGAAGTAATAATGTATCTACTATGAAGTTAACCCAAACAATTAATAACATGCCTCGTCCAAGAACATTACCATTGATTGGTACAAAATTGGATTTTTTTATTGCTGGAAGCGGAAAAATGTGAGTAATATTTGATATCTGATATTGAAGTGGTTTTAGTATACTAACTCTACATAGATAGATATAATCTGTTCCGGAAACAATAAGAACTTACGGAAAATGTAAACAAAGGGGTCATTAACCCAATCATAGACCTAAAGTGTCCTAAATCATAATTAAGAAAAAAATAATAAGTGTATTGAATATTTCGATTATCCTATTGAATGTCTCGATTTATTCCACTAATTTAATTATACATTATTACAAATACAATAGTATGATTCGTTATATTTGAAAGACGCAGTAAATATTATTGGATAAATAGTATTTTAACTGATTTATTGATAATAACGATATTTTTTTGATTATATCTAACATATTGTTCATTAAATTAACTGCATAATATGCATATTATTTGATTTTGTTAATCCTTGTTATCATGAATGATGTGTTTTCGTACATCCCTGCGACCAAATTTTTTTTCGGTACAGTAGATTAAAGTTGGACAAAATATTTTCTTTAAATTTTTGGTTAGAAGAAATAAGTAATTATATTCTAAGCAAGAAATAAGAAAAGAAATAAGTAATTATCTACTCAGGGCTATATTCCAAAAATAAAAACGAGTAAAAGTTAAAATTTTTAGCAACAAGGTTGACATAATTATCACAGATTGATGATTTAATAGTTTTTTTTTTAATTATAGTTTCTGATAGCTGAGATGCTAGTATATTTTCCTGTTTTCAGTTTGTCGTAATTTTTTTGGAACAACCTGTATATAACTTCGATTGTTCTTCTTTGTATATATATTATTAAAACTTTATTGTTCTGCTTATTACAACTCTATTCGTAATTTATTTCCCATTTTATTTTTACCAGGTTACATGAATATATCGATTTACGGCATAAACAATTAGGACCGATATTCTGCGAGAAGTTGAATGGAAATTTACCTCTTGTATTTGTCAGCAATCCAATGACAATGAGAACTCTCTTTTTAAATCTAGAAGGAAAATATCCCACTCATATTTTGCCAGAGCCCTGGGTTTTATATGAAAAAATTTATGGCTCTAAACGAGGTCTTTTTTTTATGAATGGAGAGGAATGGGCTAAGAATCGTACTATTATGAATAAACTAGTACTAAAAGATGATTCTGAAAAATGGCTTGAAACTCCCATTAAACAAACTATAGATAATTTTATAGAGCAATGGAAAGCAAAAAGTAAAAATGGTTGTTTCATTCCTGATTTAGAATCAGATTTTTATAGATTATCAACAGAAGGTATGTTATATAATGCAATACGTAAGTAAATCAAATTTTGTTACATATTCATGATCTGATCGCAAAATTAATCATATGACAAAATAGTCAACAATTTGTCGAATAGTCATTATTTTACATGAAAAATAACAATGTTTCTTTTGAATACATGATGTTATAGCTAGACGTAAGATTGCATAAATCGAGATATCTTTCGATCAAAGGGTACAAAGATATTTCAATTTATGCTATTTTACGTTGTAAATTTACTTTACACGCTTTTGTAGACACTTTATAGTTTACCTACATAGCCCATGCCTCAATAAAGGTTTGATATAATATAGAAATTATATGTCGATTTGTGTAATAAATATTGTTTCAAAATAATAAAGAAAAAGAGAAATTCTCAATTCCCGACTGACTCGCAGGGAATTGGAATTTCTATATCGAAAGTTTCCCAGTTGTTAAATTTTCTGTCTCTTAAAATGTAGTGCAAATTATACCCGTTAAGCTGTATATAAACCTATTTCCGGATCAATTAAACAACTTTTGCAACAATATAAATGTGATAAATTTTATTTAATGTATGTAGTTAATAGTATATATACGTACTCGTTGTTTATTTTTCAGTCATTATCAGTATATTACTTGGCGCAAATGGACTTATTGTAAGAGGCAAGTACTTCGAAGAGCTACTGGGACTGTTTTCTGAGAATGTGAAGAAGATTTTTCAAAATACAACTAAGTTATATGGACTACCAGTTGCATTGTGTCAATATTTTGATTTAAAAATATGGAAAGATTTTGAGAACAGTGTAAATTCATCAGTTGCGATAGGTAAGAAGATTACTCGTAAGTTTAGCTTTTTACTTATATTATTTCGAACTAGGTACACTACTAACTTCAAATTTTTCTTGGTTTTAGCGCAAAAAATAGTTCAAGAAATATTGAATAAGCATCACAAAAGTACAGGATTAGTTAGAAAATTGACTGAAGAAAATGTTCCTGACGAAGATATTAAGAGAATAGTGTCTGACTTTGTTATTGCCGCTGGAGATACTGTATGTAAAACTAATTATTGTAATAATAATAATAATAATAATACTGAACAATCTACATAACGCTATACCTAATCCCAAGCTAAGCTATGTTACGAGTCTATGTTAGATATGGGTACTACAACTGATATAAATACACACATATTTTTTATAAATACATACTTAACACAAACTATTACACTCATAAATTTGTATCTATTCTTCCGATCTATCGGAATTAAGGCGATGTGTTAAATTTGCTAGACCACCGAGACAGTTAACCTAATATTCTATTATTAATTGAGAACTTACCATAATGCTTTGATTCCTCAATAAACAGACGTGGGCCGTTAGCACGTATTGATAAAAAAATGAAAGTAAAAATATCATAATTTTAATTTATTAATATACACAATGTTATAATTTTATTACCATACCATCTTTAAACCGTATAGCAAGCTGAAAGACAGCATTAAGTAGTATTAAAATATACTAATTACTAATTCTATGAACATAGGCTATTTTTATATGAAAAAGCTAATACTATTCTAATTAGCTTTTTCATATAAAAATAGCCTATGTTCATTGATGCCATACAGTCTATCATATTAACTTTCATTAAGCTCATTCAGCCGTTAAAAATATAAAAAACAGGCAGATAAACAGACATATTTATTTATATTATCATCAGTGTAAAATATCGATTAAAAAAAATTGCCGATTTTGGAAATAAAACTGCCGTTTGAACTCTTTTGAAAATTTGAAGGCAAACAGATACCTAAATAAATAAAATTTATGTATTTCAAATAAATCAACATTTTTTACAGACAGCATATACAACTTTGTGGATTTTGTTTTTGTTATCTAAAAACGATGCTGAAAGGAATGATATTCGTGGTAAAGATAAAACTTATATAAAGAATGTGATTAAAGAATCAATGAGGTTGTATCCAGTGGCTCCATTTTTAACAAGAATTTTACCGAAACAAAGTATTTTGGAATCGTATTTCCTAAATTCAGGGGTAAGTAATAGTTTTAGGACACCATAACAACAAATGGGTACTACCAATACAAACTATTGAGATCTTAGGGAATAACATATTGTATCTGTTCTGTCGTGATCATTTAAAGGGGAACGGTTTTCAGCTTTGGATTCTATATAAAGCGAAAGAATATTTTTTATGAATCTACACTAATATAGCCCTAAGCTGGGCTACGCATTTTATATCGCGCTCTGTTCTCAGGTTTTAATCTTTTACTTATTTACATATAACGGTAGGCTTAGTTATAGTTTATATCACATAAGGACTTTAATGAAAAGTTATTTTAAAGCATATTTATATAAAGTTCTATAGACCTACATTTCAAAAATCTTCCATATTAGGCCTATGTATAATTTCTAGCAACACGACACGATAGATCATAACTAAGAGAACTAAAGAGGTAAGTTGGGCATGGGATTTGTATCCAGAGCTGTAAAACATATTAATAAAAAAATAACTAAAGGGCTATTACCCTAGACTCGTAAATACTTTATACCCACCTGCTACTGTAGGACTGTAGCAGTATACTAATTTAACAACTAAAAGACTTGTGAATAGTATAATAATAGCAAATATGCGGATTCGTCACACCATAGGCACTGTACATCATTGCACTGCTGCAGACCCAGTGCACCTGAACGTGGACATAAATATATGTGCTGAAACATGACATGTGTAATATATATAATTTACTGACATAGCTTATAAGTGGTTTATTACATAATATGGATGAATGTCCGAAATACATAAATAGAACTGTAACTATTATTTATCAATGCTTCCTATTACTCTATTCCTGTATGTATGTCTATGATTTAGGCAGAAAATCCGGAATCCCATTGAATCCTATTTTACTGTCAATGTCAATAATGTTCTGTCAATTGCCATTGTGAAAATGTCATGATCACATGTCATATTTGAAACATGTCAAATATAAAACCAATATATTCTTCGTTGTAATTTTCTATTTTTCCTAGACATATCGTATTAATAAACATATAATAAAAAATATGATTTATTGTAAACTACTAAATAGGTTAAATAAGCATGGGCCCGTACTTCATATGCGCTCCTTTAGTGCCATAAGTTGTTGCGATCACAAACAAGCCAAGCCAATATTGATAAGAAATGAATTGAGTAACATTAATATTAGAAGACAAATGTCTTTCGAGGGTCTTGTAGAATGGCAGCAACAGACATATACTAGTATATCGAATAGCTATCTTGTTACATTAATGCAAAATGGATTATTATATTTTCATGACGCATCTGGGTTATCTTGGTGGGCTACTGTTGTTACATCTACAATTCTTATACGGGCTTTAATGACTTTACCACTTACAGTATATCAGAATAATATACTTGCTAAAGTTGAAAATATTAGCCTGGAGTTAAAAGATATGGTAGATGAATTAAAAAGAGAGACTGCAGTGGCAAAGAAGCTATATAATTTGACTGACAAACAAGCAATTATGTTATATAAAAGTTCATTGAAAAAACAATGGTATAAGCTTATTGTCCGAGATAATTGTCATCCATTTAAGTCAAGTTTAGTGATTTGGTTACAAATTCCAATATGGATTTGCATGTCCTTTGCTCTTCGAAACTTGGTTTATATGCAATCTGGTGATCCTGCAGCATTGGTGACTTTTATGCAGTTATCCACTGGTGGAGTTGCTTGGTTTCCTAACCTAACAGAGCCAGATCATTCCCTTATATTACCAGTGGCATTTGGAATAACTAATTTAGCTATAATCGAAATACAGAGAATGTCAAAACTAAGACAACCCTCTAGGATGTACAATGTATTCACTAATGTATTTAGGGTATTTTCAATAGTTATGATACCTGTAGCAGCTACTGTACCTTCTTGTATGTGTCTTTATTGGATGACATCAAGTGGATTTGGACTTGCTCAGAACATATTTCTTTTGTCACCATCAGTAAGAAGAAAACTGAAAATACCAGAAACTCCAAGTGAGCTGGAGGATCCCTACAATCATATGAGAGAAGAAATAAAACACACCATTGAAAAAATTATACCTAAGAAATCTTAGTAAATTATTTTGAAATTAAAGTCATTTTCTTAATTGAGAAACCAAATTAGCATATTTTATATATCCTGTACATAAATATATTTCTTTACTAACCTCTTTTAACCACTTTTGCCACTCTGACACTCTGACACCTTCAGAGTGGCAAAAGTGGGCTAAATCCTTATGTGTAGACCCAGGGGCAGCGTGATCTTATAGATGAGCTTATAGTGTGATAATGGCTTGTCAAAACCATCAAATATTTCTGCTCAATGAAAAGATGAATGTTATATGTGTAGATGAAATCTACACATATAACATTAAAATACATCTACACTGTACCAGTTGCATTGCATAATAATGCTCTAATTTAATGTTTGTTATAGTCAATATACTAGATTTATTCTAGTCTCAATCCGACATGCAACTTGTTAAATTTTTTTTTGTTCTTGTCATGTTTATATAATTTTTGTTAGCTATCATGTCAAATGTACCATCCACTTTTGCTTTGATTTTTGGGTCACAATCTTCTTGAAGAAATAATTCATCTTTGTTATCTCTATCAGTAAAAGTAATAAGTCCAGATTTAAGTTTTATTATGTTGTATCCCCTAAGGAAAAACGTACTAATACATTATAATATAATGAAAAGTTGTGCTTTTACCTTTTAAAAAATTGCTTTAACCTACTAACCTGTTAATTGTTATTATTACTAAAATTTAGGAAAGCATTTTTAATAAATGGTATTATTTTTAATATAGATATTCTTTTAATGGATGATAATGTTAGGTTTTACGCGCCTTTGCTATCGATAGTCGCCGGCGGGCATTAGTGGACGATGATAGAATGAGCATGAAGTCAGATAGGCAGCTCATCATAGCAAAATTACCAGGATTTACCACAATGGTTTCCAGAGGGCAAAAACCTTACAATCCCTTCCTCACCCCTCAACCCTCCACCCGTGGATAGTAGAATGAGAATGAAGGGGTAGGGGCCCTTCATTCTCATTCTACTATCCACGGGTGTCCCTCGAACCTGTAACGTTAGGACTGGCGGGGCCCACACCATCGCAAATTGAATAATTGAAAAAGATTGAACACAGTTAAAAATGCTTAACATTGATCCCGTAGTTATTTGATGATCTCAGTTTTACATAATTATTAATCCTTGTAGTATTAGAAAATTGCATAATTGTACATTTTATAAACATTTATTATGTTCGAAGAGACTTAAAGCAAAATATTTAATAATTGCAGACTCCAATTATAGCATCTATTTATACATCTGGACGCGATGAACAAAATTTCAGTAAAGCAAATATGTTTCTGCCTTACCGCTGGGATAGAAGTGATCCACGAAAAAAAGAATTAATTAATCATGTCCCATCGGCTTCGATGCCTTTTGCTTTGGGAGCAAGATCTTGTATAGGGAAAAAGATCGCCATGTTACAATTGACTGAAGTCATATATCAGGTAATCGTACTGTCTACAATAAAGCCAATAATAATATATAACCACATTTATTAGCGAAGACGGCCTCGGTGGACTAGCGGATTAGCACACCGCTTTACTTGTAATGATTGCGGGTTCGATTCGCACAGTACAAACATTTGTATTCATAAGTACTGATTGTTCAAATCGGTCTGTGTGTTTTCTATGTATATATTTTTTATAGATGATAATTAATTATTATGTAAGTATTTACAAAAAAGAAATATCTAAGTACCTATTTACGTCAATTGTCTAGTACCCATAATACAAGCTCTGCTTAGCTTGGGTGAAAATGGCGTTGTGTGTATTGTTCAGGGTTTTTATTATTTATTGCAGTAAATACCAGTCTAAGAAGGCAAACAATCTTATAAGATTATATACTTAAAACATGAGGTGAAACTGTTCTTATGGAAGTAATCTAGAGATATAGTAACAGATATTCTTTTTTTTTTCAGATTGTGAACAACTTCGAATTTACTTGTAGCAACGGCGATGATATTAAAGCTGTTACTTCACAGGTATTAGTACCAGATAAAGATATTAAATTAGTAGTGTCAACGTTAGAAAACAAAATATGATATATAATGAAAATATTATCAATATATTTACTTATAATTTTATATTATGATTTCTAAAAATATATCACATTACACCCAATTGATATAATATATCATATTATTATTATTTACATCCTTATGAAACTTATACGCATTGTCCTTATACAATTCAATTCATCAAGACACTTGATTGTTTGTTTTATTATATTTTACGGAAAATAACATACAATTCCCAAGGAATGATTATATAGGTACCTACAATAGCGATAATACAATATACTTATATTATTATTACAATATTATAGATATCACCTACCTCAAAATTTTCGTGCAATGAAATGTTCCGACCATAAGTCTGAAACATTTATTAACTTTTTTAAATAAACAACTGCTGTTTTTTTTATCAATTATTATAATCTTTTATTACGAGTCTTGTGTAGGTGATATACATTGTATATGTATCTACAGTATTTATAGGTACCTATAGTACATTAAAAATTAAGTACAAAATATATACTTTGGTTGGAACATAATCTTTGGAACCAATGCATTTGAGAAATTATTTCACTGTTTGATAATTTGCCTAATTTTTTTTTATCACACGGCTACTACTCGTAAGAGGTAACAGCAATTATCGACATGAATAGCGCCATACGGACTTTATACTGTGAATGCAAGAAATTAAGAATACACTGTAATGCACTTATGTATTGTGTTGATTTTCTCAGTACGTACATAACTTGTAATTCTTGCAAAGAAAACTTGGCACCAGTAAGAAGGGTAGCAAAGGCACTTAGTTGACTTTGTAGTCTCCAGGCAAAAAATCGTTTCTGTCTAGTTCTTGAATAAATACAAAGTATTAATAAAACTAGACAAAACTACCGAATTGTAAATAAACTATATTTATAAAGAATCCATTTAACATACCATTCTCAGGAATAAAAACATGGTTATGCATATAAACAGAGTTGCGTGTAAATATTTTTTATTTTACTAGCTGTCTTCGAATCATTCCCTTAATATCATCTAACCACTGATCTCTGTACTCTAAATTGAGTATTGTTTCAAATGATCGCGTACGGGATGATTCACTCATTTTCCCAGTTAATAAATACGCAACAGATTCAACGCATAAGAATCCCATTCCTTTACTCAGCGACCATACATAAATTTTATCGACATTTTCAGGAGTTAATTGAAATTGTAATATGGCACTACTCAACAGTTCTTTTAGTTTGTCGAATAAATATCGATCTGATAATAACAGTACTTCTAAATTCGTTTCTAAATTGTCAGCCATTGGAAATACTTGTATATCACTCTTAGAGTTATTTAACCCACATTGCAGAAGTGTGAATAGGTATTCAAGTGCTGGCTTCGTTACATCTGTTAATCGTACGCAGCTCTCTACAGATTCTTTAAAACGACCCATCAACATCGCGCTGAAATACTCAGAATTTTGACACAGAAATAATTTGTTCGCTTTAACCATTGACGAGTCATCTAATTCAAATGTAACAATATTATCTACCGATAGATTGTCCAGTATAGGATCGTAACTAACGATAATTTGATCATTAAATCTATTTTCAAGTGATTTCGGATCTTTAATCTGTACGTTCGTTGCCAACTTAACTAACGCTGTGACACAATCTTTCATATCTTCTTTTGATTCGGCAATATTTGCAAATAAAAAAGTCAATGCATTGCAATCAATAAAATATTTTTTTAAAGGTTTTTCAGTTCTGAAATATAAAATTTTATATATGTAGGTATAATAAATATTACATGTGTTAAGGAAATTGTGTCGAATGAAATTAAAACGTTGGTATCACCTACCTCACAATGTATGGTAATGTAAGTGAAAGTGTTTGTTTCATAGCAGCACTCCCTTTTAGTAATTGGTAACTAATTTCTCCTATACCGTAACTTGACTCCGCAAGAATAGTCAACTGAGTCAGTAGCTTCGCACTTAATCTTACTATCTGAAATATGTATTTTATATATATTATTATTTAGATATATATACTTATATATGTATAACAATATCATAAAGAAGACAGATTTGATTGTTTGTTTGCATATAATAATTAGAATTTTTTTAATCCTCCCAGTAGGCTCCGATCCTACTGGGAGGATTTAAAAAATTCTAATAAGCGAGTACAATCTATTATGGCACAAATATTACTTACTTGTTTGCATTGTGTACACTTTATAGGTGGATGCTTGGAACTTACTGACATATTGTGTAATCTAAGAGCTAATCTGTGTTTCAATATGCTCATTAAGCAAAGTGCATTACTGAAAATAATAAATTATATTCACTTTTATATTATAATGTATCAAGAAATATAGACGATTCCAATAACATAGCTAGAAAGAGAGATAATACTAGATATGCTACAAAGTAGCATAAATTGTAGCACCTTTTTTGTGCTGGTTTTTGTGTTAGTTTTCTTACATTTATATAATAAGTTCTTGAAGTATATAGAAATTGTACATAAATATAATGTGTGACTGCTGTTTTTTACTTTTCTATTTTGACAATGTATTTATAAAATAAATGTTTTTTATTGGACTACATTAAACAAAATTTGATGAAGATAGGACAAGAAAATGCTTAGTAACACTTATTACTTAATTATATATCTAATATAAGTCTTACCTTAACACCCTTGCTAAAATACGAGCAGCCCTACCCAATGGCCGCTTACATCTTTCGATATAATCGAGCAATGCATTTAAGCACTCCTTCCCTGTGAGAAGTTCTAGTGTATGATTCGGTACTGGTTCCTCACGAATGCCACCATAGTTGCAAGCACCGTGGGATACACGAAACAGTAGAACCAGTACACAAGCTATGGGAGAGGACTTCGTACTTATATCCGTTGTAATTGTACCTTCTGTAACAATAATTATCACATGAATATTAAAATTAGGTAAATAGTTACCTTGCCTTTGAAATTATTTTTAACGTAAATGTGCTAGGAGAATATTTGTTATGGTTATTCAAATGAACTCGGCATTTTGTATGCTAATGCTGTTGTTTGTTTTATCCTTTTCTTGAAATCTACCTCAACAAATGTCTGGGGAACATGTGATCTGGCGAAGGTACTGTCATTTTTCATGAACATAGTGACAGTAGTATTTTCAGACCCGATATTGCAAGCGTTTACGTGCCAAGTTAAGGGCTCACTGGTTGTGACCTCAGTTAAATAAAAATTACTATATATAAAAGGAAGTCTGAACATGTATCTTTTATGGCTTCTTGTTGACTACATATTCTTTATGTGTATAAATATGTATATAAAAATTATTTGCTAAGATATTAATTAAAAAATATTCTGTACCTTCCAAAGGCACTTCTTCGTCGACACTCTCGTCGTCTTCCATTATAAGTTCGTCTAGGTCCTGCGCAACTTGCGCCGCATCTAGTTCCGCGGCCGCGTTTTTCGTTACAGCTAAATCTATTACGTCACTCTCAGTTTCACTACATACCGGAGAGTAACGTCCTGATATTTCTGAGTCGGAACTATCTGGAAATTATAAATTTATTAATACTATATACAATAAATTTATTATAAGTATCCATTTTACGTTCTTTTTGGTTGGACAAAAATACCAACATGATATTTGATTTGTAAAATAAGTTAAAATACACCACATATTTGTTATAAATTGCATTCCTTTCATTCAATTTCTCACTTATTCCATTATTGAATGCTATATTATTAGAACCCATATAAAGATAGTAATAATAAAATATAAAAATACAGGCCTGAAGTATATTGTATCTACCTTCATTAACACTGAAAGGAGAGGTAGGACTACCAGAACTACTTGGACTCCACTGATACTCAGTCCAATATGGTGATGCCGAACTCCCTTCTCCTGTGCTCACACCGGACTCAGGACTCCAGTCCCACTTAGTTCGTTTGTTGGAAAATCCTCGATATTCTGGACTAAAACCAGACTGATTTCCATCTGAATATGGAGACAAAGGCCCGTAATCTCCTCTATCTGGACTTAGTGCGCCACGTGATCCAGATTGCTGTGAAGAAGATGGCCATTCTGGGCTCTTTGGCTCCCAATAAACACCAGCCGACCAATCCTTACTGGCCATTTTAATCAATTGTGACTTCTGCAGACATTACAAGAAATGAGAATGAAATCTATATTAATAAACCTGTATTAATTATGCAATTATTTATTATTCTAATAAAAAAAATAGTCAATGAATATATATATATAACCATTCAATAGAAATAATCAGTGTTTAGTTAACATTAGATCTGATGTTTGATATAGTTCATCTTATATTATAACTATGGACTTATTATTTAGCTATATCACCATTTTTGGACTTCTGGACCTAGCTCTCTTGAGACATTTGCGACGTTGTACAGGAATTTCATCTTCACTTTGACTGTCATCAGAGGCATCACTATCTACAGCGTCAACAAATCCAACAATCATGTTATCTCTTTCAATTATTACTTTTAACTCATCTTCATTTTTTGACAGCAATTGGCTTTTTCGTCGCATAAATAGACTCCCTTTCGTTTCTGGATTGCTTGTAGGTGAATTGTTTGCTTGTGATGGAGTATCTAATTTTATGTTGTTTATATTGTCTTTTTCATTGAGTAAACCAGTAGTTTCACTTAACATTACATTTACATTCTCTGTACTATGCTCATAATTCATTGTAGCCAGATATTTTGTTAGTTCGTCAGTTAGTAAACTAATAAGACCTTCATTTACTAGTATTTGGAATGCTGAAAAGTATATATTTATAATTAAATTTCAATAAGCAAAAAATTTTATATTATGACTTGCCATATATGTAAAGATGTTTTTTAAATTGGTCAATAAATGAAACTAAACTAAACTAAATATACTACTTACTAGTCTTGTTAGAACCAAACCTAGCTCAAATGGCTAAACTGATTAATTAACCGAACATTCTACTCATTCTGTAATCTTCCACTCATAACCAATCAGCAACCGCATACCAAATACTACTGTGATGGCCAGATGAGTTAACCATTTACTAATCTCATTTTGCTGTTTTAAAATTATAGATGTCTAAATAAATTGTTGCCTACTGTTTGCTGAGATCAATGCATACTATTCACTTGTCCAATCTCAATACTTCACTGAGTTGCATTAAACACATAAATAAATAAAACTATGTGGGTTGCAATACTTACATGTGTCATCAAAAACATACTGTAAAAGAGCATGCATAGCTGATGGATGTACCCTTGCCGCGGTCACAAGTAAGGGCAAACCGCCACAATGCCGCAGACGAGAACGGTTCACAGATTCGCCACTCAGCTGAGCAAGGGCGCGAGCCCCACCTTCCGGCCACCATGACACCTCTATATATATATCATTATATTAATATGTGTAAGCAAAAATTTTGTATCCCTTTTTACAAAAATGAAAGATGTCAAGAGATGGAAGAGTCATTTAATTTAATGACAAAAAAGGTTGAAAGGGGAATGGAAGAATGAAATAACAGGTAGTATGGAAGTATCATCATTTTTAAAATTAGGAGATTGAAGAAAAACATTAGTAATAATGTACTTTGATTACTTACCTGAAATCTTATGTAATATACTGACAAGACACTCAACTAAGCCTGCAGTACCAAGTAATGGCCTACATTGGGACAGATAACATAAATTCATGAGGCACTTTAATGCTGTTGACTCATAGGTCTTAGTAAGCGCTACTAAGCACTGGTAGCCTCTACCATCTCCTTGAATCTGGAAATGGGTAAGTAAATGAAAATAATTACAATCTAACTTTTTATTTCAATTTATGGAAATTTAACTATTGTAAATGGTTTGCATACAATAGCCCAGAGAACAAAATACATAATTTTATATATGCTTTGTATCCAAATAATTTGATAAATTTATTTGTATTAGAAGTTAAAATATTTTACCTGCTCTGCACACTGCAATGTTGCATGTGTAGTAAAATATCCTAAACATTTTAATATACCAGTTATCAACTCTTCTTGACTTTTTCTGATGCCCTCAGTTTCTCTATGGGGATTGGTGGATTTAATAATGCCAGCTGATTCACATTCAGTTGTAAGCAATATAGCAATACAACGAACTGCATTTACACTAAGCATTTCATCTCTCTTGTCTACAATCATCCACAGTTGTCTAAAAAGTAGAATTATCATTGTGATTAGAATTAAAGGTTGGTTGTATTAAAGATTGGTTGTTGTTGCTTTTTCTTTCATTTTAAGAATGCTTCTAGGAACTTTAGGATAATCTATGAAATTCATTATTGTTTTTCATATTCATATCCTTACTAATTTCTTAAAATTATTAACTAAACCAAAGATATAGAATAATAAATAAATATAAACAATTATAAAAAAATAGATATTCAATAATACATAACATTAATAAGAAATTAAGTACAGAATCATATAAAAGTATGTAATAAAGATACTGTCTACATATGCCAACTTTAAATTTTCCCTTCTTTTTAATTTGGATAGTTATCAATTACCTGATAGCCCTGACAGCCATTGTGAGAGTAGGGTATGAAGTGTTTTTGTCTCTATTCTCAATAAGTGTAACAAGTGTGGTGGTAACTCCATGATTGTGTAGCCCTTCCGCATTGGTCGTTTTTTGTGACAGGTTACCAATAACACGGCAAGCTCTTCCAACAATGCTGTCTCGACAAACAGTTTTAAGAATTGACACCAGTGGACCAAAACTGTTCAATTTTCCTACCTGTAACAATTTTATTATCATTTTGTACTTTCTATAGTAATTAATATTTAATAAAAATACCTAATATTTCTTTTACAGCAGAAGCTAACTTATGAAAGTGGAGTGTACTGATCTCTAATCAGTACCTTGTTCCATCCACTTTCTAACTGGTGTCTGACTATTAAAACTTTTTAGTATAGAGCAAGATGGACATTAATAACTTCCTTAAATGAAAAGAAATAACTTAATTTTTAATAAATACCATAAATATGCACATTATTCCATTACCCAACGAAATTTGACAATATTAAGTTGTGTTCAACAAAACAACAGTTAAGAATGCTTCTGAACACTATATCTGGTACACAAGTTATGATGGTATGACTTTTATAACAGATTAAACTTTATATTCTGTGATTTTGTATTAATTAATGATTAGCATTTGTTAATGATAATGATATAAAGTTATACGTGTTAGTTATAAATAAATGAATAAACTATTATTGTTTTTAACGTACAATTAAACTGCTCTCTTCCTCTAAACAGCAATTCCCAAGTATACTTAGTGTAATGTCGAGAATTTTTTCGTTAGGCTTACGCAAATGTGGTAGTAAATAATCCAAGCCATTACATTGCCTGAATAGTTTTATTCCAGCGTCATTTAAAGTTATTTTGCTTCTAATTTTTAAAAGAGCTTCTTGAACACGACTGGATGACGAAGATTTAAGGCCTTCGACAACTGATTTTACGTAATTTTTATCCATTTTTTTTATAAACGAAGAAATACATTTATGTAAGAATTTAACAACACAAAATATTTATTTAAGGAATGTAAATCTGTAAAAAATATTTATTTATATTTATTTCAAAGCGATTGATGACATATATTATTTTTTTATTTAATTTTTACGGCTCTGGATAAAAGTCCTTTTTAGCCCAATATAAAATACAAAAACTTAAAAATAAAAAACAATTACAATTTCTTCACAGTGTTGGAAATAAATTTATATAAAGTCTTGAAAAGTGCAGGCCTTGATAAGATCTCTTCTAGAGACTTCGGTATTTCATTACTATGCTCTTGAATCTCGTGAATAAGTAATAATCTGTCTAGTTCGTATTTTCTACATTTGAATATATTATGATTCAAATCTTCATCTTCATTGCAGTGAGAACATTTTGGGTTGTGAACCATATTCAGTCTATACAGGTGAGTGCGAGTTTGATTATGACCAAATCTCATACGGTTAATAGTCGTGATAAATTGTCTGCTGTCGACGTCTTTATTGTTGTGGTACCAAGGTTTGGCGGGCAGGCTTCCTTGGATCTTGGCATACCATTTTCCCTTATCGTTAGCAGTATTTATGTAATAGTCGGATGATAACTTGGCACATAGTGCAAAAGAGAAGGCCGATTTGTTGTGCGCTCTTTTTGCCTCAAATTCGACTTTAGACGCTGGGGACACCATACCTACTACCATCCCATGGTGTGGTAACTATGCCGGAAATATCCGTAACACAACGGAGTGCCGGCGAGAGTTGCTGTCTCTCGACGTCAACAAATCGAACGGGTCAGACGGCATACCGGCTTTGGTGCTAAAGAAGTGTGCTCTTGAGTTGTGTCCCGTACTCACGCGCCTCTTCGCGCTTTCATACTCCTCTGGGCAGTTTCCGTCGTCATGGAAGACCGCCCTTGTGCACCCTGTGCCAAAAAAGGGCGACAGGTCAAACCCATCGAACTACAGGCCTATCGCTATCGCATCTTTGCTCTCCAAGGTGATGGAGCGTGTAATTAATACACAGCTCCTCAGATACCTAGAAGATCACGATTTATTGAGCGATCGTCAATATGGCTTTCGCCATAATCGCTCAACTGGTGATCTTTTAGTGTATCTTACACACCGCTGGGCTCTTGCCATCGAGAGCAAATGTGAGGCGTTGGCTGGGCTGACTGCCTCGATATGGCGAAGGCATTCGATCGGGTTTGGCATCAAGGTCTTCTATCGAAATTGCCCTCATACGGAATACCAGAGGGATTGTGTAAATGGGTCTGGCAGATGCATCAAAACCGTGGTCGATGGTAGTTGCTCCGATAGCATGGACATTAACGCTGGCGTCCCGCACGGCTCTGTTCTCTCCCCGACACTGTTTTTGCTGCATATGAATGATTTGTTAACTACGGTTGACATTCATTGCTATGCGGATGACAGTACTGGGGACGCGTTTTACACGGGCCGTGCGAACATTCCTCTTTCCGTTGTGGAGTCAAACCGCGAACAGCTTGTGTCTGAAATCGAGAGTACTCTCACCAGAGTCTCCGATTGGGGGCGATTGAACTTAGTTCAATTTAACTCTACCAAGACACAAGCCTGCGCGTTCACCGCTAAGAAAACCCCTTTTGCTGTGGCTCCGCAATTCCAGAACACGTCCATTACTATCTCTAAGAGCATTGAGATTCTCGGTGTCGACATCTCTAGCACAATTGAGTTCCGTAGTCACCTCGAAGAAAAAGTTAAGCTGGCGTCCAAAAAGCTCGGTGTGCTGAATAGAGCGAGGCGGTACTGCGAACCAAAGACTTCTATTGTTAAGTCGCAAGTTCGGCTGCACATGGAGTACTGCTCTCATCTTTGGGCAGGAGCACCTGGATACCAGCTCGGTCCTTTTGACTCGGTTCAGAGACGTGCTATGAGAATTGTCGATGATCCCAATCTCTCAAACGGTATCGAACCACTTAGCTTGAGACGAGACTTCGCATCGCTTTGTATGTTTTACCAAATATACAACGGACTGTCTTCTGATGAATTGTTTGACATGATGCCTTTGGCTACCTTTTACCATCGCACCGCTCGCCATCGACAGGGAATTCATCCCCACACGCTGGAACCAAAGTGGTCTCGGACAGTGCGATTTCAGAGGAGCTTCCTCCCGCATACACTTAGATTGTGGAATGAACTACCTGCCGAGGTTTTCTCGAGAGACTACAGCATGGGGTTTTTCAAGAAGGATATTTTCAGGTTTCTTAAGGGTCGGCAACGCGTATGTGACACCCCTGGTGTTTCAGGCGTCCATAGGCTACGGTAACCGTTTACCATCAGATGGGGCGAATGCTTGTTTGCCACCTAAGTGGTATAAAAAAAAACAAAGGCCTCCCCCAGTTAGCTTAATTACAATCACATAGTTATTCTATTTTACCTATGGAACTACTATAAAGGGACAACCCCACGATCATAGTGTAACTCTAATAGTTTTGGCAGTACACGCCAAGATAAGTTACAAATAGTAAAATATTTATGTACTTACTTGATATTTATGGACAATAATAATGTACTTTAAAATTATAGCTTCTAATGTTAATAGGACTGTGATTACTTTGAAAAATTGCATTACATTACATTTCCGTGAGTGAATCTTGTGGATGATGTAAACGAAGACACATTAATAACATTTATTTTTCGCCAAAATTATGAACATAATTTGTGAGATGGGCAAATTGAGGCAACAGATACACTAGACTTTTGTATTTCTTCGAGTAGTACCTTTCGTACGAGTCTGAACATTTTAAGATTGGCAACTCTAGTCTCAACTCATCTGTAGTATTGCAGTGGCAGTGAAAAAAATAAAAATCAAGAATTCGCAATGACACAATTTGTTTCCTATACGTTTTGATACTATTGTAAACTGATAAATCTGTTAATTATTCAAATTAATTATAACATAAATTGGTCATGAAATCGTTTTGTGAGAGATGAGTGTCTTCGGAGATTTTCAGCGTGTTTGGGTCCAACGTTTTCCTGAGAGTACACTGCCAGCCGCTTGGGAGGAAGATGTCAGGGCCAATTTGGCTAAACACAAACAGAAAGTGGCCATTCTTAGAGAAGAATTAGAAAAGGAAGAATTCTATGTTTCTTATTTAGAGACATTGTTGTCAGATGTGGAGAAACATAAAGCAGCTTCTCATGGCAATAGGGCGGCGCCGTCGGGAACTGACGTGAGTGAGCCAGACGACAAGAGTCTAGATAACAAACAGGTACCCCAACACTCATCAAGATTGTATTATAGTAACATGATAAAAAAGTGATATTTTTCCTAATCGATTTATATTCAAAAATTTTTAATATAAATGTTTAAAATAATAATCTTATAATATTTATAATTTTTTAGTTTTGTAATTTCTTAAGTAATGAAATGTTTTCTTATGATGAAATTTTTTAATATAATTGATTCATTATGGCTATTGCTCATTATGATTGAGTCTTCTAATTAATATTTATTGATAACTGTTGGATATGCTACAATAATGCTTTGTGGAGCATGTAAAAGCACTGTTATTGTGTGTACTGTATAGGTTTTTGTAATACACATACTCACTTCTAATATTTCTCTACTATTGAATATGTTTTTTGTGTCTCTTATTTATCATATACTGTTTTTCAATTTGATGAGGATTACTATTATTAGTATGAGAATATTATAATTTTTACCATTATTGGGATAACATTTTTATATATAATTTGTACCAAGTTGTATTTTTAGTATGTGTACAATAACAACAATGGAAACTACTAGAATAAATGTCAACTAAAAAATAATATAATAATAATAATCTTAGGACAATTCACACAGCGCCATCTAGACCCAAGTTAAGCTAGCTAAAGCTTGTGTTATGGGTACTAGATAACTGATACAAGTACATAGATATATTTTTTTTTTTGTAAATACATACATATTATATATAGAAAACACCCAGACCGATACAAACAATCATACTCATGAATACAAATGTTTGTGCCGTGCGAGGAATCGAACCCGCGACCATCGGTCGTAAAGCGGTGTACTAGACCGCTGGACCACCGAGGTATCTATATAATACATATATATAATATCTATATATCTGGGTATCTGAAGAACCTTTGTCACAGTTCATCAGGTCCCCACTATATTTTATGTTCTAAGGTCGATTATATATACAAAATTAAAAAAAGGGGTATATATAAAAGACAAAGAGAACATTATGTTGTGAAAATAATACATTCATGAAGTATGTTAAATAGGAACCTATATGTCTGAGTTATTATATCTGTATGAACCTGTATGTCCCTATGATAATATGACCTTTAGGATTGGTTTAGGGTTTATGAAGTTGAACAAATTTCCTTTTCCTTTGATGAAAGAAGTATTACTAAAAGAGAAAGGAATAAATCAGTTGTATGTTTAGAAGTCTGATATACATATACAGTACAGTATGAAGAGCCAAAACATGATGTGGTGAAAAACTAGTGTGTGAAAGTGAATCATACATATGTATATTATATATAAAGTAATAACCTTACTGTTACAATAAGCAAAGAGTAGGGAAGTGAATCTAGCTGAAGAGAGGGTTATTCCCATAAATGGGCATTAGCCACAATTTCATAAAACTATTATGAAATAGATTTATAATTGTTGTTATTAAACAGTAATTAAATTAACTTTATTACTGTTACTAGTACCTGAGTCAGAGTAATATTTCTTTGATTTTTATTAATCATAAGCAATTCTTTTACATTGGGTATTGATTATAATAATTTTAAAGACACACATACAATTACCACAATGACATAATCAACATGTCATAAGTATACATAATATATGGAAACAGGAAATTTAGTGTGTGTATATACTGTATATTATCGCCACCCAACTCTATTTGCGTATCAAACCCATTAATGCAATGACATAATTTAATAGATTTTTGGATACTACAATAATTTTGTATACTAGGTACTTGAAGTATAAAGAGTTGATTTTGTTTCTTTGTAATTCTTGTTTGCACAAAAATTTAGATATAAAATGAAGATGTAGTAGGTTATATTAGTGAGAATCCTGAACATATTCTATATTAATAATTTAATACCACATACAATTTTTGTTCTCTTGTATTGTATGTTGGACTTCTACATTTATTATTATGATTGCTATAATTAAATTAAGCTGTTTAAAATCTCAAATATTGCTCTTTTAAAACTAGTATCCTAGCATAATGTTTAAATTTATTTAATTGAAAGGTAGATACAATATTTATTTGTTATAGCCAAACAGACATTATATAATATAAACACATATTAATTAATAGGATACATTCATCCTACATAAACAGTAGGTACTTAAAATGTAAAGTATATTCAACCTATTAAATACTACTATGATTACTCATACTGATATTCCTAATAAATTTGATGTTGTCAACGCTATTGTGCTTCTTACTAGTGCTTCATTACAATGGAGTATATAATTCAATGTTACTGTAAAAGGGCTCTATCATCATAATCCTAGATAATGACATCACTTGAATATCTTTATTAAACTGTATGAGCCAATATACTCTGTATGAACAAAATGCTACAATATGTACCTCTAGATATAATGATTTGATCTAGTTTAATTATTGAAGTCTTTTAAATTACTAATTATTTGTTTGCATTATTATTAATAATTATGAAATAAAAATAAAAGGAATAGGGTTTTTGTGACATGGCTCTTTTAATAAAACACTAACAGAATGACAACTCATCATTATAAATTTAATTTTATTTGGTTGTAGGAATCAAACACAAATTCATTATCTAAGAAAAGTGAGACCAGTTTAGCAAGCAGTATCGATTCAACAACAGAAACAGTTGAAAGTGATGAAATTGTACTGAGAAATAAGCCACTTGGTGAGAGGAACTCCGTAAATCAGTGCATCAATGAGCTCTCATCTAATTTGGTAGCTGAGGCTGCACGCAGAAGATGCCATAGTGAAATTGTACAAAATACTGACAGTGAACATTCTAGTGGTAACTAGCTTTTTATGTTTTTGTTATTTATTTATCTATTTACTTTATAATTAGATTTCTGAGTTATAAAGGAATATGGAAGCTTTATGTTGCATGTTTGTTAATTCAACTGTAACAGTTTTAAAGTTCTTTAGTTATACTTGATAAATATCATCAATAAATGCTGCCCAATGCTGTCAATTATAATGGAAATGTGTAATGGAAGGTAAAGTTTAATAAAAATAAAAAAGCATTTTTGCAATATGCAAATAGTTCTGAAGTGGAGACTGAAATTATCACATGGAATATCTTTATACCTATGTTCATTCTAAAAATCCTTTATTTACTGCAATTTCGATTTTTTAATAATAATAGGTAAATTATTTTCTATTGCATTCCATAATAGGTAAATTATTTTGCCATTCTTTTTAACTATGTAGTTTCTAAAGAGTACACTAAGCAATTTAGCTTATATAGACATATTTTCATTAAACCGAAGAAATACTAATCCTATTACCAGCTATGTCTATATGTTAAAGGATTAATAGATTTTTGTGTCTTTTATACTATAATGCAGAATAGGTATTAGCTTTTCCATCATCAATATTTATTATAATGAAACCAACAAATCATTATTCTGTACATTTATATTAACATCCCATATGTCCATTGTTCTATAGTAGTAGTAATCGCCTATAACGTGTTAAGGGATTTCTAAATGAATAATCATAATAAAATAATTATATAAGGTTGTGTTAAAAAAATAAAAAAATAGCTATTGAAACTCTTGTCACATCATTGGTATATCGGCTCTTTAATCTGCAATATCTTTCCTGTCACAGCAGTAGAACAAACAAGTCCAATCAAAGCTAAAAACCGTCCAACGTCACAAACTGCTGACTTTGTAACAGTCATCGAAGTAAATGGTCTGAAGCTAGCTGAAAATGCATCCAAGAAATCAGATGAGTCCCCTCAGTCGTCCGAAAGTAGTCCAGTGGACCCAACAGCGGCAGCTAAGAAGAAAGTACCGCCTAAGTGAGTGTCTGGCATAGTTTATTTTTTGCCTTTATACCTTAACATAGTGTGTCAGGCATAAATATAGTATTTTATTTGTCAGCGTTTCACTTTAGTTGCAGTTTTAGGTTAGATTGTTAGTCTATATCTGTTGGTATTTGTTCAACTACCGATACTGCAACTAACGTTGCTTCAATACTTAGTTTAGAACATTGGTTCCTGTTTTGTAACATTGCTATACCTGCGTCAAAGTTTTTAACACCTATACCCGCGCACGGTGTATCATACCGTAAATATTTTATTTTATAGCAATTACAAGATTATATTTTTTTACTGCTATCATTGCTTTACTGTCTTTCCTCAACAGTCTAAAATACCCTTTTTTTTCCTATAAATTAGGAAAAACGAATATTATATATATAGTTTTTCAAACAAATCGTAGCATAATATATAAATAATAAGCTCATTACTTTTTAGACCTCCACCAAAAGTATTCAATAAGCGTGGGTCGTCATTACCGGAGTCCGGATTATCAGAAGACAGTCCACCATCCTCTCTGGGACGACGTATGCGCAAGACGGAGTCAAGAGAGTCTATTGCCAGTAGAGCGTCGACTCCATCCATTAGTGAAAAGGTATGCAATTGTAATAATAATAAATGTTCAGTAATTTAATTTAATTTATTCTTACATGAAATCCTGTGTTTCAAGAATCCTCCAATTAAAACCTATTCGGTCTTATTACAAAAAATCTGTTAAAACTCGGACGAAACGTGGTCTAAATGGTCGTGGTTTAAACCATTCCTAAAGTTAATACTTGGAATAACCCTAACATTATTACGAATCCAGATCTAACAGAGGACTACTTAGTACTACAGTTAAATCGTTCATTATGTATTCCATACAGAAATCAGTCACTCATGTCTGTCACCGTACAATTACGTTCCATTTTACCAGAAAACTGAAAAGATCAAAAATAATATTAGTTCAAAGAAAAATGTATAAACTAAAAATAAATTTATTTCTATTTATCTATGTCTTCATTATAACTATTTCATTAATATATAATATTTATTAATGTACTATTAGGCTGAAAATCAGTTTTAAATTATTAGTAGGAGTCCTATACGGAGAAAAGGAACGGCGAGATATTTTTATTGGATCGTTCGAATGATGACTATTTCAAAGTCAATTGAGTGAAAAAATAACAATTAACGTCTTTTATATGTTTTTATTGTCGTAAAATTTGTATTAAATATTTTTAGTTAATATATTTTTAATTTAGTTAAAATATTTTTCCAAAAACTACAACTAACAATAGAATTTTTAAAATGGAGTTTGTATTTTTGCTTTTAGACCACTGTTAAACTAGGGGCATCGCAGGTCTAACTTTAGACCATAGACGAATCACGATTTAGAGATAAACTTCATTTTGTAATAAGGAATACATTGGTGAATGGTTTATTACTAGTGCTAAACCAGATTTATCTTTTTGTAATAAGGCCGATTGTGTATTTAACTAGCCGTCACCCCCGTCTTCATCTTATTCGTCATCGTTGATTTTCGAAATGATTTATTATAATCCTCGTAGGATGATCTATATTCACGTAAAATTTAATAAAAATCCATTAAGCCGACAAAGATAAATAGTGACTCATGTACATTTTGTCAAATATTGCCTGTTTGCCAAACGTGTTGATTGGTTGTTTGAGCTTAAGCTGCTAAGGCGCTGATAAAAAAATAAACTCGTTTCACATAGTATCTCCGCTTCGTCTACTTTTTTTGACATAATTGATATACCTGTGACCGACCTCCTGCTAATATTATTAAGATTACTATTATTTATAGAATCCGTCCTGTTATTTAGTCGTGATAAGGTAGCAAAACCCTACTATTGAATTTTTTATTTTTAATAGGACTTAAGAATTACCAATTGATTAAAGATATAAAACCATAGACAGATGTAATGGACTTGACTTTTTTTTAAATTTTTTGAAGACAATCGCCAATATGAGTACTAGAATTATTTTTCCCATAAAAAAACGTTTTTCTCTATATTTTAAGGTTAAAAGCTACGAGTCGCTAAACTCGCTGTCTTCAGAACGTAAAAGGTCAGGAGGTGCAGCGACCCCTAGATCAATTGATGAAGAGGTATCGTCCACAACGCCGGACCTGCTCGAGGGTGATGACAAGTCAGCGCCTATATCATTGGAGAGCATACCTGCAGCTATGCCCGTTGCCGAGGATGAACCATATTACGATCAAGTACCCGCCGATATCAATGATGGAGAATATGTATATATTCAAGCAGGTAGGTTGAATATGGAAGACTATATGTATAAATTTAAGTACATTGCCTTTTCCTTTTTTTTTGTTTAGCACCATATATTTATCATCATCTACAGGAATCATAACTAACAAGTAAGACGGTACAAAAGGCTGTACAGTTATGCGATCTCTTACAGAAAACCTTTGGGTAGAGGAGTGAGAACAGCTTAACACAAAATGATATTTTTAATATGATATTACGATTTACGCCGACCCCAAATGATATGGGATAAGGAAAAATAAAAGATTATGATACATAGATAATACACTTATGTATCGACTCTAGTTTATTTGTGAATTTATTGTTACTGGTGGTCGCTTATATGTCGAAATTCTACCATAATTAATTTAAATTGTTTGACTTTCAGTAGAACTATAGACAAATATATAAAAGACAAACAATCTTTTCTTAATGTAACCACCGACTTGAACAATAAACAAAACAGTATAGTATATGCGTATGTGTGTAAAATACATGGCAGAGTGTGTATTATTTTTTTATATTGATTTAATGTATTTTTTACGCATAATTAAGAAATATGATTTTGCACTCTTCTAAATAAACTATAAGTCTGCAAATTGCGATGACGGAAGTATACGAAATATCTTATACTTCCGTCATCGCAATTTTCGTAATAAGGATTAATAAGTTTTTGTTTCATGTATATAATAATCTAATAAATAATCTGATTTTCGCATAGGTGGCACAGGTTCGAGCACAGAGGATGGGTCCAGTGGCACGAGCACTCTGGCCCTGAGTGCAGCCAGTGCTCCGCCCGCGCCCTCCGCGCCGCGCTCGGACTCCCCGCCCGGGGCCGCGGCACCCAACTACGTCAACATACATTACTTTATACAGTAAGTCAGTTTTTTTTATACAATACTAGCTGTCCGGCAACCGTTGTTTTGCCATATAAATTAATAACGCTACAAAAAATAGGAGTTGGTGGTAGAAGGGAGAAAATGTAGGGTTGTACCTATGTATTTTTTAATGCCACATAATAAAAAAAATAAAATTTTGTCGAAAAAATGAAAAAACATTTTTGAGGCGAGGCACCCTTAACACTTAGGGGTATAAGAATAGTTATAAACTTATTCTCAAACCTACTGATTATACATTTAAAACATCATCAAAATCGGTTAAGCCGTTTTTGAAAGAGTATAGACAGGAAACTTTTGACATGAGATTTTTTATATATAAAAAAGCTGGTCGCCCGACTGATGGTATATGGTAACTGTAATAAAATGCAATTATGGACATCACATTGATATGTTAAGCTCGTAACACCCTTCATGCATTGCCATTCCAGAGTGTTAAGATGTTACACCTCTTATCCTGTAATTTATCAGTTGTCTCTACAGATCCGTTATATACAAGATGCTAACAAATTATCTATATTTCGTGCTACAGAGCGTAGTATTAGTTAGTTTATAATAATAAACTAATTTCAAGTTTCGGTACCACCACATTACTTCCAAAATTAATCTTTTTTTTTTCTTAATTTAGGTAGTAGTAAATCAGTCCTTTACAGTACGTACCAAAGCATATTATGATTGGACCAGAAACATCTACATATTTCAACAAATGGTTAAATGGATTTTTTTTTAAAATATGATGATTTATATTATAATGTAATGTATACTACTAATATTATGCCTTGTGGCCAAGAATGCAGTAAATTTTTCAGCACGTTATATACCTGATATATGTCTACGACGGACGGGCTAAGAAAAACTGAAAACTAAAATCATCTTTGTTTACCTTGATTTTAAAAATGAAGAGAAATTTAAATAATCAAGATAGATTTAAATAGTCGTTCAGTTTATATTTAGAGTTCATTTAATTTTTTTTGCCGGTACGGTTGTGTCTATAGATATTTATTGTAAAATGTATGTAATTCATAGACAAGGCGAAGATGGTGACTTGAGCGAGCGAGAGGGTACCGAATTAGGAGATTCAAGCAACATACCTCTACTTTTAAGAACAACATCGTCTGAAACTGATACCACCGCCACTCCACCTGTACTTAGAAAACTTCACCATCAGGTATGTTTTATTTTTTTTACTATTTTCTTTCTTCAAATAAAATATATAGCATTCTGAATTGATAAAATGTAAATAAATGTTAAAATTAAATATAAGTATAATCCAGATAAATACAAAATACATGTTACATATGTATAATAAAGAAAATACATATTTAATTGTTTTGTTGGTATCTCGGTTCGCTCTTGAAAGGCAAATGGTGTTAGACCGCGAATTGGTAAATGTAGCTAAGTAGGGCGATGACCTAATTGATCGAGAAGGGCTGGAAATCAATCAATGCTTTGAACCTTGCCTTGGTTTTTCACATTCATAATTATATTTCATCCAATTTATACAATATTTTACATTATATAATTTCAGTACTTTCTGCGTGAAATGGCAACAAACATTTAACTATTGCATTTATAGTAGTAGTTCAATGTAATTTAGTTAAATTATTTACTAACTATTAGGTACGTATATGGCGTGTTCATTTAAACAAACTATGCTACTAGAATTCTACTTTCTTATCATCAACATAAGTTAAGTAAACATGTTGTAATTTTAAAACATACATTTTGGTCCATCTTATTCGCTGGTAGAAAAATTAAGTTAAATAAATGATTTCCGATTATTTATTTAGTATTTTATTTATAATTTCTAATTCATAATTTTCTTGGTTCTTTTGATTAACACTTAGGATTTTATTTCTGTTTGGCATCACTTTTATGGAATTTGATATTTTAATAGTACAAATCTCTTGCTTCGTTAATAAATAGTATTTGCAGTGGCGTAATTTGCAATTGTCAGTTTCACATACAGTATAATAACAAATGCCTTTAACACAGAACGAGTCGATGTTAAGATGTTCTATTAGTTTGTTTGTCAACGTGGTTGCATAGTCTTCCATCATTGATTGAATATAGTTTGATATAAAAATGTTTGTCTCATGCAATACAGATGACTCAGGTTCTGGTTCAGTAGTGCTCACACCTGAAAATAATATGTATTTTTTATCAAAAATATTTGTAACTTTGCTGTTCTTTTGTTAGTGAATGCTTTGTTATATACCACATATTATATATATAACAGGATATTTAGTGTGGTGCCTAATACTTTAAACACTCGTAAAAACAGATTTCATCTATACTATATTAGTCTGAATATCAAATACTTTACCTTGTCGTTATAAGATTTAATTTTAGCAGCTTTGGTGGAGTTTTGTTTATCGCTATCGATCACAGTAGATGATATTGCGGCTTCGAGTGCTAAAGGACGTTCATCTAGTATTTGACTGATAGTGGGAATTGATGTTGTAGTAGACGTTCCCAACGACGACGGATTAGTTGCTTCTGAGGTTTCAGTGTGAGTTGTCACTGTAGAAGCAGCTTCGATAGGTTTTGAGGAAGTCGTATCTGGTAGTTTTGTGATATATTCCCGACATTCACCGTTTAAGTCAGTATCGTATATATTACAAATAGTATATTTACACCCAATACTAAAACATCTCTTAGTTGTACACAGTTGGTCGTTGCACCACACCGTTACATTGTGGGTGCTAATCTCCACACTGTTAGGAGGTATCAATGTAGGTGAACCAATGAGCATATCATTAATGGGGGGTTTCACTTCTTCGGAACTCCACCACGAGAAAGGGTATGTTATCCAGCCCCATATAGTAGAACTAATTCCCCGGCCCCGTGTTACGTCATCTGTAAGCGATGTTAGTGATGATTGTGCGTTTTGTTATTTAAAACTTAATCTAATATGCATTTACACATATATGTGTAATGTGTATACTTACGATCAGTAGGTTTACAGAGGATGCCACAAACACAACACAATAGTAAAAATGATAGGATACGTTTAGGATGTAACATGGCTACGCTAAGATCTTTACACAGAAACAAATGTTTGTATTCTCGCACCTTAGCTTTATATACAGACCTCTCTTAGTTACGGTCCTATCTGGGCCGAGATAAGGCTCACTCCGGAATGTTTACTTAATGAGCAATAAACGACCATACTGACAAAGCTTTTAATTTTACCGGCATCTAAGTTTTTTCTCGTATCCAAAAAGCAAACGAGATAAGTATGTGATATGTCTATTGCGTTGTAAACAGAAAAGTTAAAAATACTTATTATATCCTTAAAAATTAAACAATAATTTAATCCATATGTATATAATATATTTTTTTTAGTTTTAAAGTGACGCGTGTTGTTTACATTTTCTTCTTATGCCTGTATGTCACTAAATATTTCGTGGATATTTTTTCGCAACTCGTAGAATTTGTTTTCTCCTCGTTCGTATTTACCTCACACAATATGCAGAATTCTTTTATATTTGGACAAGTCAAGAATCTACAAATACCCATTGGTTTGTTACAGTTGGTCAATATTTTCAATTTTGCAGGTGGCCGTAACGTTGCAAATATGCTATGAACAAAATCTTTTATCTCGTTTATAACAAAACTTGATTCCCACTGTGAATTATCTTCGTTACGAAAGAATTCTTTTAAATCTGTTTTCCTGCCTACAGCTTCTAATACTTTTTGCAAACTAACGATTCGTTCATGCTTTACATTTCTGAGTGAATACTGGCCTTCAGAATTGAAATCAACCACTTTCGGTATTGCCTTTTGTATAATAGTCCACGGAGATAAATATGTTTCTTCACTTTCCTAAAAAAATATACTCATCATAAAATAATTATGATTAACTATACCAATTTACGGATAAAGATACCATACCAGCTTAATGCAGCAGCTTTATCATACAACGACTTCTGTTAACTCATTACTCATAAGAAATATATTTCAAATTTCTATTTACTTTTAACTGTGTAACAACTTTTTTGTTCCTTATGACACACACATAATTACCAATTAATATGATATTTACTGCTTTCAACATAATTGAAATTAGAACCGTACTTTAAAGAGTTGTTTAGAAAAAGGGTAGGGTTCTCTGTATGTAATGTTAATCAAACGAACATGATATTCGACAAATTAGCTTGTTACACGAGTGAGAGTAACATTAATTTGTTAAATCTCATATATATCGGCGTAAGAAATTATTTTTGAAAGATCTATTATGTGGTAAGGAATGTAAAAATACACGTAAAACATTATTATTCATTAATTATTTATTCTACACCAATGATTTCCCTTGTTGTAATTTAGGCTTAAGGACGGAATGTGCCTTGAAATTAGAAAAAGTTCAAGTTTTATATTTTTATTACCCAGTTGAATAATATTTAATTTTTAGTTGAAACAATACTTACGGCAGACGCTGATGTCGGAAGGAGAATAAAAGTGTATATTACTATGTTTGATAATATATAAACTAATACTTCGTCATAAATTTTCAGTGAAGGGTTCATCTTGAGAGAACATGTGTAATTACTGTAATCGCTAATTATTGCCAGAACTCGCTAAGGACTTTGTTTATAAACACTTTGTTTCTTTTTAACTTCATTTATTTTCAAAACACTATTATTCACTGTATTAATTTTCTAACTAAGGCTTTTGTTACATAAGTTTCACATTTTTTACGTTTGGACAATGGCCAATTTTATTCAATTCTTTTAACATGCACTTACATTTCATGAAAAATTTTTTAGCCGTAGTAAAAGAAATGCATTTGGTACTTATGCAGAGTGTTATTTTACCAAATAATTTTCCTAACAATTTGTCTTGCAAGATGTCAACGATTTCGAAAGCAATATTAGACGGCAAGTCCATAATAGATTCCATGGAGGCTACACTATCTGAAATTATATTAGTAATAGATTAATTGATGAATAGTATTAAACAATACCTTAAATAAAATCTTTACTATCGATATAACAATATGTTGTTATAGATAATGGTATATTTGAATGAAAACAAATGATAATGCTCGAGCTTAAGACCTTGCGAAGTGAGTCGGTGTCACTCACCACCGGAATCTATCATTTCTTTTCTAACGAAGCAAATCATGAAAGTTTTGAAAATTCAATCTACACTCATAAAATTTAATACCATTCTTCCACACTGATCGATAATGAGGCACCTATATCTGCATCACATTTGTTGTATATATAGAATAATTCCTTATAGCTTTATGTGAATCTTAGATTTTTTATTTTATGATTGGGCTATACTGTTTCAGCTGTCATATCTTTCGAAATATATTAGTACGTTTTGTGGTACTGCAGGTATAAGGCACCTATAATAGTAGCAGTGAGAATCAAATTTTATCTTCGTATAGCAATTAAACTTTATTAGATGTTATATTGATGATTGATTCATCATTGCCGGCATATATGTGCATCAGTTTCGAAGTGTTTGTTTTATAGCATTGTAATGAAAATAAACTATAATTACATGTAGCAAATCTCACCTGTTACAGTTCCAGCACAATGTCCTCTTTGTTTGAATCTCTCTTCCGGGTGACAAGTTCTATGCTCACACATTTTTTCAGCGCATTTTATTGAATGACATGTAGTGGTTGAACAAAATGTCAACATACCTCTTAGATATTTGCCAATAAATGATATAAAGGCCGGCACTATAGTATCAACGTCATCCCAATCTACTTGGCCGAATATGGCCTGCTCTAATGCTACAGTATGATTATTGCGGATTGTTTCTTTACTCATGTTTACTTTAGCCTTTTTGGATTCTCTTTCTAATATCATTGTGTTAATAGTCTTTAAACTTCCCAAAGAATTATTTTTTTGAACATTTGGCCAATACAATAAATCTGAATCAAGAGCCATATTTTTCTCCTGTTTTTTTGAATTAACTATGACTTGCAAGTGGCCATGGTCAAGTTCCGCAGTTGTATTATTTTTAATAGCAAATGAAGAATTCGTTATCTCTCGTTTCTTGCGTGATATATTTTTTTCTATTGTTAAATTAAGTTGATTTGATTTTAAATAGTCTGCTTCAATACTGTTCTCCATCTTATGATAATCGTCTGTGGTATTACTATTGGATAAATTTACTAAGAAATAAATGCTTTCTTCTAAATTGGTGTCATTTTTATGTCTGAATTCATTTGTGCTATTTCTTGCAGTGGTACCATTATTCATACTATTCTTAATTGTATCGTTCATAAGCTGAATGATAGTGGTGGTTGTATTTATCTTATACTTATTTAATTTATCAATATTATTAGTATAATTTTCTCTTATACCTAGTGACAGAAGTGATGTAATTTTATCGTCATTTAATGCTATAATTCTTTTTCTATGTTTTTTATTATTACTGCTTGGCCTTAATTTTTTCTTCTTATTTATAGTAAGTTGGTGAATTGGATCGACTTTATTAAGGCTAGACTTTTTATATCCAATGATATCTGATGGTATTGGAAGGTTAATATAGGAGAATGGTGAATTGATAACCGAACTATATTCGTTAGAATTGTCTTTTCCATGTTCTGCTATTTTGTCATTATTTAAATTCTTATATTTCCTTAAAGGGTCTCGTATTTTTGGCAATTTGACATCTACTTTTACTCGTATGTTAATAGCATTTTCAAAAATCTTGTTTATTGAGTTGTCTGGATCAAATTCTGAATAAGAAAATGGATTTTCTATATTCTCGTTATTAGAAAGTAGTACATTTTGTGTTAGGGAGATAGGGTCGAATGGTATTAGACATTGTTTACAACTGCATTTACAAGGTATCTGCCCAATTTTACAAAAGCAAGAAGTTATAATGGTGTCATCTTTAAGATCAGCAACATTGGGCGAAGTGTTCATACTTTTTTTATCGTTATATATAGTTTTATCAAATATTGTTACTTCTTTATTCAATAATTGATTTTGAAATGGACTGTGTTCTATTTTACTTAATGGTCTTGTTTTCGTATTGAGAGGTATTAATAAATCAAACGGACTATTCAAATTTTGTAGGTTCTTCGTATTGATAGGATTGAAAAGATCTTTATTATTATCATAGTATCGGTCCCCTCTAAGACCGTAAGGAAAATATTTATCGTGGCGGATAAGAGGCACTTTATTTTTAGTACCAATTTTATCCATATAATCTTTCCTTTGCTTGTGAGCTTTTTCTAAGTAATTCTGATATTCGGATAAGAGGTCTTCTACATTTTCTTCGCTATCACTTTCGCTATTTAGAAAAACATCGAAAGGCACATTCTAGAAACAATAATTTCTTTTATAGTATAATTAATGATACATATATACTATTTATGAACAGCAAAAGTTAGAGTACTTACATTATCAAATTCATTGATAACATCTGCCATGTCGCTAAATATAATGGTGTCATAATAGGGCGTCACGTCTACTCTATTTCCTTCAAAACCTAATAAGAGGTGATCAATTAATGAAATTAAATTAAAAACCATTTATAATAATTGTTTTATGTACTTACTTCTAGAACCATAGCATTGAATAAATTTCAGAATAAATGTGCTAAAGACTATTAATCTTTTCATATTGTGTGTTGATCTGGAGTCGCACGAAACGTAAAGTGACTAATACAACTCCTATACTTTAATAATGTTACCTAAATTGTTTACATTGTTATGGTACACAGTGTACCAAACAACAGAATCACAATCGAATTGTTTTACTCTTTGTGTACTTAACCATGACTTGTTCCTTATAGTTATGCAATCCACATAATAATAATTATCTTTTTTATACATAACCCTAATATGTCTGTAACTTAATATAATAGCACTAGTATATTAAATAAATATACTGTATTGCCATAGTAAAATTTTTAGCAAAAGAAAAGCATATTGTGGAATTGTTTTGAGTGATATTTTTTAAGTACATTAACTAATCTACTAATATTAATAATACATTTTGACATGGCAGTTAAGAACCTGAAACACAAATACGTAATAATTATAACTTATTATATTAACGTTTTAAAGTTAACGTTACTGTTGGCAACCGACCGCTGACAACCCTTTTGATATTTTTCATGTCTTTATTTGATACATTTCACTTATTCTTATTGTCTACTATTTCGCAGCATTGTGATATTATATTTTACCATCCGAATCTACGTCTTTCTCATTACGTGGTAATCAACGAGACACCTATACAGTCCACCGATCCGTTACAGTTCCTATAGGATCTGTGGACTGTGAGTGAACCACATATTGTGGTCACCTATCAAGCATACATCATACTCAATGTTGTTTGATGAGATTCATGTAATTTCGACGATGTTTAAATAATGTGGTACACTTTCAGGATACGAACAATGCTGAGGCTGAACGTCTAACGATGCATCGTTGTATCGTTAAGAGTATTATAGAAAGCGAAACAGTATATGTAGAATGTTTATACGTTATGGAAAAGGTACTTATGAACTTTTATTACTTTTTTTACAATGATATTCTATATCTAAATCGACAGACGTCTTTCAACTTTGCTACTATTGCTTATATGTCTCGTTTAGCTAATGGTGTGTGGACCAATATAATAATTTAAATACCTGTTAATTTAAAAAAAAAATTTTGATTTATATGATACTAATACATACATATTTTCAGTATATGAACGCTATAAAAGCGACGCTATCTACATCCCAGCCAGTCATAACTGAAGAAGAATTTAATACAATATTTTACAAAATATCAGAACTTCATGAATTGCACAAAAACTTTTTAGAAGGTCTCAAAGCAGCTGTAGCAAGTTGGGAAGAGCCATTGTCTGTTGGCATTCACTTCAAGAAAATGGTTAGTTTTTTATTTAACAAGGCATTGAACATTTGTCATAAATTTAGTTCTGTTGTTAAATATTTTTATGTTTCTTATATTATTAACTGGATTTTGTTTCAGTGATTTATTCTTAGTACTTCCTAGTTTTCCAAATGGAAAGTTTAATAATTGTAAAAAAAATATGCTAAAGAATATATTGAGTAATAATTTGTATATACTTCTTTTGTTGAGTCAATGGCGATCTAAACATACTTACGTACTATACGTAAATTTAGTGGTGGACCGATTTATACTGATTAGATATGTTATATGTGCAGGCGGAGAATATAAATGTATATGGCGCATTTCTCCACAATTACGGGCGCGCTACGGACGCAGTGCGGCGCCGATGCGGTAGTTCAAGCACCTTCGCTGAGCTCACGGGCGCCATCTCGTGCCGCGGGCAGCCGTGCTCGCTGGACGACCTGTTGCACAAGCCCGTCGCAAGAGTGCAAAAGAACGCACTCGTCTTACACGTCAGTACACACTATGATTATGTGCTTTTGTTTTGCAGGTTATAACAGTAGATTTAATGGATCCCCAAAATTTTAACGCATTGTGCTGTCTTCCATAACGTTCAGTTTACGGTAGATAATTTAGTTACATGAATGTTCCAATTTATGAAAAAAATAATTTGTTCACATATATATATAGTACTGTATGTAATGGTTCAACCATCACCATATAAATATTCAAGAAAGGAAGACAGGAAATTTGTGTAAATAATCATTCATACATAATTTAAGACCTACGATCTTGTCAGTAGAGCTCTTGCCATTTTCCACGATATTTCGTCATGCCCTTTAAATGTTGATACGATACGACTCTAATTTTGTCTTTAATTTGCTTGTCGTAGGTATACCTTGATCTTCCCCTCCCCCACTTTCTTTCTATTTTCCCGTCAACAATTATTTTAAAAAATTTATATCGTGCCGTATCAAGTGTACTCCTATTTTCCTCGTTTATTTTCTATTCAACATCTGCCTTTTTTGTTTCAACCTGTGTAGTACATTTTCATTTCTTACTTTGTCTTTCTAGTTAATTCTTTCCATCCTTCTCCAACATCACATTTCAAAAGCTTTCTGTTGGATTTGGCATCTTTACATTATAAATTAATTTGACTGTAAATACAAATAGAATAGTATTAAAATAAAAAAATAAAATGTACAGCACGCTCATTGAATGCTTCTAAAATACAACTGACAAATGATGAAGCTCTAACTCAATATGGTGCTGTGACAATTTTCCAGGGTTTATCTATACATCTATACATATAAATAAAATTGGAGTGTCTGTTTGTAATATTGAAATAGCCGTTTTTTACTACATGCATATGAATATAAATACGGTATATACCCCAAAAAACCACTTAAAATTTTTGTCTGTCTGTCTGTCGGTAGCTGATGTAATAAGGAGTAACTTAGGCTATTTTTATTTTAGAAAAATAAATTTGAATTCCACGCGGAAGAAGTCGCGGGTGCAGTTGAAATATAAAATCAGCCGATATGTAAACTAATAATCGTTGTCTTCGGCACGACTTTTATTAAATTTAATTGTTGACACCATTCAACAAGTTTATTGTAATTAATTTTAAAGATTCATATACCATATCTTTGTTTGTATAATGCTTAGATTATGTCAATATTAGCATACAGATAACATGTAATCTACTCATGTACTGAAATTTACTTATGGTATAAATGAAGTATTTTTGTAGATCATTAAAAACTTAATATTAATTCAGTTTGCTTAATCAAGACGTGTGGTAATTAAATCGGATTTTTCTTAGGTTATTGTGGCTTTTTTTATAAATATACTAATCGTGAAATATTAAATAATGTGTTGTTGGATTGCATCATTGTATGGTAATTATAATATATTATATACAAAATATGCCGTTTCCACACGAAACGATAACTGTTATAATGGCTACAACTGTTATCCCAGATGGGGTAGTCAGAGATTTTTGTTTGCCACATTTCGCTGGATATATTCAAATCCACGTGACGGGGGGCGAGCCTATCGCCGTCTCCTTTTTTTTGTATCGGACAGATTGAGATTGAGCTCAAGATCTTTGATACACCCCTCATAATAAAAGTATTCTCTCGATTAATGTTCAATAAAAATTAAAAGATTTGTGTTGTTGGAGGAATGAAAGTCAAGTTCATATTTCGTACTGGTTTTTTTAACACTTTTACTTGCTTGATAACAGTAACGGTAACACACCACTGTGAAATATTAATAGGTTTATTATAATTTTATTATATCGAGATACAATCATTGTCACTTTATTTTATGTTAATCCATGTCATTTATTGTTCTTGTCACTGGTTTTTATTACTATTAGTGATAGTGTAGTAGGGCTGGTTGGATGTGGCGGTCTTGTTGTAAGCGTCCTCGCGTATGAGCCTAGGCAATACCTGAAAATCAGTGATTTCCTGCTTGAGTAAACGAACATTGCTACTACATTGCAACACCATATTACTCATATGTTGTTTGTATCTATATTGACTTAACTTAATTAACTGACAAACGTAGTTGTATGTATTTACTTTGCACCTATTTCTTTACATTGGTATACCTTCTGCGTGTGTGTGTGTTTTTTTAACGCAAATAAATGTTTTATCTAACCTGCATGTAATTTAGGACAACCATTAGACCACAACACTCGACACTCAATTTGTATAATGGTAGTATTGTAGATAGTATAAAAGAAACTGTCTGTAATAAAATAAATTCGATCTATATAATATTTATACAGAATATGCCATTTATTCATTAAAAATTCGAATTTATATTGCGTTATATATCAGCTTGTTTTATGTTGAATACAAACTCAACGAAATACTCTTTGTCCAATCAAGTTTATAAGTGTTTCAAGATGTTTAGTCTTATATTTGTAGAAACAAGTATTATTCACATCCAATATATTTATTATTTTTAGGATCTCATTAAATATACGCCAGCGAGCCATCCAGATCATGCCATGTTAACAGATGCTCTCACGATGACGCAACATTTTCTAGACGAGTTCAATATTATACAAACCAAATCCATGTTCCCGGTAAGTTTAAAATTAAGGTGCTTTAAAATTATATTTATTATAATTTAATTTGAAATAGTAATGTTGGAAAAGAGATCGAATCATGTGATGGTGATTATTTTTCTACAGAACGCAGATAGAGCTCAAAGAAGACTCGTCAAGAATTCGTTTATTGTTGAATTGTCAGATGGGCACAGGAAATTAAGACATCTTTTTCTTTTCAACGATGCTATCGCCTGTGCAAAATACAAGGTAAATCGCTACATTGTAATTAAACCAAGTTTTATTTGTAGTTTGCATGAGAGTACGCAATATCTACTCTTTTAATTTCGACTGCCCCCTCTGAGTTATCGAGATCGTTTTGTCTCGATTATTACTTCTTAATTTTATTATAAGCAGCAATTGTAATAGTTTATTATTTTAGACAAGTAAAGATGATTATTACAGGTTGCAATTAATTTTCATGTAAGATTATTTATTGACGGCCTCGGTTGCGTGAATTAGCCTGAGATATATTATTATATATATATTTTTACGCTGGTCACAGACTTGGTTATTCCTGGGTCTATTCATTATTGCCTTGCAAATTTTGTAATACTAGAATAATAGCTTAGTTACTTTAGCATTTTATTGACTACGTCGTGTAAACATGTGAAAAAATAAATAATTTTTCGATAAAATCGCGGTGTTACAGGCATCCGGGCGCGACAAGTTTACTTTCGAACTGAAGTGGTACATACCGCTGCCAGACATCGTGGTGGTAGAGGAGGAGACGGCTGGCAGCGGTACGGGGGATACGCGGGAGACTTCGCCCGCTAACATCGTCGCACTCAAGTCGCAAGCCTCCACCGTCAGGGATCAGATACTCGCCGAGGAACGGGCCGCGCAGGATGACAAGGTTGCTATAACAATAATAATTACATTTTGTTAGTAATTATTACTTAACCTATGTTAGTAAAAAAAAGCAAATGTGGGACAACCACTTAACATATTACCTGTCACATCCAGTGACTCAGAATGCGACAGTCTATTTTACAGGCAATTGCCTTCAGGACACTATTAGACCTTCCCACACTATTCCTAATAAGGACGTTATTCGCTTCAGCCGTATAGCGTATCAATTTAAATAGCATTTAAATTGACTTAAAAAAGTTCTCATTTGAACAGTTTTTTTATATTCCTATTGGGATAAAAACTAGAATGATATTCTTAACTTGCTCATCTTTTGAAAAATAAAAAAATCTGTGTGCGATCCGACAACCAAAAAAATCATAATGAGATTCATGTAGTATTCATTTTTTTAAATAAAATACAGTATGTATATTCTCACTGTATCGGTTGAATTTATGGAATTTATTTGTATGTTGACTGCTGCAGAAAATACGTATCGGTGGTCGCGGAGGGGGCGAGAAGTTGCGCAAAAAGTTGTGTGAACTGGAGGAGCAGCTGGTGCTGGCGTCGCCCAACCTGGTGTTCCGCGTGGGCGCCCGCCCGCCCGCCGCCGCAGCACTGCAGCGACACCACGTCTTCTTCCTCAGCTCCGAGTTTGAGCGCACGCAGTGGATCGACTCCATACACGCCCTTCAGGTGACTGTAAAGTGCCGTGTAAGGGCAGCTATTCACTGTGAATTTATTTTACGGGTCAATAGCTTTTCGTTACACGCTAGCCTTTACACGTATCCTCTTTCACGCGCGAATAGACTTTCATGGAAGAAAGAATGCATGCTGCCGCACCCGTCGCATGCCAGCGCGTATTCCCGCGTTCTTCAAGTGTGCGTGATTTTAGCGCATTTTTGTAATAATTAATTCTCTTTATAATTCTTTTAACTGATATCTGACTATAGAGCAAGAACATAATTATAGGATAATTAATAATTTATAAGTGTTTGTAAAGTAAAATCTGTGGAATAAATAATAAAATTTTAGTAAACAGTAAAATGACCTGAATCATACACGCAAAGCCTGTAAGAGTGTTAAAAAAAGTTAAATGCAATATAGACAATGCCTCACGATTGCGCGCTCTGGCATTCCCGCCTTAAATTGGCCGCGCTCCTGATCGCACCTTTTGTTGATATGATGAGGCTATCGTATTTCTTTAGTGCATCTTGTTTGTTTTTTGCTAGCATGAACAGACGATAATTATGCTTTAATTTTTATCTTTATTCAGTAAACTTTTAATAGAAGAGATATGTAATTCATAATCTAAATCACCCAACGATTTTTAGGGCATAGTATAAAATTGCTATTAAACTGTCCTTTAGTACATTTTTTTCTAATTTGTAATTGCTTGTTTTTGTTATACATTTATGCATGGTCCTAAAATTAAGATTGTTATAGGAACCTACACACCAAATATAGTACTATGAATTTATATTTTAGAATAAATATTCTTTAAAATTTTAGGCGTCATCAGCTCCGCCGGCTGGAGCAAGTACAGTTTCAATGTTGGAGCTTCAAGCATGGGTGACCGCTTGCCGCAGCTTCTTGCAAACTGATATGGGATCGTATCTATTACGCAGTGGACGCGATGAATCCTTACTGCTTGGAGATCTACAGCTCCATATAGGTGGCATGACTGCACCTCTTGATGCCGTGGCTGGTATGAATTTAATAATAGTAAATATAAGTAATTGCACGTTACTTGTTCGCACGTAATATACTCGTATTATATTCATACATATTAGACTTTGCTTTATATTTGTTTTGAGAAAGGTTTGAGATGTTCGACCACATGTCATTTACTCTTTATACAGATAGAATATCCTTATATTTACACAAAACAATGTTCTTTGCTGTAATCGCCCCGTTTTTTATCTTCATAAAACATATATATTGTGTGTAGCAATATATATGTACATACATGTAACATCTATGATACATCCTTTTTATACCTTAATCTAAACTACTATAAATTTATATAAACACCCGAAGCCGAATTTATATAATACTAGCTACTCGCCCCGAGTAGCTAGTATTATATAAATGTACACTACACTACACTATATATATATAAATTTTCCTCGAATCACTCTTTCTATTAAAAAAAAAACCGCTTCAAAATCCATTACGTAGTTTTAAAGATTTAAACATACATAGGGACGGACAGCGACAGCGACTTTGTTTTATACTATGTAATGTAATGATTCTTAATTATGGGACTCTTACCCTGGTTGCTTATGCAATAAATTATAATATTGTCGGCAAAATTATTTTATATGAAGCATGTAGCATCTACCTCAATGGAATTATAGTACAATAATGTAAACCGTGCCTTCTTAGAGATTTATATAACTAGTGCAGTTTAAAAGAATATTTATCTTACAGATTATTACATAGTCGTGGAGGTTGATTCATATGGACATTATTTCCGCAAAGCGAAATCGAAACTAGTATGTCGCAGTTCACAACCGCGGTGGAATGAGAGCTTTACTTTGGATCTCGAGGGTTCGCAAAACTTGCGATTATTACTGTACGAAGACGCCGCTAGACCTGTACTTAGAGGGAAGTGTACTCTCAAGGTATGTATGTTTTAAAATTCCATTACAAAATCATCGCTCAGTCGACATATTTTATATACAGGTTGTCGGTTATGAATGGATAACCTTGAAACGTCTCATAGTTCAACTTATGGCCGTCCTAAAAAAAATACGAAACAAAGTATATCAGAAGAAGTACATTTGTTATTAATCCTTAATAAAAAAACAACAATCCTGATGTCGTAGTTTTTTTTTATTATGTTTGTTCCTCTTCTGTCGTATTTAATATTTCTCATTATATATGTATAGATATATAGACGTTCGTAGCTTTTTCTACTTCGGCCGCGATTTGATAGGACAAAAGTTACGTTGAATGCGTTTGAATGTGCGGCTGGTTGCGCAGCTGTCCCGCGAGTTCGTGTCGGAGGGGAGCGGCGGCGGCGGCGGCGGCGTGCCGCGCGCGGTGTCGGTGGGCGGGGGCTCGCTGCCGCTGCGGCTGCGGCTGCTGCCCAGCGAGCGGTCCGCGCGCCGCGTGCCCACCGCCAAGCCCGGGGCGCTCTTCGGCGCCAAGATCGTACACGTCGCCAAGTAACTACCCGTCTTTACCGCTCTCTCAATTACACGCACTCCGTCCATCGACACAGGCCGACGCTACTCTTGACCTGACTTTACCCACACTATTACCTGTCACTGAAAAATCACGAAACGATGACCATGTAGATGCAGACGAAGCGTCGCCGAGTTCGTATCCGCCCTCCCCGTTGTCTCGCTCGCCCGCGGGCCCACTCCGACCACACTTTTACACACACACACACACACATGACACCGTCCTCGCCGGCGAAGACGACGACCTCAAACACACAATATCGCGCAATCAACCGGGCGCCTGCGCGCGTCCGGGCGCACCACACCGGCGCCCCCGGACGCCCCTCCGATCGATCCCCCGTCCAATTCAAACGGGGATCGAAATTACGACGGCCTGAGCCGAGGTTCGAACCCCTAGTGGTGCTCTCAGACTAAAGTCGTATCCGTCAGGCAGGAGTTGGCCTTCAGCCGCTCCATAAGTCCTTCCGCGGGTTTGGAGTGCCATCTGCACTCGCCCTCTAACGTCTGGTGAATCTGTAAAGGCCAGCTGCGGCCAACAGCATTAGAGTAATCCGAAAAAAAAAATCGCCCGCGGGTCGTCGATCGATATAGGCCTACGTCACTCATAAACTGCCTTTACACGTACGCTCTTTCACGTATTCATAAATATGATTGTTTGTATTGTCTGGGTATTTTAGATGTATGTTATGCATGTATCTAAGTATATCTATCAGTTGTCTAGTATTCATAACACAAGCCCAGCTTAGCTTGGGATTTAGTTGTATAATTGTTCGCCACCATCGTACTATATAAAAAGTTGACAACTTTAGCATGATTGATTTTTTAAATTATCTTTATACATTCCTTTAATCTTTACATTGGTTTAATTTAAATTCGAACATATTTAATTTTATAAAACTTCATTAATTATTATAATTACACTTTACAGACGGGAAAAACGAAGTATCCCCTTTATAATAAGCGCATGTGTACGTGAGGTAGAACGTCGCGGCATACTTGAGGTGGGAATCTACAGAGTTTCTGGCAGTGCCTCCGACCTCAATAGGCTCAAAAAAAGCTTCGAAACTAGTTAGTATAATTTTACTTATATATATATATATCTTAATTGTATGCAATGCTTTATTTGTTAGAGTATGTATATTCCCATATTTCGTTTATAGATGCTTACGAAGCTGAACAACTACTGAAGGAAGTGGATATTCATTCAGTGACTGGCGTTCTGAAGTTGTATCTACGAGAATTGCCAGAAGCCTTATTTACAGATGCTCTCTACCCTGAGCTGGTCCGTACTTGGGGTGCCACACAGGTAAAAGTGTTATTATAACATCTATTGTTTATTATCTATGTTTTTAAGTGTTCGGACCAGTAAGGTCGTACTTAAATATAACAGATCGTTCCCCTACTATAAAATCGCGTATCAAAATGCCATTCAAATTAGGCGTTTTAAACTAAAAAAAAACATGGTAAAAGAACTATTTGGTATCAACTAATGATTTTATTACTATAACATGGTGTAATAAAAATACTTTGTAGAAAACTGAAACTTCTGAACACTTAATAGGTCCTTGAGCTAAATCCTAACTTCATTCACACTTCTATAACTTTTATTATTTTATAACCATAAATATTTTTTTATATTTATAGAATACAAGTTGTATGTAACAACTAAATATATTAGTAGACTCCTAATGTTTGTTTGCTATATTGTATATAATATATGACAATGAATGATAAACAGTCAGATGCTTTAACTTCGTGTATTTATATTTGTATTTAAAACAAACTAATATTATAGAGCCTAAATGTATAGTCAGGACACCTACTTTTGTAAGAGAATGTCCTCCGATCGATCCCCCATCCAATTCAAACAAGAATCGAAATTACGATGGCCTAAGCCGAGGTTCGAACCTGTATAAAATGTGACTGCTACTGCAGTTGTGGCCAACTGAATTGGAGTAGTCCAAAAAATTTTACATACAATTAAGTCACCAAGTATTAATGATTTTATTTGTGTACCCACGAATAGTAAATATCACCTCATACTCCGCCATCTTAGCTTATCACTTGCTCGTTAAAATCTCAAAAGGTATATATTTACGAAATTATTTCCAGGGTGTGGGCACGTCGGTGGACTCTGGACCAGCGCACACCCGACGTCATGCTCTACTGAAATGCTACGCCCAATTACCGGATCTGAACAAAAATTGTATCGATTTTCTACTTAACCACTTCGTAAAGTAAGTGATGCGTTCAGCGTGATTAATTATACTTTAATACAGTACTGTCATGCTAAATAATAATAATTTAGTAATTCTCTTAATGCTTTAGATGTATTTATTGGTATAAGGATGCAATGTTATATTGTTGGTTCTTGTCTGTCGTACATACGACTATATTTTTTTAAACTTAAGTTACTTAAACTTTTGCATGAAAAGAAAAATGATTACTATGAAAACAGTTTATTTATATATTTCAAATACTAGTTTTATGTGCTGCATAGTTCTTGACTTGTGATGAAAAATGTACCAATCTCAACATTAAGGTTGAATGATTAACAGTAACGATGCAATGTTCATGTGTGCAGAGTTAACCAGAACGAACGCGACAACAAGATGTCACTTCACAACCTGGCGACGGTGTTCGGGCCGACGTTGCTGCGGCCTGCGGGCACGTCGGCGGCTGGCAAGCTGCGGACCGATTTACTCGCCGCCGGCACCGTCGACGCGATGGCGCAAGCCGGCATCCTCTACTGCCTGCTGCAGCAGCGCCAGCTCGCCGCTCAGCTCTCCTCACACCAACGAGGACCTATGCTCCTAGAATGAGCTCCATCCCTATATCCCAGCGTTTAATTTAATCTGGGACTCACGAAGGCATGTTTATTGGTGCCATTACATGCCAATTTTACAGCGCCGAAATCGCTACCGCGTGCACAACATGTACATAAACAAATTCTGTGACAATGTTGGCAAATGAAAATTTCAGATTAGAATATTCCCCTGATTTTTTAGCGAGAGTTTCGCGTCACTCTCATTCTTCTCACCAAAGAGACTACGCGGAAGACTGATACCTGTATACTAGTATCATGAGAAGAACTACTGCTTTTTTATACACTAGATGACGAGATATTGGCGACGTAAAATTGCCATGGTCCAAATATGACATAAGTAATTCAAAACGACATGAAATCATTCGAAATGATAAAAGTGTAATGTGAACATCATTGTCCTTATTATTATTTTAAAATGTGATGTGCCTACAACACCCTGACGTATCAACACATTTAACATTTAATTTTACTGAAATATAAACGCTTTTTATAAAAGTTTTATATGTTGATTCACCTAAAAGATGAATTTATGTTTGGAACCGAATAAGTTTTATATGTTGATTCAAAAGATGAATTTATGTTTTGAGACATTTCAAGTGTAACTTATTAGTATTTTAGCAAGAGTTAAATAATTGTTCAGGGATACTGAGTATTATTTTATTGGATTATGAAAGTTGATACAAAACGTACCTTGCAAAACTCTGATATGAACATGTCTTAGACCATTATAAGGAAATCAAGATAAATATTTCGGAGTTTAAGTATAAGCATTCCGCTTTGCAGCATGCCGAGACTTTTCCGTTTCTAAGGATGAGTAATGATGAGTATGTTAATAATAGTATTTAGATAGGGATACTTAACAATTTTATAAAGCTACATTATAAAACACACGCATTGGGCCACATACTAGGCGAACCTGTATCGCGGGTGTCCACAAAATAATTTACGAGTCTAGTAAAACTACATTGTTTAATTTAATAGTATCAAAAATGAGTACTTTTTAATAAGATCTTCCAAACTTGAATAGTAAATGTTTGAAATGATTGTGACTTTTAGATACAAGTTAACATTATGTAGATGAAATGGGACGATATGTTTGAAAAAAAACATTTTAAATTTCATTACAATCAGGTTAGTTTTACTTTTTGTTTTATATTACTTCTTATAGAAAATATGTGAAATTAATTATAAATATAGCTATGCAATCAGTTTCTAAACTAAAAACAACATATTAGCTCAGTATTCTATAAATTAATTTTTTAATTGTGAGACTTTCGCTATGCTACATTCTACTGAAACATTCCATACAAAAAACAGACTGAATGTAGAAATATTCATTAGGAAACTATATCATTTACAGAATGTGTAGCATAGATGTATCAAAATTTAAAATTAGTATATTGTGTATCATATGAACTGTCACAATATTTACGCGTCTCTTAATAATGATTATAAGTATGAATGTTTTCGAAAACGGCATGAATCGACAAGCTAGAGATTCGACGAGTATTATGAAATGGGACCGAAATATAAAATTGTAATAGATTATTAAGATAAATGGGACTGATATTGATAACTTACAAGCAGTATAAGCTAATTGTTTACATGCTACCATGCGATCAGCTGTATTCATTGTCATATTTATATTACATAACTTCGTAAATTATTGTAATAATGATATAGGTACATATTATGAATCTGTTGGGAGGTTACAGATTCCCATCATTGTTCTTAATTAATTAAACACATTTTGTTTTGAGATATATTCATGGTATATTTTATCTGTAAAGTAGCATTTTAAATGCTAGTCGTGTATGTTATTTAGCTTAATTTCACAAAGGCACTGCTTTAGAATTTTCTTATTGTAACTTTCTTCTTTAGTAGTTGGCACATGAACATCGGTGGAGATTTGCTAGAATATAGAATAGGTTAAGTATTTTATTTCACAAGTAGTCTTAGATGACGATGTTATATTAGTACTTAAAATAAAATTTTACCAAAAAAATCTTAGAACAAAGTTACTTCAGTAGTAATGTGTTATTTATGTTGATTTTATTGAAAGACATTAACATTTGATTTACAATAATTTATATTGTTGAATAATAATATATTGATAATAATTAAAATAAGTCAATATCATTCTTTCATGATCAAAATCAACATTTCTCTTCACCAAAGACCATTGTTAATTTATAGTTCGAAACAGGCCAAAATTGTACAATGTATGAATGCTTTACATTGTGCATTAAATATTAGAAGTCGATTTTAAATTGGCAAATATTCTGAAAATTCGAATCACAATTATATTGGCAATCATTATTCCATTACATTTAATATTATATTTTATTAAAATATGACTATTAAATTATTTTTATTCTCTACTGCACTTTCTTGGAATTTAATTAATTTTGAAGTTGCGTAACTTCACACTTATTATAAATTCAGCTGTTTTAGGTTTTTTCAATTTATAATTATGCACTATGTTAGATGCGATGATCTTAATTTAAGCACTAAGTAGCGAGTGGTTGATTTATTTACTTCGTAGAAAAAATATTTACAAGCCTTGACACTTTTAAATCTTGTGCATAAAATAACAACAAATCTTTTGTATTGTATTTCATTGTGTACTTGTAATCATTTTGTTTTTATTGAAATTGGTTAAGTTTAATTATTAATAACATACAATAAAAAGATAAAACAAATTGAGAGTTGAAGATGTATTGAGTCATCACAAGTCACATAAAAGTAGGTACTTTGAACTTAACGTTAATACTTTATTCAGACTGAAAATGTATACCTTATGCTTACTGCTGCCAAATTAACTATTGCCAATTATAAAATTACTTTCGTCTTTATTATACATGTAGTACTATGAACTCTTTGTCACAATTAATTTTAAGGATCAAATAAACATTATTTATATTGGAAATATATTTTAATAGCATTCAATTAGCATGTAATTGAGTCTTCAAACTTTGCATTTGTTTCTCTATGAATTATAAATCTTATTTAACAATAATTAACTTGTATTACCTTTTTTTTTTATAACAATAATCCTCCTGTATTATAAAGTATTTACTTTATTACTTATAACAATCATTGTATTTAATTTTTGTATATAAATGACACTAAAATGTAGTTTACATACTTGCAATAAAATGTATTTTTAATACACCTTTAATTCGGTTTATTAATTATTTCCAAAGGAAAGGAAACTATGTTAAACATCCCAATCCAAAGACTTCCATCTGCAATTTTTGACACTAAATCTGCTTTGATATACAGCATATGAAATGCAGGTTATTGGATATGTATTAATTAATCCATTTTTCGTAATTTGACCATGTTTTTATCTAATATTGCAATTTGTAAATGTCCAATCTTCTTTAGTTTTAATAATAATGAAAAGGAACTACCACTAACTTTTGCTATTGTTTTTTTTTATCATCTATTGCAATATTAAATATTCTTTTTTATAATACACTTTGGAAAAGAATAATTATTATGTTGATAAAAATGGTGGCAATACTTTAAAAGACAAATAAAGGGCCACCAAAAATGATGATACATGTTGTGTCCCTCCCCCATAGACGTTGCAAACTGTGGGTTCACACAGTACACAGTGTGGGAGAATGCTAAATTTCGTGATGTTACATTTCCAAATTTAATATATCATATTTATTTATTTGATTTTACTTGTTGGTTTTTCACAATTATGAGCAATTTATGAATGGGCTCTACAAATGAATTGCATATAAATTAATTCAGTTATTTATCTAGGAAAGGTATATGTATTTAATAAAAAACAAGATTATCAATGCTCAATTATAATTTAATTGTTTATTGCACTGTGTCATTATAGGTTACTATTGTAGTAACATACCCATGGATGGAAATAAAATGTATATTAAGACACTGTGTGAGACAATTGAATATGATGACAGACCAACAATGGTCTGATTAATTTTATACTGATACTTTTTACTTTTTTTATGTAACTGGGTCAGCAAATCAGACCATAATTGATGCAGCCCAGCAACTTCCATCAACTATATAATTTAATAGTAACCAATTTGTACAAAAATTTGTAGGAAAATGTTCTAATTTACATACAGATTTACAAGTACATTTAAAATATTCATTTCTATATTTGTCTCAGAGTAATGTATATACATTGCAATTATTATAATTGCTAGAGATCCTATAGTTTTTGAATTCCTAAGTACAAAAATTGCTATAACAATTAATCCTAAATATAGTCCTAATTTCTTTATAGTATATCTTAAAAGTTTACTCTTATGTTTATCATCTAAACATCTACCACTCCATAACACATGATCAGGTTCACATGATGTACAATTTGTATATCCATCTCCTGCACATGTTTTACATGTTACATCGCATGATTTACAATCATAGGAACCCTCTGTGTTAATACAGAATTGGTTAACTTTACAGAAGGTAGAATTTAAGCATTCATTTACATCTGTGCACACACCCAACTCTAACTTCCAACCAGTTTTACAAGCCTCACAAGCTGCTGCACCCTCACTAGAACAACCACTGCAAGCTCTGTGGCATGGCTCACACAAGTCATTATTAACTCTGAAGAAATCGATAGCACAGTCGTCACATAAATTTCCTGAATAACCTTTCTTACAGATACATGTACCATTTCCTGCACGTGTGCCCTCTCCATCACATCTACCATGTCCTCCACAGACTTTGTTCTGCATATTGAGGGGACAAGGGGAACAATTGTGTCCAAAATGATTTTCGTGGCAACAATATTTAAGATTTTCTATACATAACCATGTGTGCAAGTCCATGGAATCAGGATCGTCTCTAAACCACCATTTTTCTAGGAATTGTTCCCCTTCCTCTGCTAGAACATAACAATCACTCTCATGTTTTTTTAACTCTGAACAGAGACCTTCCTGTATCTCGACTAAGCGTAATTCACTTCGTGCATAAGACTTCAACTTTGCTTCTTCCCAAGCAGCATCTCCTCCTTCGTGTTTTCCTCTTGATGTACTATCGATCCAGTAACTAAATGAGTCTGTCAATAATTTACAACGTTGACAATCATCAAGTGGATTCATGGTACCTAATTTTGATACTTTGTTACATGTAACTACATCAGAAATATAAAATAAATATAACAATATACCTTTTGTGAATTTAGTTAATGTCATTATTTGATCGCTTGATATTTGACTAGTTAGGTGATTTATATATTATTTAATACAACATTAGCTTATCAATTAAATAAAAGTACAAAAAAGTAAGAACTTGCAAAATGGATAAATGATAAACAACCATCACAATAGTTTGACAGTTGAATTAAGAATTGGAATTGGAAAAACATTAGATTGTTACTAAAGTTCATGGCTGTATGGGTTCAGTCCTTTTACCCTTTCCTGAGTCGAAAAAACCGATACAAAAAAAAATCACTTCAATTTTATCGAAAGTTTACCTAATTTGCTATGGTTTCATTGAAAAGGAGATGAATGAAAATGGGGAAAAAATTGCTATGGTTTCAGTTTGTCATGATTAATAAAAAATAAAAATTCTTGTCCCCCTGTGCCCTAAAAATTGCATATACAGTGTCAGTCCAATAAATGTCATGCATTTGTGATGTCAAAACAAGATATGTACAGACTACAGATCTGTACCGTAATGTATCCATGCGTGTTAGCATTTCTTTTTTTGGTGCATGATAAAATTTAAATATTATTGAATGGTATAAATTAAATAATTCATCATCATGGCTGATAAAATAAGGTATTATATTATTTGTCTAGGAGGCATTACATGTCCCCATTGAAAAGCATTTTCTATTTTATATTATAAACACGTTTATATTTAAAATAGCAATATTTCCTTTCTTATTTTCGACAATGACAAAACATTTGTGAAAATAAATGTAAATAAATAAATAAATGTAGCACGACTTTAAAATATTACGAGGTTATGGTTGGAATTTGGTACCTATAACCTTTTTAGGTTAAAAGATTTATTTATTACCTCTTTAAGGATTAATATAATCATCCTCTGGGACAAATAGAACTGAATCAGGCAGCGGCTGTAAATTTTTGTATTTCTTTTAATTCCTGTACATTAGAGAATTAGTAGAAACAATATTGCATAAATTTATCGTTAAGTTATATTGCGTATTTGAATGTCTGCATGATTTTTATCATCCAGAAACCATAAAAATTCCTTCATGTTCATATACCCTGTTGGAATATTCTATAATATACTCAAAAATCAAATGAAATGGCAGCATCATAGATATCAAGAGTAAATGGATATAATATGATAATCATATTATATAGACATTAATGAATTAGGGTATGGCACCACTGTGTTTTCAATTAAATTAACCAAACCTTTAATCATTATCTGAATACTTTTAAAATAATATATAATACTTCTTTGTAAATTTAAAACTTTAAAGGAAAAAAATAATTTAAATAAATTTAAAAACTTTAAACGCTTCTCTTGTAAAAAATGAAAACATTTTGAATACTGCCATTTTCTTATATATAGTCTATATAGTCATATAAATCACAAATACTTCATGCAGTCTTGCTGTTGCTACTGTATAATTGTGTATGATTTGAATGACATGATGTATCACAATACTAGTTTTAGGTTTTATTATTTATTTCATTATTATATATTGATATTTTTTTTAGAGTTGAATCAAAATATGATAAATATGACCTCTCTGATTCTGATAATGAATACACAGAAAAAGAAAAGAAACTTATTCAGAAATTAAGCAAGAGAAAACATGATCCCGAAAGTGAAGATGAAGTGTATGGTTTTTCTGAATCTGATGAAGATTCAGACAATAACATGAATGATCTAAGTATAGCTGATAGTGATGTAGAAGGTAATGAAAAATCAGATGATGATTTACCCGATTCCAAAGCTTGGGGAAAGAAAAAGAGGTCATATTATGCTACAGATTATGTTGATGAAGATTATGGTGGATTTGGTAATGATGAAGAAGCAGCAATTATGGAGGAAGAGGAAGCTAAGAACATACAAAAAAGGCTTTTGGAACAGCTGGGGGATGAGGACTTTAGTCTAGATTTTTTTACAAAACAGGTGACTCAAGTAGAGGAAAGAGAGACTCTAATAAAAAGCGACTTGAGTAAGATGTCAAAAAGACAAAAACATCAGTTGCTAGAGAAGGAGAGCCCTGAATTTGCAGGTCTTGTTGAAGACTTTAAAACAAAGTTAATTGTAGCTAAAGATAACTTGCAACCTGTTTTGGCACTTGTTAAAAATGGAAAAATACCAAAATGTGCTGCTTCAAAATTTGTCAAAACAAATTATGAACTTATATTGAATTATTGCACAAATATTAGTTATTATCTTCTTCTAAAAAGTCAAAGAATCAATATCCTAAATCATCCTGTTATAAAAAGGTTATACCAATACAGACAGATGTTAAACAAAATGGAACCTATATATTTGGAAATTATAAAACCACAAATAGATAAAATACTAAATGCAGTAAGAAATAATTTGGAAGTACATATTACGAAACAGTTACGAAATAAAAATGATAAAAAGCGCAAGTCATCTCCTTCAGCACCAGAAGTAGCAAGTAAAAAACAGAAAATTACCAGCACTTTAGAAAAAGATGATGAAGATACTGGTGTATCTGATGATGAAAATGACTATGAAGGAATTGATTACTTCAAAACTGATAAAAGAAAGAAAGCTGTTGTTAAGAATGATGAATCAGAAGAAAGTGGATTTTCTGATAATGATGATAATTTGCCTAATGACATTGTTCATCAAAGTAAATTATCATCAACTCATTCAACAGATATTCCTCAAGATGTAGAATACAAGCGTGAAATCACTTACCAGATTGCTAAAAACAAAGGTTTGACACCATATCGAAAGAAGGAACAAAGAAATCCCAGAGTCAAACATAAGTTGAAGTACAGAAAGGCAAAGATTAGAAGGAAGGGTGCTGTACGAGAACCAAGAACTGAGCTTTCTCGTTATGGTGGCGAAGCTTCAGGTATCAAGGCTAATGTAAAAAAGAGTATAAAAATAAAATAATATTGCATTACTGGCTTATTTGTATATTATATTGTAATAGTTTTTTATTTTACATAAACAGTAAATTTGTAATTTCATCCCAGTTTAATGTTGCCACCTGAAATAAAAAGAAATAATATGTTCAATGTACTTAAATGCACTAAAGTAATATTAAAAGTACCTAAATAAATCATGATTTAGCACATCACAGTATGTAGAGGTCTTTTATTCATAATAATAAAAAGGCTATTTAGGTTGAATACAGCTTAATCCCATCGAAATATCAAACAGACTATTTCAATGTATTTTTTTGGAATGAAAAAGTAATGATAATTAATTACAACATACATTTTTAAAACAAGGTTCTAGATGCGAACTATATCAAAATTACAAAAGACTAAAGATATTGAACCTTGCAGTTTAATATGCAAGATACATAGGATGGTATGCTGATGCAGTAGCATAGGTGATATGAATACTGAAATAACATTTTAATTAATTGCCATTAATTACTACCAGTATAGTATAACATTTATTTAACAAGAGTAATGCAACAATAACAAACAAAGGTGCACATTTAACACCTTGAGGCTATTTATTATATTATATGCCTATATATAATACCTATACTTACAATTTTAAAACTTTATCTTTTCCTCCTGAGGCTACATATGCACCATCAGGTGACCAATCAACAGAATAAACTTCATCTGCATGTCCAGGCAAATCTAATTCTAATTTCTTATTTTTCATGTTCCAAACTGGAATTAAAAATGTAACATATACTACATATACTTTTTTATGGAGAGCTGTAATGACAATAAAATAAATTGCATATCGGAAGTAACCTAACCACACGTAGCAATTTCTTTTACAATAATATTTTAAGCCAACAGTATTGGAACATAGGCATTGAAGTAGCGAGAACTTTTCTAATAATATTATTAAGATGAATATCTTGTTTATATAATGTGTACAATAGTAAAAAACAAAAGTGAATAAGTATACAGCAGTATTGGAAACTTTTTTCTAAATTATAACATTAATATCTTAAGAGGTATAACGCAATCATAAATGGCTAGTTAAGTTACATAGTACAGCTATTTTGCCTTTTTGGTTCAGAATTCTAAAAAAGATTTTGATAGTTTCATGCAGAAGATCTCCCAAGACCATATTGAAACATACACAATCTATATTTTTACATTTTTCACTTGTGTTGTGTTGTATGAATGAGTTTTAAAATTACGGTGTTACCTTTAAGAGTTGAGTCTGCACTCGAAGTTAGTAGCAGTCTAGAGTCCGCAGACCATGCAACCATGTAAACAGCTTGCACATGACCCCTGAGCGTTGTTATGAATTTACCAGTAGTTGCAGCCCACAGTTTCACTGATTTATCAAATGACGCTGATGCTATTAACCTGTTAAAGTTTCATTTTTAAGAGACTGGATTTTTTAATAATTCCTTAAGTAAGTAATTAGCAATAAATTTCAAGAAAATTAACTATTCTTTTTCCACTTTCTATATCTTTTTTTTATCTTACCAAACGCCTAGCAGATTTCTTGTGGGGATCTGTTAATTGAAACCTGTATCTCCAATGACCAAAAGTGCCGGCGTTTTCACCCGCGTTAAATTTCAATAATAAATATAGTCTATGTGTTATTCTTATGCATAAGCTATACACTGTAAAGTTCAGTAGTTTTTGCGTGAAAGAGTAACAAACATCCATACTTAACTTTCGCGTTTATAATATTATTAAGATTTTTTTTTTGTTATCAGTAGTAGATTAACTATATAACTAAATATCTATTCTGATTCGGATTCTGTTCTATACGGCTCGCCCCCTACCACACTGTATTCAGATACAGATCATACATACCCCATGAGATGTGGGCCTGTAGTGTTATATTCAGCATGAGAGCAAATTTTGACGATGCTTGTAACTACTTTATCTGGGTGAACAGTCGTGACGGCATATTATGTGTATATATTTTATAAAATGAAATAGAAGTAGTAATAAAACTGATATTGGTAACTGGCTAGAATAATTTTGATATTATTTGTAAGAATATTACCTGGTGTCTGGTGAAAATTTAACATCATTAACAAGTTGCTGATGACCTGTCAGCCTTGCTACAGGTCGTTTTTCTTTCTCAGGTAGCCATAAAAAGAGAGTAAAATCATCTGAACCCGACACTAATTGTTCAGCTCCTTGGTAACAGACTGACTCATATCTCTCTAATGCTTGTTTCTTCAGTACATCTTTATCTGAACATTAGACAGAGATAAGCTTACAAGTATCAAATTTTAATAAATAATTGCCACAATATTGTTAAAGTTAGCGGAAACTGTTGTCCCTATAGGATGTAGGATTAATAATTCACAATCGTAATTATTCGTAAATTTACTAGCTGAGCTTTCATTTCTTGTATTGTATATTAGTGTTTCCGTTGTTATTAATTTTGCCTGTGATTAGGGACTGAATTTACCAAATCCAAAGCAGAGTTTAAAAATGTTTTCATGATCTCTTGCATTATATCAGAAACTATAATTGTATAGATAGTATTGGATTGTTTCTTACCATTATTGATTATTCCATGCTTGTCAGTAATTGGATGAAAAGGACCAGTACGCAAAATGTAATCTGTGCTTAATGCTAATGTATTCACCCAATGTGCATGTCCCTCCAAAGATCTGCACAAAATTCCATCTTCAGCTCTCCAAACCTTAAAAAATTGCTTAAATATTTATCTGATTTAAGGGAAATCAAATCATCAAATAAATAAAATTAAAACTGTGTGCTTTGAATGTTAATTTAGTTATTTACACCAACACTTAAAAAGAGTCATTTTCAGATATTGGTATGTTGACATATGTCTGACAGTAGCACTTCAGAATGAATGATCTGGAAATGCATCTATTCCTTTTTTTCTAGGGTTTAAATGAAAATATTATGTTTCTTATTTATTTCTTTATATATATAGTTATAGAATTATTTATGAAATAGAAATAATCTTCTAAAAGTTTCTATAATCACTTTTGAATAGCCAATTTTTTTTATTCAGAAGTTTTCTCATTGCTGAAAAAGAGGAATCAACAAAAAACTTTGCTCTTTTAAATATATGTTATTCCAAATTCCATTCCATATTTGAAATTTTGTGTAATAAATGTAAACAGCCAAATAGCAACTTTCGACAAAAATAAATAAATACAATAGCCACTTGAGTAACAAAATAGATCAATCATAGCTATCAGTGTCACCAGTGCCTACAAGTAGCATCGGTTCAGCAGAATATAAGAGGTGAGCCAGCAATCATATGTTTAACCATATTTTACCATTGACCAAACCCCCCATGCTACCATGACTGGAGATTTATTTGAGTATTACTCATGACACATTACAATTAATAATACAACTATATTATGTGAAACTAGTGGTATTCACATAATACACATAAACAAGGAGAAGGTATGCAACAATCAACATAGAAACTCAGGCACTCATATTTTCTCTTAATCAAATTATTAATCATTATTGCTTAGTAATCTTTTCTGGCAGATTTAATATAAACTCTGGCAGTTAGTTTTAAAACCAGTTAGTTGCAATTCCGCAAAAACGAACATGTCTCAATAATGGGTTATACCTTAATTGTTCTATCTTGTGAGGAGGTGTATATGAGCCCACTACCTCCCCATTTGACAGAAGTCACCGCTTTTGAATGGCCCGTTAAACTGAGAATTGTAATACCTGTCACAGTATCCCATATTCGTACATCACCATCTTTTGAAGAACTGGCTAATTTACGACAGTCTGGATTTCTGTGAATATTTTTACACATAAATTACTGTATTCTACTCATTTTTGAAACAATTCTTTGAAATATTAAGTGTTATTTTAACTAATTGGGATAATTTATTGGCATTATACTACTTTACTACTTCTAGTCATATAGTACAATGAGGTCCATCATTCTATGTAGAAAGGAAATGTTCTTTTCCAATTTTTAGTTCACAATATAATTTTGATTACCTGTGGTATGGTTCCCATGCTAAAGCCGTGATCCACTGTTTGTGTCCAATCATTGTCTTTCCCAGTTGACAACCAGTATTTGGGTCCCAAATTATGATTCTTCCTTGTTTGCATGCTGATGCCAGTTTTAATCCATCTGGAGCCCAGCTTATACACAACACCCAATTATTGTGACCTGAAAAATTGTATTATGTAAAATTTTGTGTGACATGTTTTAACCCCAGAAGTCTATCTGGTGCAATAAAAGGATAGTAAACCATTTAAGATAAAATTGATTATATTATAATGCACAAATTACCTTTACAGACATGCAATGGTGTCTGTGTATTTAAATCCCAAAATCGAACAGTTGTATCTCCGGAGCCACTGGCCAAGTGTTTCCCAGATGGACTGAAGCTGGTTGATATTACTGCTTCTGCATGCCCAGGTATGGAACTGACATATTGCAATTATAGAGATCATATTAATGGTTACATTACTGGTCTTATTTCACAAATCATTAGTTTTGTTCAATAAATGTTAGCTCTTACCTTGTGCATCTTGTGACTGGTCGCACTCTAAACACAGCTTGCTGTTGATATACTATTTCCACAATTTCTTCAGAATTCAAAGATTTAATGTCCAGTGCATCCTTCAGAGTGGATGTAATTTCAACATCTTTTACAAAAAATAAAAAAGATTTGTCTTCCTGAAAGCATGAAATGTTTATTATAACCACAGTTAACATAATATTACATACAGATAGCCCATCCCATACAAGAAAATGGTTCCTTCCTAACTCGGGCTATTTTATTTCGCCGCCGTAGCCGCTAGATGTCTCTAGATCTGAAGCAGTTCGGATTACTAGTGGGTGCTTAGTAACAAAGCACGAAAAAAGATGGCAGTGAATTCAGTCTACATGACATGTGTTTTGCAAAGATAGGTATATAATAGATATGTAGGTAACTGTATCGTGTACCTCATTAGGGACGATTCAAGATTCAATGTAAATGTGTAGGTATAATAACGTTAGCCGACACTCTGCAGATATGGCTTATGTGCCAATGTATATATTATGCTATAGTTTATTCTACATTCCATGCCTATTTTTTTCTTTCGACGAAGATATGTTGTAACGCGTCTGCGCTATACGTATAGGCCGATTTTGATACGTTTGTACTCGTACGTATCAAAATCGGGCTATACGATTTTTTATTTTAATCGTTATGTGTAAGAGACTGATTTTAGCTACAATTAATTTACTGGTATACCTATACCTCCTGTATTCTACGATGTACCCCTCTTTTCCCTAATATCCGCTATATCTTATATATAAATTTCGTATCACAGTGTTAGTTGCCTTATTTCTCCCACATTTTGATGAAATTTGATATGTATACTTGCTAGGTCTGAGGTAGGGTTGTTATCTATTTTTTATACCCCTAAGTTATAGGGGTGGCCTACCCTGAAATTTTTTTTTTGTATTATTGACAATTTTTTATTTATTTATAATGTTACATTAAAAATACATACACGCCTAAATTTTGGCCCGTCTTTCACCAACCCCTATTTTTAATAGCGATATTCTTACAAATATTATAAATGCTAAAGTAACTCAGTCTGTCTGTTTGTCTCGCTTTCACGCCAAAACTACTGAACTTATTTTATTGAAATTTGGTACACAGTTAATGTAGACCGTGAGAAAGGTTACTTTTTAATGCGACAAAGGGTTGAAAGGTGAAATGAAAGGCTATATGAAAATATCGTCATTTTTAAAGTCAGATCTTGTAAGCTAAAGCTTTAATTTATAATGTTATAATTTAATTAATAATATTTTTTAGGCTGCTGACTAAATATAAATAAATATGACATTCTAAGTTTGTAAAATGTTATCCTTAAGAGGGTAAAATGAAATATAAGGCCCAAAATCACCAAGGTGGCAAATTCAAGTTCTGTTTTATGATGAATTTACCTAGCAGCTATTACTTTGATGATCAGCCTAAATGATCCATAAACTTATGTTTAAACAATATTTACGTTGGCAGAGCATGGAATTGATTACAACTCTTGTAATTTTATTTTTAAAGAGACCTATCGCTGAAAAAATCATTACGGGAACGTTTTTGTAAGGTTTATAATAATATTAAAATATAACATAAGTATTTATTTTTTTCCTTATTCAATAGCGGATCTAGACACGCGGCAGCGTGTCAAGCCGAGTTTCAAGTAAACTGGCTTGCAGCACCGTGTGTATATTTACACGAACCATTTGGAGCCACTTTTGACCCCCTCATAACTCAAAAACTCTTTCACACAAACCTGTCAAATTTGGTTTATATATTGAGACTTGCGAGATAAATATGTGTTCCAAATTTCATAAACATATCTCAAACGGTTATTTAGATATTAACGTCCAAAAATCGTCATTTTTATCACTGATCAACTATAGATCAAAATTATAACCCACTTCCAGATGACCTAGGAAGTTCAAATTTGGCATGCAGATAGGTAATTAGGTGAATATAAAGGAAAAAATCTGAAACTGGTAAATTGTTATCATTTTACTACAATATTTCACTTTAATTGATTCTATTTCAACTTATACTGGACGAATACTAAAATTCTATGAAAACGTCGATAGCCACCAATTGACATTGATCCCTGGCGAAATATCTCATCTTGTACTGGCCGGAAAGTAATATTGTATGAAAACGTCGATCATTACCAATTTACGTTGACCCCTTCACATCAGTGTCGATAACTAGCAAACTTCAAATATTGCATTGAGCGGTAAACACTAGTTGCTATAATTTAGATTCTGTCTAAAATATACTCGTACTTATAACTAGGAGTATAGTCGAATTTCGTATTTATTATGTTATTAACTGAGATTTGGTATTAATTATTGTTTCAATATTTAGCGCACATCGATAGTGTAAAATCATTATTTTTTATAAATAATTATTAAATAATAGGCATTTCGGTATAGGGCGCCGCGGCGGCGCCGTGTGGGAGCGGTGCGATAAAACGTTGACGCGAACCTGTCCGAGCGAATGGCAGCCGCCCTCATATGTCTCAATGTTTTGTTTCTCGATATCTAACCTATAAGGTTGCGATTTATGCTACTAAATTCATAGTTTTCTTAAATTATACTTATATATTTGTGGTTATATTAATATTACATTATTTTAATAAATACGTATGGTGTAGACAATAGTTTAATCCAAAAATTAATAACAATTTTAGTATAGTTATAAGTAGGAATGTATAGTTAACTCGAGAATGAGAACTCATTGGTAACAAATTGTTTTCTTGAGAATTCAATAGATAACAGTCAATTTGTTACATAATCGTCTTTACGAACTATAACGTGTCAATACGAAGTTTCAGATATTAAATAATGTATATGTTGAAAGAGAACAATTCCGTATTTGCTTAACATATGCTATTACTATCCACAAATCACAAGGCCTTAGTTTTGGCAGTCCTCTTCTCAACATAGGCTCCTCTATATTTAATAAAGGGCAGGTTTACGTTGGACTCTCCAGAGTTAAAACCTTAGATGGAGTACGTCTTAACAATTTAGATCCAAGTCACGAGAGCTCTATTGTAGAGTACAACCGTCTGTGGACGTTATACCGCCCCGATTTGCCCAAAAATTCCTGATACTGAATTGGCTTTGCACTGGAACATTTAAAAGTTACAAGAAAATATAGAAAATAACACAAAAAAAAGACAATTATACCCCGTAAATATACGAAAATACAGTAATTTATCAAAAATAATTTGGTATTAATTTAGTTATAAATAAGTACCTCGTATAATTTATGTACAAAAAGTAATGATATCCCATCAAAAACATAAATGTGAAATGATAGCCGAGTTTCATATTAATATATGCCTTGATTGTTGACTTCTACGACAAAAGAGACGAGATCTAAATGGGTGCCAAGTTCAATGGTCTATCCTGAAATGTATTTATAACAATATAAAATATCATTTCTTCTTATAACTTAGGATAATATACTGTAGCCTAAGGTCTAACTTGGCTAGTTTTCATATACGAAATATACTGTAGCCTTCGCAAGTTCTAAACATGTTACTTGTCGGTTCCTATTTTAATATTAGTAGTAACTAGCAATCGAAAGTAATAATTGGTATATGAGAACTGGCTAAGTTAGACCTTAGGCTACAGTATATTATCCTAAGTTATAAGAAGAAATGATATTTTATATTGTTATAAATACATTTCAGGATAGACCATTGAACTTGGCACCCATTTAGATCTCGTCTCTTTTGTCGTAGAAGTCAACAATCAAGGCATATATTAATATGAAACTCGGCTATCATTTCACATTTATGTTTTTGATGGGATATATGTTACCTATACATAGAAATTAAAGAAATCTAATGAAATTGCCAATAAAGACGTTAGAAAGCAAAATATTGTGCAAATGGGTGATATTATGACTATTTTTTAGTCTAAATTATCTAAATATGAGAAATAGATGTGTCTTGTATATTAATTAACATGCTCTAGGTATGAGAAGTTCGTCATATTTTAATATTATTAGAGCTTTTTTTTAAATATCTAAAATAATCATGTATCATCTGCGAGTTTGGTGATGTTCCCGGAAGGGATGAGGTGTTCACGGAATGATGCGTGTGACGTCCTTAAATGACGATATAGATACAATTTAGGGTTAAAAATCATGAGCAATGTTTTTGGAACATCGTACTTATTTATTCATTTTTGCATAAGGTTCCTAATTATCAAAAACCGTAACTTAAAACACTTTACAGTCTTTTAATAACCTGTACACAGCTGATTAGAAAGTTTTAATAATCATATTAAACTTTTATTACAATGGCAATAATAATCTTTTATTCCAATGTAAATAAATCAAACCATCTAAACATTATACTTATTATTTTTTAGTCATTATATACACGAATTTTGATATCGGTCTTCAGAATCAATGTACTGGTTCTTTCTTTGGCATAAAAGTCTTAGTCATACGAATCAGTTTATATTTCTTTGCTATCGCTAACACATTTTTGGAAGACTTCCCTCTCTTTGGAATTTTTTCATAAAATACAGGCCTTTTCTTTTAATTGCGCTGTCAGTACTTCGTTGAATAAGAGATTTTTGCGCACTTTAGGTGGTTCTATGACATTTTAAATCAATGCGTCAACTTTGCTGTTAGGAGTCGTTGTTGGTACCTGAACTATTTCCTGTTCTTTTTTTTTTTCTTCTTAGTCTTTTCTTTAAAGTTTTATATTTACATTTTATGTTAGGAATTGTTTTCTCTTGTTGTTTTATTTTATGATTTGGCTCTATCCTTCCGAACAATTTTTCTTTCCGTTGTTTTCTCCCTAAAAACCGTTCTGCATTTAATTCATCATTCGAATCTGGCAAAGTATTGTTTACTATACCTGATATTGCCTTCCTTTCTTCCCTGTATTTTTCTAATGCCCCTTTCCCAATTTTTTATTTTGCTTCACTCTCTCATTGATTTCATCAATGTTTTTAACTTTCTCTACAGCTTCTTTTCTAAAAATAGGCTCTATCCTTAGCCCTTTTTATTTCTCTCTCTTTCACCATCATCTTATCTAAAAATTTTTTTTCCTGGCATTGGATTCTCCCATTGTCGCAAGTAAACCGAACTATTCTTATTAACTTGCTATTTCGGACGTTTCTTTATTTTT